AGCCACCCCAAGAGCGAGCGCTACGGAGTTGTTGCAAGGGTTTCAGCATTGTAGTTCCATTGCAATGGACTTCTGTTGGCACCATTCGGTGCCATGTCGATATCTCCGACTGAAGAAAGTCAGAGATTAAGGAGCAGTGCCTGAACAGAGCGCTCAGAGCACTCTGACAGCGACGATACTCAGCTGTCTTCAGAGGAACTTTTTCCGCATTCGCTTGCGATGTTTCCTAAAAGACCCTCAATCTTAGAGGAGAGGCCTGCGGGAGTAACTTCTAGCTTCACATCAGACCGCCATCCTTCTGTTCCTCAGCGCACGCCGCCAGATGTTGACCAGATTGTTTGCTTTGGCGCACATGATCATGGTAGGTACCGGTGACTTGTGGGTGATACCGGGCGCGCGAGGTTGCGAGGTTCGTAATGCGTGAGTTGTCAGTAGAGGTGAGCTGAACCAAGCTTGGCTGGTGCTGCTGCGTTCGGCTTCCATCAGCTCTCACATTACGCGAGCTTCAAGAAAGAATAGCAGGTGCTCTTCTTAGCTCTCCTCCGGTACGTTTTACGGACGGCCTCTTCTCAGGAACTGTCTAACGATAGCACTACTACTAGCAGCTTTCGTTCTTCGACGGACTTCCGATGTCTGTAGGTTGAGTGGTTACCTGTAAGCAAGGCATCTGTCATCTGCCCGTGCTTGGCTATCTCTCAGTACACCATGGCTGAGAGTCTGGGATATTCCTCGGTACGGTCGGACAGAACCATGGGTAGTGTTCGAACTCTCAGTCTCGGCGTCTCTGCGAAGCCCTACTGGTAGTCAGCATTCAGCGACTAGCAACGCAGACTTCTGCTTACAATCGGTACGTTCAAAACAAGATAGTGCTGGCTTCTGAGGTCCGTCAGCCTAGTCGGGGTCGACATCGGTGCAGTGAACAGCACTCTATCCCTTCGCTGGAGTCCATACTGCCGAGGCGTTCGTGACTGCAACTGTTCATGCCCGTGATATTATCCGTGAGCGCTGAGATCTTGGGCTCCAATACACAGCATAGCTAACAGCATCATGTCGAGACTTCACCGTTGGACCGTCAACCCGCACTCCACTTTGAGTGCTGTCGGATGACAATGCTGCAGACTGAGCACACCTCGTCCTTAGTCAGCCTTGTTCAGCCGAACTCTCAGCCGATCCATGCATCCGGCAACCGTTTGCCTGCAGGCATCCTCTGCCAAAAACCCTCAGCAAGCATCTAGCAGGGGCATTGAGATCATTCACGGCGGTATGCGTCAAGGGCCATGCATGGAAGGTTCCGTTTCCGCCGCTGTTCGACCACCTCCAGGTATTGCAATGTGAACTCACGAAGTGGTCAACTTTCTCGCTAAAGACTATCTTGTTGATTCACTCATTCTTCATGACGGCGTTCGGAAAACACATAGTGCATATTTATAGGTTGGGCTCGGTTTGATCTTCAGCAGAGGTGTCATTGTGAGACCCTCTCGGCTGCCATGTGAATATCCAACGGTGCATTTGTCGTCCGCGATTACGGGGTCCATTCCTGACTCTCGATGCATCTCAGCTGTCAAAGTGCTCTGTCTTGGCCCCAATGGCCTCACGGTAATACATCAATATTAGCAGCTGACTGGATTGAGCTCCATCTTCAGGCCATGAATGTTCCGAGCACCGTTAACGCCTTGGTGCACTTTCCCGAGGTTCCATGACAATGGAGCTGAGATATCTCCTCATCTCCTGTACGGTGAACATTGGCTATCAGTGGACTGTGATAGACCTCGTCGGTGCTCGCTTCCCCCGGTAGGCTGAGTAGCCCATACTGCCGGGAGACTCTCGAATTTACGAATTTGGATAATGAGCGTTCGTATGATGCTGCTGGTCCATCAACGTGCAGCTTTATGAGCATGTGCTTGTGCCTGAAGTGGACATACACAGCGGTCCAACATTCGAGACATGATGCACTGCTCGATGACCACTCGGGACCGCAAACCCTAGAGCCGCGCGGTTTTGTAGGACGAAACTCCCTGTATGAATGCGATCAGACTCAGTGTGACCCTCTTAAGATCACTGAGTAACAGATAGGTCAGAGGTTCAGACCAGGTTACAGATCAGACTTTGGGTTGGCGGTTATCGTGGTACCATATTAAATTTACTGCACACCTAAGGCTGGCAATTGCAGTTGGCTTCCAAAATAAAGCGAAGATTCGAAGACATTGTACCAGGATCATGGAAAGAAATTTTGGAGGCTGCAGTGGAACAGAATTGTAGAATAGGCCTTGACCAAATGGGCGACCGGAAGACCGAGCTGCGGTGCAGTACGATAAGAGAGCGCCCACCGGCCGCCTCATGTGTGAAACCATTAACGGCGATCGAGCGAGTCGTGCGACGATGACACAACCCGGCGATAGCAAATTGTGATACTTTCACCGTGGGTTGGGACAGTCAAGAAGTACATGCAATGTCACCCGCGCCCCACGAGGCAGGCGCCGAGGAGCGTAGTGATACATCTCCCGGGACACCACAGCATGCGGACTGAAGCCGCAGGGTGCAGCAGCTGGAGAAAGCCATATCCGCTATATTAGGAAACGTCGCACAGATTCGTACTTATCTGGAAGGCTTAGGTGATGCACATAATCTTCAGGCGTGCCTAAGTGAGATTGACAAGAGCGGATGAGGTGAGAGAGAGGCAGTGTTTAATCGGACGTTGCGGCGGATTAGGTAAGGCTTTGGGGGACAGGGATAGAGGGGCGCTAAGAGCTTATTTGCACGGCTCCCCTTTCGCCGAAAGCTTGGTCTGACAGGGGCTGTGGCTGGATCTACAGGGATCACTACTCGAACCCACCACCTCTCTCCATGGTGGGGAAACTGCCTCAGAGGAGCCGGCTTTGAGGACTACTGCGCCATTGTCATCGCAGTATCCCCAGACTCCAGTGGAAAGAAGAATGTTCATTCAGGTCCAATGCTTCAGCGACCGACAGTGTTGTTCTGCTGATTGTTCTACTATTCTGTAGAGCGGGTCTAGAAGAGTTCCTGCTGGCGATGTTCTCAGAGTGGAAAGATCCAACATCATGACTACATGCATACATGCTTCCTATGACGTCTCGTAACCTGAGCCTCTCGGGAAAGCGGCGTACGATGTTGCAGTCAGGAAAATGCTATCAGCATGGCCGTACGAGTAATACCGCATGGTATTTCAGAAGAAACTCAGTTACCGAATTACAGAGATCGAAACGCCTCAGACCGGAAACGGACCTTTCAAACGTTTGGACCGCGAGGAAAGCTTTACTTATATCCCCAGTATACACCGGCGCAACACCGACGCAGACGGCTGTCCGATCAACTTCGTGGCGTTGCCCCATGTTCCATCGTTCGGACAATTGAGAGCTGTGGTGATGATCATCTGCGAATCATCACTTGGCTGTGCCTGCCAGCTAGCCACTCAAACGTGACGTCGTAGGGTCAAACGGTGCGGACGGACATCCGCAAGCGTACCTGAAAGTGAAATTGCAGCTCATACCCTACACAGCTAAGTTTTATTGGGCTTTCATAAGGAGGATTGTACAAAGCCGCCGTACCGGACAGCGCTAGCTGTGATGAGGCTTGGACATCGTTAGAATCGTCCGTTTGGGGCTGGCTATGGAGATCTGCGGCGTCGGATTCGCTGCGCCTCGACGGCTAGAGCAAGGAAAATCTTGGCTCCGAGATTTATGCAAGACCGGACTTCATTCGTATTATCCAACCTCATCCCGGTGGAGCGCGGCGCTTCCGCACCGCCATGTGAGGAACACGAGCAACATGAGGGCCTTTGAGGCGCTGTTGGTCGCCTTGAGGCTCAGAAGACTTCCACGGACCGCTCAGGTAAGGGATGTCAGCCAGAATGTTCCTCACTCACGTACCACGGATAGTTGTAGCGCACTGTATCGGTACCGCGAGTGGGACAACGCGGTTCGAACGTACCCACAATGACCCATGTACGGCGCCCGAGGCTCTCACAGCTATCAAAGTCCGCACGCGCCAAAGGTCATCCAATTGTAAGCACGTGTAGGACGGCAAGCGTTGGTTACGGCAGGTCCGTGATTCGTTAAGGCTACCTTCCGCAATGGATGCCACAGTAAGACTTGGGACAATCTCGTTTGACACTGCCGAGGATCTCGAAAGAGCTTGGGACTCTGCTGAATTGGGTACCGTTCTATGCTGGATCGAGGCCATGAGCGGCGCCTGGCTGACATAACCGACAGCTGGATACCGTGGAAAGAATGCACCCCGGCTTGAGGGGACCCGGGTGTGTACGATTCCCTGTTGGACCTAAGGAACGGCGCCTTGTTCCCCATGCCGGGCCAGCCCTCATCTGTCTGTTATCTCATTCAGATGATTGCCCGTTACGACAGCGGCTGACTCCACCAAGCCATGCCCGCGGCATACTAACAATAGACATGGTGCTTACTCGGACAAACCGCTAGGCCTGCGTGCCATTCGCTCTCGGAAACCCAAGCAGTACCAGCCAAGGAGGGGGCCGTTCAAGGTTCCGTTGCATACCCATCCGCAGTTACTCACGTCAACATGCTGCCAACCAGACATGGCCGGCATCTCGATAGCCTGGAGACAGCCCCCGTATCCGTGCTTTGGAGTATCCGGGCGGAACTGGTCATGTCATCGTGCGATCCCAGCCAGTGTCTGATTTCAGATCTACCAAGCTACCTACAAATATAGACTGCAGGTCTGTCCCAGTAACTTTTCAACACATCCTTCACCAAGGCTTTGGCGTCCACACATCCACACGAGTCACCTCCCCCCTGCCGACGGCCTTCAAGCTATAGAAATACCTTAGTCCGCCTTCCTACAGAACAAGCCTGGATCAAGACATTCGCTATCACTAATCTCGCCTGACATCAAACCGAGTACTGTCCCTATCAGTCGACTGCCACTCCACTTCGGAACAGTATTTATCAACCGGATATACCAACACACAGAAACACCGACTTCCACTTACGTTACTCTCACACATCACAATGGATCTCTTATTGTTCGGTGATCAGACCGCTGATCAGTACCCGCTGCTCCGGAAGATCTCTCAGCGGAAGGATAATGCGCTATTATCGACTTTCCTAGAACGCGTCAGCGTCGCCCTACGAGATGAAGTCACGAGACTCCCGCGCTCGCATCGCGACAGCATACCAGATTTCCTGACTGTCCAGCATTTGGTGGAGGCGTACTACGAGAAGGGACTGAAGATGCCACAGCTGGAAAGCTGTTTAGTCACGATAGCACAATTGGCTCATTTCATAGGGTTGGTGTTTAAATTCCGCACATTTGTAATCCTCGCTAAGCTTTTAGGTACTTTGAGGAGCATCCGTTTGAACTACCAAACCCATCAAACACCAGAATCCTTGGGTTGTGCACGGGTTTACTGGCAGCATCCGCCGTCGCATCTGCGAGATCGCTCGCAGATCTCCTTCCGCTTGCCGTCGAAGCGGTCCGCATCGCATTCCGTGCCGGGACATGCGTTGGAACCGCCAAGGAGGCATTGGAGCAGGCCAACTCGCGGGAGAGCTGGTCAACTATCGTCACGGGTATTTCTGAGCAATCTGCAAACGCCGCTCTTGCAGATTTCCATTCAGAGAAAGGCATCCCGATATCACAGCAGGCATATGTCAGTGCTGTTAGCACCATGGCGCTGACCATCAGTGGCCCACCGTCGACCACGAAGCGGATATTCCAGGATTCCGAGGCTTTTAAGCGGAATCACCGCGTGCCAATTCCGGTGTACGCCCCATACCACGCCGGCCACCTCTATGGCCAAGCCGACATGGAGAAGATCCTAGACGAATCATCGAGGGAGTTTCTTCAATCATTCCGCCCGAACGCTCTTATCCATTCAGCCGCGACCGGAAAGTGTCACGAAGCCTCCAGCTCACTAGAGTTATTCGAGTTCGTTCTCCGCGAGGTTTTGCAGCAGCCAGTTCGCTGGGATTATCTACTCGAAGAGGTCATTTCCCAAGTTACTTCAACCGCAAGCTCCGCGTGTTCGGTAACTTCAATGGGTGTCACAAATGTTGCGAACAGCTTGGTATCCGCACTCAAAGCGGGTGGCCAGTCGACCGTCTCCGTTAAAGATCACACAACATGGTTGGCGAGATCTGAGAAGCTCGGCCGGACACAGAACGACAAGATCGCCATCGTCGGCATGGCCGGACGGTTCCCCGGTGCTGCCAGCCACGAAGCACTATGGGAGTTGTTGGAGAAGGGTCTCGACGTCCACAGGGAGGTCCCCGCTGACCGCTTTGACGCTAAGGCTCATTGTGACCCGTCAGGCAAGGGAAAGAACAAATCCCACACGCCTTACGGCTGCTTCATCGATGAGCCTGGATTGTTTGATCCTCGATTCTTCAACATGTCACCACGAGAGGCCGCCCAAACGGATCCTATGGGTCGTCTTGCACTAGTTACCGCCTACGAAGCTCTCGAGATGAGCGGCTACGTCCCGAATAGGACGCCGTCCACGAAGCTTCACAGAGTTGGCACCTTTTACGGCCAGACTTCGGACGATTGGCGAGAAATCAACGCGTCCGAAAACGTGGACACTTACTATATCACTGGTGGCGTGCGTGCGTTCGCTCCTGGACGCATCAACTACTATTTTAAGTTTTCGGGTCCCTCTTACAGCATCGACACAGCCTGCTCCTCTTCGCTTGCAGCCATTCAGTTGGCCTGCACGTCCCTTTGGGCCGGTGACTGCGACACCGCTTGCGCCGGTGGCTTGAATGTCCTCACCAATCCCGACATCTTTGCTGGTCTTTCTAAGGGACAGTTCTTGAGCAAAACCGGGAGCTGCAAAACGTACGACAACGACGCCGACGGTTATTGCCGTGGTGACGGCTGCGGCACCGTTATCTTGAAGCGATACGAAGACGCTATCGCGGACAAGGACAACATTCTTGGATGTATCCTGGGCGCTGCCACTAATCACTCCGCTGAGGCCGTTTCCATCACTCACCCCCATGCCGGTGCCCAGGAGTTCTTGTATAAGAAGGTCTTGGCAAATGCTGGAGTTGACGCGCACGAGATCAGCTACGTCGAGATGCACGGCACCGGGACGCAGGCGGGTGACGGCATTGAGATGACCTCAGTCACCAATGTTTTTGCACCCCGTCATCGGCAGCGTCGGCCTGAGGAGACCCTTCATCTCGGTGCCATCAAAGCCAACATCGGTCACGGAGAGGCTTCGTCGGGTATCAACTCGCTGATTAAAGTCATGATGATGATGAAGAAGAACGCCATTCCTGCGAACGTCGGCATTAAAGGTGTGATGAACAAGAGCTTCCCTAAGGATCTTGGCCAACGCAACGTTCACATCGAAACGCGGCAAGTAGCATATCCACGACGTGGTGCTGAGAAGCGCAAGATCTTCCTCAACAACTTTTCTGCCGCTGGTGGCAACACCGCAATTGTTCTCGAGGATGGTCCGCTCATGGAGGCTCCCACTGCGGTTGACCCAAGGGGTACCCACATGGTTGCAGTTTCCGCGCGCTCCATTGCCTCGCTCAAGAGAAACATCACCCGCCTGATTGGCTACCTTGGGGAGAACCCGCAGACAACACTGGCTAGTCTAGCGTACACCACCACTGCTCGTCGTATCCAGCACAACTATCGTGTTTCGTTCGCAATCTCCGACATCGCCAAGGCTAAGGAGGCCCTTCAGTCTCAAGTCAAGGATACCTACAGCCCAATTGCGATGGTGCCCACCAAGACCGCCTTTACCTTTACTGGACAAGGTTCACAGTACACTGCTCTCGGCAAGAAGCTGTACGAGGATTTGAAATCATTTAAAGACGACGTTGATCAGCTCGACAACATCGCTCGCCTCCAGGGTTTTCCCTCGATCATTCCCCTTCTCGATGGCACAGACGTGGTTTCCATTTCCCCGATCGTCGTCCAGCTCGGCATGGCCTGTATCCAAGTTGCTCTGGCTCGAATGTGGGCTTCGTGGGGCATCAAGCCAAGTGCTGTCATTGGCCACAGCCTAGGCGAATATGCTGCTCTTCATGTTGCCGGCGTCATCTCAGCCAGCGATATGATCATGTTGGTTGGTCGCCGGGCGGAGCTTCTCGTAGCCGACTGCACCTCCTACACACATGGCATGTTGGCTGTCAAGGGTAGTGTTGAGTCAATCAAGAATGCTCTTGGCAGCAAGATGACCGAGATCGCCTGCATTAATGGTCCGGAGGAGACCGTACTTTGCGGCACTGTCGAGGTGGTCGAGGCAACGAACGATACTCTTGCCTCCAAGGGCATGAAGGCCACTAAGCTCAACGTTCCGTTCGCGTTCCACTCCGCTCAAGTCGAGCCTATCCTCGAATCCTTCAAGAAAATTGCCTCAGCTGTCGTCTTCAGCAAGCCTACCGTACCAGTTCTGTCGCCACTTTCCGGTGAGATCATCCGCGAGGCTGGCATCATCGGTCCGGACTACCTCGCTAGGCACGCTCGCGAGACCGTCAACTTCTGGGCGGCATTGATGACTGGCCAAGCTGAGAAGGTGTTCGATGAGAAGACCGCTTGGCTCGAGGTTGGCGCTCACCCCGTGACTTCCGGTATGGTCAAGTCATCCCTCGGCGGCGCTCCCGTTACAGCGCCCTCCCTTCGTCGCAATGAGGATCCGTGGAAGACTCTTAATACCAGCCTGTGCGCACTTTACAACGCTGGTGTGGCCATCGATTTTAACGAGTTCCATCTTCCCTTCAACGCAGCTCACCAGTTGTTGTCCCTCCCAACTTACTCGTTCGACGATAAGAGATACTGGCTAGATTACCACAACAACTGGACCCTTACCAAGGGCGAAGCTCCTGTTGCCGCTCCAGCACCCGTGGCGCCTGTTGTTGAGGAGAAGTCTAAGCTTTCGACCACATCTTGTCAGCGCATTGTTCATGAAGAGCTCCAGGCCAACTCTGGCACTGTAGTCATCCAGTCAAACCTGGCGGACCCCAAGCTTTTCCAGGCTGTCAGCGGTCATCTTGTCAACGACGCTGCGCTTTGCCCCTCATCTTTGTATGCGGACATGGCCATGACTGCGGCCGATTATCTCTACAAACAGCTGCGTCCCAAAGGTTCTCCAGTTGGCTACAACGTTTGCTCAATGGAAGTAGCGAAGCCCCTCATTGCAAAGATTCCCCAGCCCGCGGAGGGCCAGCACATCCAGCTTGAGGCTACCGCAGACCTTGAGCAGCGAACAGTCGACCTCAAGTTCCGAAGCGTTACTCCCCAAGGCAAGCTTCTCGTCGAACATGCTTTCGGTACGGTTAAGCTTGAAGATATCGACACGTGGAAGACTGAGTGGGGCCGTACCACCTTCATGGTTCAAACCCAGGTTGATCTTCTGAAGCAGAAGCTACAGACTGGTGGTGCCCACAAGGTCCTCCGTGGAATGGCTTACAAGCTGTTCCAGGCCCTGGTCAACTACGATGCGAAGTATCGCGGCATGGAGGAGGTTATTCTCGACGGCAAGCAAACCGAGGCCACCGCAAAGATCCACTTCCAGACGAAGCCCGAGGATGGCGATTATTATTGCTCGCCATACTGGATCGACAGCTTGGCCCACATCTCAGGGTTTATCGTCAATGCTTCTGATCTTGTTGATTCAGCCAACTCTGTCTACATCTCACACGGCTGGGAGTCCATCAGAATCAGCAAGCCGCTCTCTGCCGACAAAGAGTACCGCTCATATGTTAGGATGCAGCCGGCCCCAGGCAACATATCGGTCGGTGACGTCTACATCTTTGAAGGCGAGGAGATCATCGGTGTTGTCAACGGACTTAAGTTCCAGCAGATCCCTCGCAGAGTGATGAACATCATGCTTCCGCCGATGAATAAGAACGCTACCAAGACCCCTGCTGCCCCTGTTCAGGCCGGCCCCGCTAAGACTCAAGCTCTCGTCCAGACCTCCGCCAAGACTCAGGCTGCTGCTTCGAAAGCTCCCAAGGCTGTTGTTACGAAGACAGTCAAGACCGTCAAAACTGTGATGCCCAAGCCGACCGGCAACACAATCACTTCTCGCGTCATGAAGATTATCGCTGAGGAAACTGACGTTGACATGTCTGAACTGGTCGATGACGCTGCCTTCGAGAATCTGGGCGTAGACTCTCTTATGTCTTTGACGATCTCAGCCAAGTTCCGCGAGGACCTCGACCTTGAAATCAGCTCAACGTTGTTTACAGATTTCCCTACTGTCGGGCAAATGAAGAGGTTCTTCTCTCAATACGACGGAGGAGCTCCCCTTGTCGAGTCCGAAGATTCTGATCTTTCCGAGGTGTCTGACCTCCCTACGCCGTACGATGGGGACGACGTCAGCACTCCTGCAAGCTCAGCGCCTAGCTCCGCTCCCAGTATTTCTGGCAAAGAAGCCCCAGTCCGCGTTGAAATCAAGCAGACCACAGAGACCATTGAAGGCGAAGTCAGTCTGGCCCGACAGATCGTAGCCGAGGAGATGGGTGTGGATATTTCCGAGATCACCGATCAGGCTGACCTAGCCGAGATGGGCATGGATTCTCTGATGAGCCTAACAATCTTGGGTGCGTTGCGAGAGAGGACCGGCGTCGAGCTTCCCTCTACATTCCTCGTCACCAACTCCTGCATCGAAGACATTGAGAACGCTCTCGGCATGCGCCCTAAGCCCAAACAGAAGGTTACCGTTGAGACGAAGATCCAAACCAAGTCTGTTACAGCCACCAACCCTCAGCTCGCCGAGGTGAACAAGAAGCTCCAGCCTATCTCTAAGGATATCTCCAACTTGCCACCTGCCACCTCAGTTCTTCTCCAGGGCAATGCTAAGATAGCAACGAAGAAGTTCTTCTTGCTCCCGGACGGTTCTGGCAGCGCAACCTCATACATCTCAATCAGCAACATCTCTCCGGACATGGCCGTATACGGTCTCAACTGCCCTTTCATGAAGAAACCTGAGGATTTCACCTGCGGTATCGACGGTGTCTCCGCCCTCTACTATGCCGAGATAAGGCGTCGTCAGCCCAAGGGTCCTTATATTATTGGCGGTTGGTCAGCCGGTGGTGTCATCGCGTACGAAGTCGCACTCCAGATCCTTGCTTCCGGCGAGGAGGTTGAACGCCTTGTTCTTATCGACTCCCCGTGCCCTGTCGCTCTTGATCCTCTACCCGCTCGTCTCCACATCTTCTTCGACCAAATCGGTCTCCTGGGCACCGGCAAGGCAGGTGGTACTCCCGGCTGGCTACTCCCTCACTTCAGCGCCTCGATCACCGCCTTGTCAGGATACAACCCTGCGCCATTCCCGAAGCACAGAGCGCCTAAGACGTTTGCTATCTGGTGCACTGATGGTGTCTGTGGCAAGCCCGATGACCCTCGCCCACCGCCAGCTGAGGATGAGGACCCGGCGCCGATGAAGTGGTTGCTCAACAACCGCACTGACTTCGGTGACAACGGCTGGGCGCAGCTCTGCCATCAGGAGAATATGGAATTTGCAGTAATGGGTGGGAACCATTTCACCATGATGAAGGGCGATCACGTAAGTCACCTTGCACCATTCTATCTCCAAGCACATCACTAACATTTTCTCAGGGCGAGACACTTGGCAAGCTCATCCGTCAAGGACTTGGCCTTGCGTAATCTTTAATTATCTAATATCTCCTTGACTTCTGCCTGCATTGCCACTCCGTTCGGTTACCCTTGGGCGGCACCTTTAGGGAAACCGGACAGGGTGGTATCGTCGGCTTGCATGGACTTCTTCTAGTTGCTCTTGGGCGGCACCTTCAGAGGAACTGGACAGAAGCGGAGTTTTCAAAGCGATGGACACTCGCTGTTTCCGCTTGTTTTCAACATCATGGGTCGTCTGGATTTACCGCATTTATGTCTTCACTGCACGGCAAAGGGTGTTTATTAGACGGCGCATCGGCGAACAGTGGGAGGCTGGCTTTTTCTGTAACGGTCTGCATGGAGTTGTTATCATGGTTATCATCTGGTTGTATATACCAAATAGACCGAGTTAATTTTCAAATTTGAACATCACCTCTCCTTCGATGGCACTGAAACAACCGCAGCACACTGAAACACATTGAACGAGCAGCAGCGCCCGCGAACCCCAGGATTTCTTTCTTTCCCACCCCCAGCTCGCTTGCCGGCACCCCGAATCCTGGAAATCCTCCATTTCCCATTTCAAGCACCCGCACAAGCCCCTCCCACATGTACAAGGTCACAACTCGCATAATCGTGCATCAAGCATCGTCGTCCCACACGACCACCAAGCCCGCCTAACGCAGCCCTCCCCCCAGCATGATTTCGGACTCCGGAGGGAGGAGGGAGGGGGAAGTCCGAGCTTTTAGGCTGTCCCTTCCTCCAAGCCCTCCCAAGCCCTGCGAGCAACGTGACGAGGTTGCAGCCGTACGATACTAAGACAGGCGGTGCGCTTCAGGCGCACACGACAGACACAGCTACGGTCGCCGTCGGGGTCAGCGCTGGTGCCTTGGCCGGCTGGTGAGCTGGCGCAGGGCGCGTCGGGCGGGCGGGCGGCGGTCGTTGCGCCTGCTCCGGAGCTATCGTCTCGTGCCTCATTTGGCGGAGATGGCAAACACGAAGGCAGAGCGACTTGGGGCAATGAGGAGATTGATCGCTCTCGTTCCTCAGCTGAGAAAGCATGAGGATCCTCGGCCACGGTCGTGGCATGGCGGGATGGAGATTGCGATCGCCGCGGCGGCTCTGTGGGGAGGTGCGTTTAAGGTTGGATCGTCGGCGTCATTGATTTGCCCGTCGGAGGCATGGCCGTCCGGCCGGGATATGCCGCTCTTGGCGGCCGGCTTGGGCATCTGCGGGTTCGGTCGCTGTGCGTGGGCGGAATTGATGCAAACGGTGCAAACGCGATGCCAAGGATTGACGCAGCAAGGGTTGGGAGTTTGTGAGGCTCTGCGCGTGCACGTGTGCGTGTGCCAGAATATTTAAACATGGCGGCTGTCACGAAGGGAGACGGGTGAGTGCTGCTCTGCGTGCAGTTGATTTGGTCCGCACGGCAGCTGATCTGATCTGGGAAAACAGCAAAGATGCGCCGACCAACCCCCGCGGCATCCCGTACGCGCCCTTCGTCGACAAGGTCGAGGACTACGTATCCACACGCGCCGAGGTTGAGGGAACGCTCAAGAGCTTCCAGGAGATGATATCGTGTGTGCTCTCCTCTCAATGGCCCCACGCGCCTCCAGCCTAACACCAATGCCCGCCGCCTAGGAAATACCAGTTCATGCAACAGAACACCGAACGCCGCACCATCGGCCTCAAAGACAAGATCCCTGACATCCAAAAAACCCTCGACACAGTCCGCTTCCTCCAGACCCGCACGCCCGACTCCGAGCCCATCGAGACCACCTTCGAGCTGAACGACACGCTGTACGCGAAGGCGCGGATACCGCCCACGGAAGAGGTTTACCTCTGGCTGGGCGCCAACGTCATGCTGTCGTACCCAATACCAGAGGCAGAGTCGTTGCTGGAGTCGAAGCTGAGCGCCGCGCAGTCGAGTCTGTCGAACTGCGAGGAGGATCTTGATTTTTTGAGGGAGCAGATCACGACGCTCGAGGTGGCTACGGCGAGAGTGTATAATTGGGATGTTCAGCAGCGGCGGAAAGAGCGGATGGAGGCGGATGGGTCGATAGGGGATATGAGAGGCGCGCCGCCGAATGGATAGTCGTGTGTTGTGCAGCAAATAGTCAATATTTGTCTAAATCCTTCCAGTCCCCTAAAGGTACGACAGTGTGAAGGCATACGTTCGATAACTCTGCACACCGAGTCGCGCAGAGGCAAGGAGGCTTCCCACGGGGCTCCTTGTGGAACACCCATCCAGGTGGATCGTGGAAGCGGAGGCCATTCCACTTCTCTCAGATAGATGTGTCCATCTAAAATAAATGTCAATGTGCGATTCACTGGAAAGCCTTCTACCTAAGATTCAGCTATGGGGTACTGAGAGAAGCGATTCTGTATGAACTTGATTCCGGAGAGCGGCTTGTTTGCGTCCCGGCCAACTTAGACCTTCCTCAATCGTCTGACGAACTCTTGCTTGCGAGTTATGGCATGCTTCGTGCGTTGTGTACCGGCCCTCTACACGGTAGCTAAAACTTTGGCATTATGCTTGTTCATCTGACCACTCCTGAGGGCATATACAACAGGACATCGTGCTCTTACTAACAACGCTCCAATGCTCTTCTAAACGACATTTCGACTTCGCGCAGGGACAATTTGCATAAAGGCAAAGAAGGGTATTATTGCTCTTAAAGAATCCAAAGCCGCGGGTGCATTGTCCCCTCGTCAATCCCGAAGTTCTGTCGTCTTCCCTGCCCTCTCGCCCAGCTCCTAAAAGCTTCAACCTTCAAACAGTGTACTGCGCCCCCACAGTCGGCTCATAGAAGTTCATCCCGTAATCCTGCAACGCGGCGTCAAGGGATCCCACTCTCCCTTCTCGAATCTTACGCTTTCTTGCCGTACCTGATTGCGGGGGGCGCTCTTGCCTTTGCGGCACCACGACTTGCCGAGATCCTCCAGGTCTTTGCACCCAAAGGGTGTCTTGTGATGAAAACATCCGTTCCGAGTACCGGCCAGGCCCGAACAGGAAGTTGAGGGTCGGCAGCTGTGAGGTCGCTGATTCTTTGGTGCCGTCGGCGAGTAGGTCTGCGTAAGCGACGAGATTGTTTAACGCGTTGGATCTGTTTGAAGCTCCGCTCCATTGGCTTTCCAGGTGGTGAGCGTGGCGGCTGTTGTCCTTGTTAGTGAGCGTTCAGTAGGAATACCTTATCATGTGCTACTGCACGTCCGCTTGATGAGGCTGTTCTTTGAATTGCCTCGATACGTCGGCGCAGAAGGAGGCCGGAGATTGAGAACAACAGGAAATGGAACACTTGAAGCGTTTCACACTCCTAACCTCCGCTGACCGAACCGAAAAAACGCCAAAATTGAGAGGCATAGATTGTTGGTATTGGCTAAGACCTGACTTACGCGGGTAATGATGACCATCCCAACATTTTCGCAATAGACTGCTCGAGCATGTTCGAGCTCAGACTGCCCGTCTCGCTGCGCAGGCAACATAGAGTAAGCGCTGGAAACACGGCCAACTGGTCGAGTGTAGTAGTGTTGATATAGTGGTAATCGCAGATCATAAGAAAGCGTAGCCTTCTGAAACTTTCACTTCCAGTTGCGCTTGCATGGCGAGCCCAAGCTCCAAGTACTCGATCATCAATACCATGGTCGATAGTAGCAGTGCGAGAGCGGTGGCCTTCCTCGACAACAAGTGCGGCCAGGTTGGTGATACGAGAGATGCTGACTAAATTGAAAAACGATAAAGGGACGTTCGATAAAGTCAGGTACGTCAACCATTGAGCTGATGGCGATGTTATGTGCTTGATGATGTGGTCGAAATCGTGATGGGCTTTGATGTTCCTGCGATGTTGTGGGAGTGTCTCGTGCGTGCCTTTGGAGAAAATCTTAACGAACGTTGTCCAGGTTTTGAGACTATCGAGTTCGCTGCAAAGCTCCACGAACCCCGGTCAGTCCAGATCCAGGTAGGCGAGTGGAACAAAAGCAATACACGAATAAAGATATAGAGGTACTAATACGCACTGCTGGCAGATCTCTTTCCATATCGTCTGGCGAAAGCGGCCCGTATGAGCGTCGAAGCTGTCTTCGTCGAGACAGTGTAAATTCAGCAGCAGGTTCCGCATGCTCATCTTCTGTAATGATCCAGCCCCCTTTGGGTTCCGGTATTTTTGCAGTGTCATGAGGCTGCCTCTCGTTTTCTCAGGCCAAGTCGCGACCATGGACTTGACATGGGTAGATACTTCGGTATATGCGAGACCGGTTTCCGGATCATAGTTCGTATACTGCATCCTTGATCAAGTCGGCTTTGCCGATGTACTGTCTTAGACAAGGCAATGTTAGAGAAGTTGAGTATAGGTCGTTCCGAGAGGTGAAAGTTACAATGTCGTGTGCGGTCCACTAGCCAGCAAGGTGCCGTGGGTGCGTATGCCCATGCCCACACAGATCTCTTCGAGCCTTGAACACCAGCTCTTAAGAGAAGACTCTCTGCGACCTAGAGATATCAGGATCCACACGGAGACTCAGAAAGGTCTCCCTGTCCACACTCATTGGCCGCCCGGAACAGCTGTCGCTCGCCACTAGACGGCTCGCCGGCGAATTTGCACCTGGATTTAGCTTGGTACTTGGTCCTCCTCGTGCTGAGGGCGTCTTGACCCGCGAGAGAGAGATGATAGCGGCGGATTCAAGACGGTATTGAAGTCGCGACTGCATCTGGCTTTCCACGCGATACCACGTGATCAGCCCTGCCCTATCGATTGCACTGCGGGTCCACCGGCTAAACGCCATCCATCTGTCCCCCACGCCTCGCCTCTGCTCCTGGACAACAGTTACAGACACTGGATGACGCCCGCTCAGAGACGTGGGCCTCCGGTGCTCATACCCTCATACCCTCATCATGATCATCAAGAAGCCTAGCATACTCCTGTCCTCGTGCAACACCTTCACCCAGCTATGGCACTCCACAGTGCCACAATCGAGTGCGTCATTATCAACACCCTCGAACTACCAGAGTAGAGGGTACGCAACCGTTGTCGATAGTCCTCCAGACCAACATGGAGAGGACGGGCACTGGCCCAAGTGTAAGCCGGGCCATCAGCATCCAACACCATACCAGATCCTCGGCTGCCAGAGAGGCCACACCTACTCCAAAAGCCGCTTCTACGAGCTCGTAAAACTCTACCACCCGGACCGACAGACCGGCGCTGGAGGGAGCTTGGCTCACACCCACCCCAATATATGTCACATCCCCCACGCCATACGCTTAGAACGGTACCGCCTCATCGTTGCCGCGCACACCATCCTTTCCGACCCGATCAGACGCAGTGCCTACGATAGCTGGGGTGCCGGTTGGGGTGGGCACGCCGAGGTCCCCTCCTCGAACGATGGACACGATAGGCCAGCAGCATGGGGTATGGGTCAAAGTCCGATGCACTGCGCCACCTGGGAGGACTGGGAGCGGTGGTACCAACGGAATGACGAGAAGCCCCAGGCGCCGCTGTACCTGTCCAACGGAGTCTTTATATCCTTCGTTGCCATGCTGGCAATTCTGGGTGGGGTCGGACAAGCCACGCGGGTGGGAAATTTCTCGACTAGTATGCTGGAGCAACGCAACGCGGCGCACCACTTAGCAAGCCAGGAGCTGGTACGGGCGAGAAGTGAGACAATAGGTGGGACGAAGGAAGACCGTATAGCAAACTTCTTGCGCCACAAGGATCCAGATTCATATCGAGACGAATCGTTAAGGAGGCTGTTGCTTCAGCCTGACATGTGCGCTAGCGAAAATGTCAAGGGTCAGGATGTTGTATGACGGTAACGCTGGGGTTGCCAGGTGACAGTGTTACACGTTGGCGAACGGTATATATCGGATTTTATTTCATCACAACATAGGCGTCGCTTGGCATGGGACATCAGCGTGTGGCTAGGGCGTTATGGCTTTGGGCTACGGGAGCATTGTAACGAGCTGCTTGTGCTTTAACGGAGGGGTGGCATCCGAGACGGTTGGATCATGTCAACTATGAGAGAGGCTTCAAAGCTACTGAACATTACTATACGAGTATCAATCTTGCTCAGAACATCTACTTAGTGCCTGAACACCTGACGATCCCCCACCGACCACTACCTTGAGGCAAGACCGGGAAGCATGTCTGCGCCTTTCCGCTTGTGATGTTGTTACAACAGCAGCTGTTTCATGTAGGTCGAGTTCATTCACATGATCACTCTTCTTTCTGGCCTTCTGTGACAGCGCGTAACTCGAAGTTTCCCAGTTTGATACGTTACGTAGCTTGGTGCTCCGCCACAATAACTGCCAGTTCACGTACAAGCTTCAAGTACTTGTCGCATTCCTTACATCTTCCACCTGTATCCTTCGCTTTGCCTTGCTCGAATCAAGTAACAATAGCTTTTCCGTAGTCAATCTTCTACTTGAACAGAACCGTCCTCTGGAAGTTGACCATTCCAACATGGGCGGTGGCGATGGTTACAGATCTGTGGCATACTTTGTAAACTGGGTAACCAAGACACTCGCAATCAATATTTGAGCTGCTGTTGACTTTAAGCAGGCTATCTACGGCCGCAATCACAATCCTCAAGACCTTCCTGCGGAGAAGCTCACCCATGTGCTCTACGCCTTCGCCAACATCCGCCCAGAAACCGGAGAGGTGTACGTAAACCTCATTACATTATCACTGACCCAGTTCCAAGCGCAAAAGCTCACTCACATCACAGCTACCTAACAGACACCTGGTCCGACATCGAAAAGCACTACCCTACCGACTCCTGGAACGACGTGGGCACCAACGTCTACGGCTGCATAAAGCAGCTCAACCTGCTCAAGAAGCGCAACCGCGACCTCAAAGTCCTCCTCTCCATCGGCGGCTGGACCTACTCCGCCAACTTCGCGCAGCCCGCATCTACCGAAGCAGGCCGCAAGCGCTTCGCCTCGAGCGCCGTCCAGCTGCTCAAAGACCTCGGTCTTGACGGGCTGGACATCGACTGGGAGTACCCGCAAGACTCCACCGAAGTCTCCAACTTCGTGCTCCTGCTCAAGGAAGTGCGGTCGGCGCTTGACGAGTACGGCCGCCATCTGTGCGACCGCCACCACCTCCCGCACCCGCGCTTCCTCCTCAGCATCGCGTGTCCCGCCGGCCCGCAGAACTATCAAAAGCTCGACCTCGCCGCCATGGACCCCCTCCTCGACTTCTGGAACCTGATGGCCTACGACTACGCCGGCGCCTGGGGCGCCTGCTGCGCGCACCAATCGAACCTGTACCCTTGCCGCAGCGACCCAGCCTGCACGCCCTTCAGCACCTCCGCAGCCGTGGAACACTACCTCGCCCACGGCGGCATCCCGTCCAGCAAACTCGTGCTCGGCATGCCGCTCTACGGCCGCGCCTTTTGCGGCACCTCCGGCCCCGGGCGCCCGTTCTGCGGCACGGGGGAGGGGAGTTGGGAGGGCGGGGTGTGGGATTTCAAGGCGTTGCCGCGGCCGGGGTCCAAGGTGTGTCTGGACACGGAGGTCGGGGCGAGTTGGTGTATCGATGACAGGGGGACGATGGTGAGCTATGACAGCGTGGAGATGGCGCGGATGAAGGCGGAGTTTGTGGAGCAGAGGGGGCTGGGCGGGGCGATGTGGTGGGAGAGTAGTGCGGATGGCTGCGGGGAGGGTAGTCTGATTGCTACGGTGAGCTTGGGTTTGCTCCGTGAGGTTTGGGGAAGCAGGCTGACGCATGTACGCAGGTTGTCAATAAGCTTGGTGGGCCGAGGCAGGGGAAGATGGAGCATAGCTGTAATGTGCTTGCGTATCCGGACTCGAAGTACGAGAACATGAGGAAGGGGTTTCCTGGTGAGTAGAGCGGTTGAACGGCTGCTCGGATACAGCATTCGAATCCGAAAGGGCACTGGGTAGGGTGAGTTGGAATTATAGTGAGGAGATACGGAGTGGCGAAGTGAAGGAAGACCATATGACAATATGTCAACGGTCACTTGGATGTAAAAGGCATGGACGGGTAAGGCATGATAACGGGTGGGATTTGCGGCAGCGATTCTGAATATCATTGAAATATGACAGTCGTTGCAGATTTGTTCATTTTAGTGATTCTCATAATACCTGCCAGCCTGTGATCCATCCTCTGCCCCTTTCCAGGCGTGGCAGGAGCTGTCTGAATCAGCTACCTGTCCTAATACTGCAAGCTTGCAGTGTCGCTCGACTGTTGTTTGTAGGTCCCCAACCCACCCGCTGAACCTCACGCAGAGATGGAAAACCTCATCGAACACTAAAGACAGAAACCCGAAAGGAGCTAGGCCGTAAGCTCCGATGTGCTTGTTGTTGCCCGCAGAGCAAACCTAGCCCAGGAAATGGGAAAGAAAAAAAGGGCACAGGCTCCAGCATCTCAGTCAATGTTGATAACCTCATGCTGCGGTTGCTGTAGGGCCGGAAGTTGCTGCGGAGCAGCGCCCTCAGCGACCGCGTGCTGGGTGACCACTTCGTCCAGCTTTAGCATCACCTCCTCGACACCCACTATCCCGGCTACAATGCCAGCTCCCGTACCCCTCCAGTCTTTGCCCTCGTCGCTATACAATGCCTGAAGAGCTCCCCTGAGCGGCTCCGACCGCTGCTGAGGCGGCCTTGTGCTGGCAACTGTATCTTGTATGTGCCATTGAACTTTGTCCTTGTGTGTGCGTAGCCGTATGCTGAAGGATGACATTGGGTTTGAATACACCATCGAATGCCAATCAGCGCTGTGAGAGTGAATGGACGGCCGCTCCGCTGCAGGTCGTTCGCGAGTCTCGATGGACTGTAAGGCGCGGAGTAGGGGAAGACTGAGTTGTAACATGTGGGCGAACGTGTCGAATCCGGCGTCGTTGTCGTTGAGTTGATTGGTGAGCCAGACAAGGGCTCTCTGTTGTGGATTGTCCGGTGCGAGATGCAGCCTCATTGCTGCGCCTTCCTGTAGATAGATGTCTGCGCTCAGGCTGGCGCTTTCGCCATACCGGAAAGAGATTCGCGAGGGACTAGTCTTGCCGATCTTGAATTTGCGCCTTTGGAGTACTTCGATGAAGAAGCGCAGACGTTCGATGTTGTGTAAGCACAGCGCAAATTGCTTGACAAAGGAGGTGCCAAAGGGGGAACGGAGCATCATCGAGAACGCGCCGTTGCTATGGAAAATGCAGTCGTCTTTGTCGGAGGTCTTCAACAGTCTGTTCATGTCCACTTGTCGCTGAGCTAAGAAGCCCTTTGCGATGTGCAACACTTTGCGTCGCTCGACGTCCAAGCCGTGATAGACAAGCCGGACAAAGTCGGATGCCCAGAATGTGGCGCTCGGAGCGGGCTGGTTGCGGCTCTGCTGGAGTAGTTTCGATAACTGCACATAGAGTGCTACCACCTGATGGGCGTTAGGGGTGCCCGAAGTTCCTGGGGAGGTGAAGACAGATTCTTCACGCACACCGAACGGTATCTTCCGCTGCCTCAAGTCGCGGACCGTTGTGCGCATTGAGATCGCCGCGACAGCCATGCGCTCAATCTTAGCTAGGAGGGATCCGGAGATCGGGACTGGTTTGCTGTTCAACCTCAGCGATGGTATAGGAATCGCTGCGGTGATAGCTCCACCAAAGACAGGGTCAGTCCTGCGATTGTGCGTTAGTAGAGAGTTTGGGAAGAACGCTGTTGACGCTAGTAAGACTCACAGTTCCAGGCTCCACCAAGTCAGGCCAAGCGGTGTGATGCTGGCGACTATTGCCCAACTCGGATCCCATCCATTGCCTCGGAAGAAGCTGAGTTGCAAGATATCTTGGTTGAGCGCCGCTTTCATCGCATCCGGCTTGACCCGAATATGCCTCAGTCGTTTCCAACCTGTGCTCTCGGCGTGCTCTTCTATGTTGCTCTGTATGCTCCTACATAGATAGTAGGCCAGCGCCCGTGTTACTTCTTCGGCCGGGGAGTCCTTCCTGTTAAGCTCCACTTCGATGCGCGCTGATGATCCTGTCGCCGGCAGTAGAGTCAAGCGTCCGGTCGCCATATCCACCTTCAAAGTAATCTCGTTATCTGGCGTTTCCAGCCATGCCCGCAGCGCGCAGTCACCGGGCTCCGTTTCCGAAGTAGACAGGCTGGCTCCGAACGCTTCGTTGCCGCCAGCCGCAGCAACAAGCTTCCCATGAACGGAGGCCAGTACCATGTTTATGTGACGCGCAATGACGCGCTTCATTGTCAGCTCCATGGATACGTCTTCCCATTGAAGCGCCACGGAATCAGTCGTTTCTTTCCCATTGCGGAACCACCGCATGCCGATCTTTGGCTGTGCTGCATTGGTCGCAAACGTGTTTCGATCATTGGAAGTCGCGCTCATCACGCCAAACTCTAGCCAGTTCTTGCCGCCAGGCAGATCAGTCCAGTACTGTATCACCAGCACTCGATGGACGTGTTCTATCCGTAACGAATCTTGCCAAGCGCCCGCGTTCATTTCATGTGCCTGTCGCCAGAGGACAGAGATCTTGTGGGTGAGAGTGAAGTTATGAAGGAACTCGTGACAGCGTGCTAACCCTTGCGTGCCGAGCACTGCATTGCATTGATTTTGTAGAATGTCTTTGAACTCATCCGAAACCTGTGGTGCCGGAGAGAATAGGAATCTGATGTCGACAAACCAGAACTGTGACGAGGGCTCTTCGTCTGCTACCGAGACGTCGAACTCGAACTCGCCGGGTATCACAAACGTTGCTCGTCCTGACGCTATCGACCACTTCTGCAGGTATCGAGGTAGAGACTCATGAAGGTTTAAGCGTATCGATAATATAGAGTTAAGATTCTGTAAGGTGTCTGCTATGCCCTGAGCATCCAGTGGGTCTTGCGGGATGTAGTTCAAGTCTGGCATCCAGGATGCTTTCCCAGTAGAAAGAACCTCTAGGGCTGTTTTCATGTCCGGATTTGGCATCTTCGCATTGTGAGTCGAGAGCTTGATATCAGCAATGAAATGGGCCGCATTGTCGAATTTATCCATCGTTGCTCGCTGCCAGGTCCAGATGTCAATGAGTTTGCTCACGTCTTCGGCCTGCCGACTCCATTGCGACAGAATCCATAGTTTGATGAACATCTCCCTTCGACGGTGTGCAAAGCTCATCAACATCGTTTTCTTCTGAACACCAGTTGGTGTCGCGACTCCGGCTCCAGCGGCTCCCGCATTGTGATTGACCCCGTTGGGCAAAGAACTGTTGGCCTGTTGAGGAACCTGCATCTGCGCCATTTCATCGAGCACTTCCGCAAGCTCGTTGTAGCATTCTTGCGCCGCTCGGCCTATGAGCTTCCCCAGCGGTTGAAAGCCTTCCGTAATGTGCTCAATCTCAGGCGGAGGTCCAGAGTCCAACATGACCTGTCTTATCTCTGGCGGGAGGGCCAGCATGGAGGAGGAAACAGCCATGTTCTCAGAAGGGACTGAATGGCCGTTGGGAATGTAGCCGTTTGGTGCGCCGGATAGACCATCAGATTGTGAGTGCGGCGCGACACCATTTGTCGTTTGCGCTGCGCCTGGGCCCTTGCTGGTTGGGGCATTGTCTGCGCCCTCGTGCTCCATGATCAACCTTCCCGGCATCGGTGCAACGCCCAACCCAGACTTTGCGGACGAGCTATCTTCTAACAGGCTTCTACGACCACCCCCCCCACCTTCGTCTCCCTCACCGCGCCCCGTCGGCCTCGAGTCTTCCAGCCCTTCTTGACCACTCAATGTCGTCGGTTGTGCTGAGATAACTTGCGCCTACCGCGAGCGGCTCTGTTTGGGAGGACGGCGGAGGTGTCGAGCTTGAAGTGCGGCACTGAGCTGCGGCGCTGAGCTGCAGTATCTCGAGTGATTGCGCTGAACGGATACGAAAACTCCTGTCGGCTCGGAGAAAGTGCGCGATACCTTGTGTGGTGGCGGAGACAATGGGAGGCCGGTCGATGGACGTCAAAGGGTTGCGAGGAGCGTTGTCAAGGACCGAGAGCGCCGAAAGACTGGTTCGCAGCAGATTCAAGCGGCAGTTCTGAGAAGATGAATGCGCGGAGGTGAGAGGCGGGCCAGCAGAAGCAATGCGCCGACTCGTGGTGAAGCGAAAAGCGAGAGTGTGGAAGAAGGCGAGGTTGGATAAGTTGGCTGATGTGGATGTGGATGTGGATGTGGATGTGGATGTGAATGTGAATGTGAATGTGAACGACAAGTGGAAGGCCAAGGCGGTGATGCCGTCCGGGGCAGACCCTGGTCTAGCGTGCCTACCTTACCTGCTAGCTCCATTCCGGCCATTCAAGCAGAAAACAACGACCTCCCAAGCATCCAAGAATGGGACTGCAGGCAGTTTGCATCGGGTTGTTAAGGCAGACAGCAGGCGGACTGGGCTTGCACAGTCAACTGCCGCGAGCTGCTCGAGCCTGCTGTTCCAATGCGGGCGTGTCAGGTGGATATGTACTCGTATGCAGCGCGCAATAAATGGATGAATGGAGCGCCGGGCGTGTAATCTATCAGCAGCCCTACACCCAAACACCCACCGTGGACGCGCCCTTGTGCGGAGTGGCACCGGAGACACTAACCAGCTGGCAAAACTCCAGCGTCTCCGCTTAATTCTTCAAGATGCTGCCGCTGCAAAGTGCACCTGCGATGGCAGATCCCCTAATCTGCGCCGTGTAAAGCTCCCGCTCCCGTCAGCCATGGTTCCCAGGGTGCCGACTGCACCACCTCCAACCTCACAACCTCCGCCACGTGATCCGTCCGCCAACTCGAAGACTTCCATCGCCCACTCCTCGTCGCACGAGGCCGACGATGAGCGGACGCCGTCAGAAGCTTCCAGCATGGGCCCCGATGCTGATGCGGAAGACCGCGTTGCGCGTCTTTACCCGGACGAAGACGCGCGCTTGACCAGTAAGAAAGAGCTGTCCGGGTTCTACGTCTACGGCTGGGCCGCTGAGGTACGCATTCATCTGCTGCTGAAGCATCCGGTGTACTAACACACTGCAGGTGTTTGTCGTTTGCGGAGTCGGTACGTCTGACATTATTCTGTGATTGAACCGCCTGCCGAGACCTGAAGCATCCGTCGCCGCAAATCCCCATATCAAAACCCTGTATCATATAGACCTGGTGACATGTTAAAGAATATACCCGACCTCTAAGCTTTGCCGTGCTTCCGACTTCCCCGCGAAATCGGGCATATACTAACAATCTTCGCCGCAGGCTCCTTCATCCCCATCACCCTAGAGCAGCTTGCGCGGGAACGCGGCGTGCTGCTGTCAGATAAGTCGACGCCATGTGGAAGCAGCTTCGACGCCCCTGTGCCGCCAAACATGAACCACACGTCGATAGCAGCAAACGCAACCTCAGCTCTGCTGTCTAGAACATCTTACGATGCCGATGCAGGCCAATGCGTTGTTAACATTCTTGGACTGGACGTCAATACCGCCAGTTTTGCCATGTACACCTTCTCACTCAGTGTCCTCATCCAAGCTTTGCTCATCATCTCCATGTCAGGCGCGGCGGATCATGGCCGGTACCGAAAGACATTTCTACTGGCATTTGCATTCATTGGCTCGATCACCACCATGCTTTTCCTTCCTATCGTTCCGCGAGTCTACATTTTGGGTGCAGTGCTCGCAATTATAGCCAACACGTGTTTTGGCGCGTCTTTCGTCTTACTAAACTCCTTTCTACCTCTGCTGGTCCGCCACCATCCTACAGTTCAGTATGCAGTTCAGCACCCGCCGGCACCTGAGGATGGAGATCGACATCAATCACCCGTCGATGAAGACACTATGCTGGATGATATCACCGACTCGACAGCAGCGTTACTCGGCGGCGGTTCTGGAGCGGATCTGACTTCCCCAACCCGACAATCTCCTGCAGCACCTTCGCGAGAACTACAACTTTCCACGAAGATCTCATCTTACGGCATCGGCATTGGATATGTAGCCGCAGTCATAGTGCAAGCCCTGTCCATCTTCATCATAATCTCTACTGGATCGTCAACATTTTCTCTCCGCCTGGCTCTGTTCGTCATCGGCGCGTGGTGGTTCGTATTCACGATTCCAGCAGCCTTCTGGCTCCGGCCTCGACCAGGCCCACCACTCAGTATAAGTCACGCCAACAGCAAAGCTCGAACATGCTTTGCCTATTTTTCGTACTCGTGGAAGGCACTTGGGAAGACGATCAGACACGCGCGACAGCTGAAGGATATGCTGCTCTTTCTCGGCGCCTGGTTCCTGCTCAGCGACGGCATCGCTACTATTAGTGGCACTGCGGTGAGTAAAGCTAGAGCTCGCACGTAGCTATTGGAGGCTGACATGCAACCAGGTTCTCTTCGCAAAGACATCCCTCGAAATGAAGCCCGCAGCTCTCGCTTTTATAAATGTCATCTCGATGCTCTCAGGCGTTGTCGGCGCCTTCACATGGAGCAGGCTCTCCGCCATGATGGGCCTGAAGCCCACACAGACCATCCTGGCTTGCATCTGCCTCTTCGAGCTGATACCGCTGTATGGGCTACTCGGCTACATTCCGGCGGTACGCCGCTACGGCGCGTTTGGCTTGCAACAGCCCTGGGAAATGTACCCGCTTGGAGCTGTCTACGGCTTCGTCCTCGGCGGGCTCTCGTCGTACTGTCGGAGCTTGTTTGGCGAGCTGATCCCGCCGGGGTCTGAGGCGGCGTTTTATGCGCTGTATGCGATCACCGATAAGGGGTCTAGCATTTTTGGACCGGCTATCGTAGGAGCGATTACGGATGCTACGGGGGAGATTAGGCCTGTGAGTCCGCTGCATGTGTTGTGTATATCGCACGCTTCTAACCGGCTAATGCATGCATGCAGGCGTTTTGGTTCCTCGCTGTCCTTGTCGGCTTGCCCTTCCCTTTGATGTTGATGGTCAACGTTGAGCGGGGCAGAGCGGACGGTATAGCCATGTCGAAAGAGCTGAATGACGGGAAAAGTACAGGCGTGCAAAGAGACAGGGCTAGAAGCAGTGACAGCGAGCGTTCAGTAGAGGACGAAGCGTTGGATTCGGACTCTGGTATTATTCGCGGGAGCCACGATGGTCGCTAAGTATATTGAATTACCTGTATAAATGATTCATCCTCACCATCTGCTCTGCACCGCCGGTGCCGAGTCACATCTCATTATCCAAACTCTGGAGTGTGTCGAGCAGGGCACAATAAGCTCCAAGTTAAGCCACCCAGCAAGAGTCGGCGCACGAGCTGTGAAGACGATCTTGGCACGAGCTGGGCTATGTCTAGTCCACAATGCCCTCCCATTCGCCAGATGGTTATCCACCTAGAATTGTGGGTGAATCGATGCTGGGCTTACTCCACTCTCAGTGCCAATGGTGCTCGAGGGGTTTACGCGCAGACAGGCAGAACGTTGTGGATGCTGCGTAATTACAGGAGCACGAAATAGATGCGGCTTCAGATGTGCGGAGTGAGTGCCGGGACAAAAATAGGACACCCCCAGCGGGGAAGGAGACGTTCTGGCTTGGCGGGTCCTTGGTCCCTGAGCTGAGGGCGGTTTCACACCCTTGAGCGCTCGAAGCTGCCACCTTGCATTTCGAGCCGCTGAACTCTAGATCCCACACAAAAAGGAGCTCATCACTCTTCAACTGCATCTTCTCATCACCTGCTTGAATCCGCATAAAATTACTGCGGGACCTCCTTTAAACTACTCGAATCATGCGGACTGCCGCAGTTTTTGGCCTTGCTGCCCTTGCAGCTGGAGCGATTGCTTCCGACGTGCACGACCTCAAGCAGGATACGTTCAAGAGCTTTATAGAAGAACACAATCTTGTGCTTGCAGAGTGTATGAGCTCTCTCTTCCTTTGAGCTGCGTGATGACGGCTAATGGATGATTGCATAGTCTTCGCGCCATGGTGTGGTCACTGCAAGGCGCTCGCACCTGAGTACGAGGAGGCCGCTACACAATTGAAGGAGAAGGACATCCCTCTAGCAAAGGTCGACTGCACGGAAGAGGCGGAACTCTGCTCCAGCTATGGAGTCGAGGGTTATCCAACTCTGAAAATCTTCCGCGGGCCGGATAACGTCAGTCCTTATAGTGGGCAGAGGAAAGCCCAAGCGTAAGTCCTTCAAGTAACGTGTTCTGTATTGTAATACTTACGCCTTGCCCAGAATCATCTCCTACATGACCAAGCAAGCTATGCCTGCCGTCTCGGTACTCGACAGCAAGACCCTCGCGGACTTCAAGACTGCCGACAAGGTCGTACTTGTGGGATACTTTGCCGCCGATGACAAATCCTCGAACGAAACCTTCTCCTCCGTCGCTGAGGGTCTCCGAGACAGCTTCCTCTTCGGCGCCACCAATGACGCCGCTCTGGCCAAGGCTGAGGGAGTCAAGCAGCCTGCCATTGTCCTCTACAAAACTTTCGACGAGGGCAAGAACACCTTCACTGATAAGTTCTCGAAGTCTGCTATCGAAGATTTCGCCAAGGTCGCCTCGGTACCATTGGTTGGCGAGGTTGGCCCTGAGACATATGCTGGCTACATGGCTGTAAGTGATTTGACTTGAAGCAAACCTGACTACATGCGCTTACGATATTTCCAGGCCGGCATTCCCCTTGCCTATATCTTCGCCGAGACGCCTGAGGAGCGTGAGGAGCTCGCGACTGCTTTGAAGCCCGTCGCCACGAAGCACAAGGGCAAGATCAACATTGCCACCATTGATGCCACGGCGTTCGGCCAACACGCCGGCAACCTCAACCTCGAGGTCGGCAACTGGCCCGCTTTCGCCATTCAGGACACCCAGAAGAACCAGAAGTTCCCGTTCACCCAGGGCCAGAAGCTGACCGAGTCAGCGATCGGCAAGTTCGTCGATGACTTCCTCGCTGGCAAGGTTGAGCCGAGCATTAAGTCTGAGCCCATTCCCGAGAAGAATGACGGCCCAGTTACGGTCATCGTTGCGCACAACTACAAGGACATCGTCATGGATGACAGCAAGGATGTCCTGGTCGAGTTCTACGCGCCATGGTGCGGTCACTGCAAGGCGTATGTTTCCCTTCGTTCCAACTTCACTCATGAACGACTATACTAACCTCTTCTCCAGTCTCGCCCCCAAGTACGAAGAGCTCGGCTCCCTCTACGCCAACCACCCCAACATCGTCATTGCCAAGGTCGACGCGACCGCCAACGACGTTCCCGAGGAGATCCAGGGCTTCCCGACGATCAAGCTCTACGCCGCCGGCCGCAAGTCCGACCCCGTGGAGTACACCGGCAGCCGCACCGTCGAGGACCTCGCAAACTTCATCAAGGAGAACGGCGCCCACGGCGTCGACGTCTACGGTGATTCCGACGACACGCTTGAGCTCCGGGACCTATCCGACATGCCCGAGCAGGCTGCCGCCGCTACCAAGAGCGCCAAAGACGCCGCTTCGGGCGCCGCTTCCAAGGTCAGTGGAGCGGGCGAGGCCGCTACCGATGCGGCTGCTGGCGCGGCGTCCCAGGCTAGCGGCTCAGCGGCGAACGTGGCCGGGAAGGCTACTGACGCTGCCGCTGATGCGGCTTCCAAAGCTAGCGGAACGGCGGCCGGTGCCGCCTCCAAGGCTACCGATGCGGCTGCGGATGCGGCTTCCCAGGCCAGCGGTTCAGCCGCCAGTGCCGGTTCGAAGGTCAGCGAGGCGGCTTCCGGTGCGGCTGATAAGGCTACTGGAGCGGCTGCGGATGCGGCGTCCAAGGCGAGCGGATCCGCAGGAAGCGCAGCCGCAAAGGCTACCGACGCGGCAGGGAGCGCAGCTGAGAAGGCCACTGCGCCCGCATCTTCAGCTGCTTCGGACGCGGCTAGCAAGGCTAGTGGTGCGGCTGCCAGCGGTGCGGAGGCCGTTAAGGATAAGGTCAAGACCAAGATCAGCGAGGGCGCTGAGGCGGTTAAGACCATGGTTATGGACGATGATGATATGGCGGCGGAGCACCACGATGAGTTGTAGATGCCTGGCGGGAGGGTCAAAAAGTGTTTCGTGGAGTGGTGGGGATGAGATCGAGGAGGGGACGTAATCTTGTGCGCATTGGGTTATGTAGCATGGGTTTGGGCTGTGCAGGTCGCGTTGGTCGGACGATATAAGGAATACAAGAGTGATGCACGTTTTATGCTGCGTGTGAAAGCCTTGTGCCTGCTCTGAGATACTGTCAACACATATCCCTTTCTTATGAGTAGGTTACTGCGCTGGGAATCCGCCTTCTGTCTGAGGACACTGAGTCGGACACCGTACTGAATAGAACAAAATCAAAATGCAGAACCATTTCGACTTCTCCTTTCCTCCTCGATCGTTAAGGCCATCTCTCGTTCGACACAGAATCCGCTGAAAATTGCGGGCAGAAACATGACTAAAAGAAAAGCTGCAAAGTGCAAAAACATACAGCACTCGTGGTCACCCACCTAACTACTATTCCACCGATTCAAAGATTATGCAAGCGGACGGGATGCCCAGCACTCTTTGATCTGTGGCCGTATGTGAAGGGTGAGTAGTGTTTTTGCAATCTACTTACTTCCAAACTCTGTGTTATCGCGGACGAGAGCCTCTCGCGCCACTAGGTCAACGACAGATATCCCTTCCGCACCGGGCTTGGCTACCTCATGACTACCACCGAAAACTATCCCTAAACGACTAACCAAATTGACATCAAATGCGTCCAGTAATCACAAATGCTACAATGGACCTAAGCTTCCTCCCGCAGACGCGGGGATATTGTCAATAGCTCTAAGATCCGCACGTCCGCTTTCTCCGGCCAACACCGTCTTTCGTACAGGTCGCCGGCATAGATCTATCTTCTAGTATTGAAATAGTACGATTGAGTAAGTGTTGGCTGCCAGCTTTCCTTCCAGACGCGTTTGCAGTCAACCTCTATTGTCTGTGTCTGGACCACTCATTTTCACATCGCCCCTAATCCTCAATCCCTCAAAGTCCACCACCTTAGTTTAGCTCTCCTTCAACCACCCACCATGGCAGCCTCCAAAGCTTTCGTCCTCATCACGGGCGCTACTCAGGGCATCGCGGTCGTATCTGCGGCGCCCGGGTTCTGCCGTACTAATCTCACCGGGGGATAGGGCGTCAAGGATGCCAGTGACGGGGCTAAGATCATCGTTCGCGCTGCTACTGAGGGCGATCCGAAGGAGCTCTATGGCTCGTTGGTTGCTGTTGAGGGGACATAGTTTGGCTGGTAATTTACTAATTATAGGAGACACTCTATTTAGTTCTAAGATAGCACGTAGGAGTGGCTGAAAGGAGTCCATGACAGACAACAAGCAAAATAGTGGGTGATGCGGGTAATAGGTATACAAGTATCGGCAAGCAAGGGTGAAAAGTAGTCATATTGCTCAGTTATCGCATATGCGAGAAAATGATGCCCTACGGTACGCATCCCCAGAAGCCGTTGCATGATTAAGCAGTTCTTTGAGCAGAAGACGCACTTGCGTTACTGGAGTCTCCCATGTGTTGATTCCCCTCGAAAATCTATCGTATCTCCAACAACAAACTGACATCTACAAGCTCCCCGCATTACATCTGTGTCTACATCCAGTGATTTACAGTGCGGGACGTGGCGTCTCCTTGCTCTCGCGGGAAACGAAGGCGCCCAACCCCCAGTCTAAAGTGATCCAAATCTCAGCTGCTAAAAGACCCAAAGCAGATGAATCCTAGTTCAAACGACCAAAAGCGACAACAACCGTATTAACCAAAGGGTATAGCCTCTTACAGCGTCGCTCCGCCTCACTCGTCTCCTCATCCGTACATCACCAGCACTTTAGCCTCGACCAGAACCCACCACCCCCCCTCGTGCCCCGCGGCTGCTCGACGGTCCTTCCTGCTGTCGATACCGCCGGCTTCTCCGACACAGGCGGCAGCGGCAGCGTCCTCCCCGCCGCCTCAAACCGCGCGCCACCCGTCGCCGTCGCCGCCGCCCGCCGCGCCTCGACGACTCTTCGCACCAACACTGTATCCCACTGTCAGCTGCGCGCTCTTTCCTTGCATCCAGCCCCAACGCAACTCTCCACCCAACACGGTGATGACCTACGCGCAAAAGTCTCCTCCACGTTAACCATGTCCCTTGCACTCGTCTCCATGAACCCGCAACCCCGCCTCCGCGCCCACTCGAGCCCCCTCTGCGCGCCGACAACGCGCTGGCCCTGCAAGTCGCACTTGTTGCCCGCGACGAGCTTGACCGGCGGCGGGCTGCCGCTGTCGAGCCGGTGCTCGGCCTCCATGTCGATCAGCTCATTGAAGTGGTCGAGGTTGTCGAGGGAGGAGGCGTTCGTGATGTCGTAGACGAGCAGGAAGGCGTCGGAGCGCAGGTTCGAGGTGGCCCAGAGGCTGCGGTACTCTTCCTGCCCGGCTGTGTCGGTGAGGTTGAGGTGGTAGGGGGTTCCGTCGATGGTGCGGGTCACGGAGTAGGAGTCTTCTGGGGGGGTGGGTTAGCGGGGGGGGGGGGAAGGCGGAGGGTTGGGAGGAGGGGAGGTGGAAGGCGCACCGATTGTAGGATCATATCTGCGCGCAGAGTCAGTCAGAAGGGCATATGTATAGGGGCAGCACCTGTGGCAGGCGCAAAAGGGGACCACTAACTCGTGCGTCCATTGACTCCGCACCAGCCGGAGGGTTATGGATGATTTGCCTATCCCAGCGCAGTCGCAGTCAGCTTCCCTCGAGTTCAGTCGCATGGCGCGCTCAAGCTGGCTGCTACTCCACGACCAGGCGCATCACGCACCCACTCGCCGTAGCTACGTACCGCAACCTCCATCCCCACACACGGTGATGGCTATCCTGTTGTCAGGATCCATCACTGGGCCTCCCCCCAAAACTCCCCAAAACTCCCCAAATTGACCAACGGGGCGGTCGCAATCGGCGCGAAGGCTCTCGGCGACCTGGCTACAGCGGAATGGATGGGGGCGAAGCGATTGGGCGGGCAGGCAGTCACGCGTTTGTCGCGAACAACGAGAGAACAAGAGCTAAGTGGAAGGCTGACAGCGATCGCCGACAGGGGAGCTGGCTGGAGAGCCGGGGGACGAGATTCACGATGCGGCTTAGCGTGACCCTGAACGCGCTCACGCATGGGTCCGCCGGGGATCATGAGCCGGGATGATCATCGGCCGGGATGATCGTCAGCCTTGTGGCGGACAAGGGGCTAGGGTGGTCGCACAGGGTGGTCGCACCGGCTGCTCGAGTACTGCGAAGTGGTTCGATGGGGCGCACCAGTGACCAGTGGAGCAAGAAGCGAGGTTACACAAACCGACAATCTCGTACCTTTGCTCTAGGTTTATGGCGACACATGATACGCGCATCCGGAGCACATGTCCGCAAAACGACTCTCTATGGCTAGGCACATCACCCCTTCTTCGAGAGCTCCGCACTCAGCGCTACGCCCTCCACACCGACCTTCCCCAAAACAATAGCAAGGGTATCGACCGAACAAGCCGCCGCTGAAGGGAGATTCGCTGCACAGACTCCCCGAAACAAGAAGTAGGCCGAACATGTGTCGAACTCGTTACATATACATCCTGCCACAGCCCGCACTCACCTCTCAATCCGGCTCCACATCCTCATCAATCTTAGGCGGTATGCCGCCCGCGAAACCCTGGCTCGCCTGGACCTCCATCCTCGCGACCTTGGCAGCATGGCTGTCGTTCTGAGCCTGCTGCGCGCTCAGCTTGGGATCGGTCGTCTGCACCGTCGAGGGCATGGTTGACTGGCCAATTTCGTTGGAGTTTGGCAATCTTACATTCGCATGCTGTGGCGAGGTGTCTCCGGCCGAGGCTTTGCTTGCCTTGTCGCTGTGGGCGGATTGGACGGATTGCTGTGACGAGGTGCGGGGAGAGACACGGCCGTTCTGTGGTGAAGTGTAGGTCAGCAAGAATCCTATCGAGGGTCGAAATAGGGCGACGAGAGGAGAGCTCACCTGCTTGGCCCATCGCAGGCCGCAGCTGTTGCAGAGGTCCCTGTTCCCACTCGGTCCCCTCCTCCACTCCGGCGTCACTCTGGTGTGGCAGTTTGCGCAGTCCTTCTGCAGCTGGCCCGCGCCCTTTCTCCTCTTCCGCTTCTTCTTCGCTGCGAGCAGACTCTGTACCTCTTCCGCTAACAACCGGTTACGCTTCTCCATCTGTCGCAACTCATACTGCCAGCTTGTGCTACGCGTGGTTTTGAGCTCGTCGAAGACATTCTCCTCCGAGGCTAAGCTTTCGTCTTGATGTCCGATGGCAAGACCGTTATGTCCGGCGAACGTCGCTGGAGCGCCCTCCGTCGAGACAAATTGGCTGCCGGATATGCCTGAAGCTAGCGTGCTTTCGCTGCCAAGCGTACTGGGCATCCTGCCAGTACCGTGCGACGCCGTCGATGGCAGCGAATTTATCGAGCCGCTGGACTCCTGTTCCGGCCTGTGATACAGCGGCGGTCTCTGTGCCGCGCCACTCCCGCCTCGCGAGAATTTCAGCAGTCTGGTCTGCGCCACGATGAAAGTCGGCTTTTGGCCCTCCACTGCATCTCCTGGGTAGAGTGTCGTGAACGCCTGAAGGACTTGACCACGCTTGTTGATCATTTCATGTTTGATCTGAGCCTTTCTTCCAGCGCGTGCAAGCTCTAGGATCCGCCCGAATTTCTGCTTCGAGTCCTGTCGCATTAGTACTTGGATGCTTGTGCCGACAAGCTCGTCTGGCTGCCTGTCCAACAGCTGCCGAACGTTGGACGAGACGAAGAGGAACATTCCGGAAGTCGACATCTTCATCCACAGCTCGTTGTCGCCAATGCCTCCAGCCGCTACGACGTCGGTCTTGCTGAGGGCATATACAGGCCGCTCGCGCCCAACGAGGATGATACACTTGCGGCCCTTGCCCTGTTCCGTGTGCAGGCAACCGTGTCCTTCGAACCACGTGTATCCGCTATGCTTTCGCCTGATGCGGAAGACGACGTTGACCGAGGCTCCGTTCGAAGTTTCTTTGAGTTCCCGCGTTACCGGAACAATGTCGCTAGGATGACAGACGGAGGACAGCGCAGTGCCAACCAGCTCGCTCGGCTCGTATTCCAAAACCTTTCGACTTGCCGGCGAAAGGTAGAGGAACAGGCCTTTCAGTGACAGCACGTGCACAACATCGTCGGTGTTCTCTAGCACAACCTTATCCCAGATTCGCCGTGATAGTTCGGATTCGCCCGTACCAATCGTGCTTAGTACGGTTGAAACGTCGTCTCGTGGGACAGTCTGGCCGAGGTCCATTGCTCCAGTATTTTCCGGAGCAGGTATAGTGTACCTCGGAATACTGAAACCACGCTGATAGTTGATTGAACAGGACCCATCTACGCTCAAGTCAATGACGGCGCCCTAGATAGTTTAGTGTAGTCAAACGTACCAGGATTCCTGTTGGTGACCGAGTTTGGCTGCTCCACAAGATCGACCTGGAAACCCACAAAAAACTTCACCTCGTCCGTATCCCATGTGATTGGGATCATAGTGAGCAGATTCATGAAAGGTTGTCCGCCTCTACGGTAGTTGATCAAGCTAATCTGAGCTTCCTTCCTCAAATTGATCATGTTTTTGAGATAGAGGACTGAATTGTCGTCAACGTATTTTCGCTTCACGCCCGCCTCAACTTTGCCGTCCGGTGATTGCAGAAACCGGCAGTTCCGTCCAAGGATCATGTGCTTGTTGTATCCGGTGAGTCGCTCGAAGTTCTCCGAACAGTATACAATGGGGTTGTCGTCTTTTTCGGCGTCGCAGACCACGAAGGCACAGGACATGTCGACGGAGCCTATGTTGATTTCAGGGTGCGGCCTTGTGGCCACTCGCATCTAAAAAAGTGTGTGAGCACATGCAGCTCAAATAGTTGAACTACGAACGTGTCAGTCACTACAGTCAAGACGTACCAGTACGCCAAGCATATCAAACCCGGTGGATGAGTATATATTCTTCCATTGGGTATGGTTCGTGTGCGGATTCTGATTCATGGTGGATGGAAGACTGCCTGGATGACGAGCGTTGAGTTACTGTACCCACTTTTGGGAGAAATCGGGCGCGTCCTTACTTTGTGGTAGTTGCCAGGGAAACTTGCTTGGATCCATGTCATCCAAATGCTGCTTTATCTGAGACGAAGGGTCAGAGCCCTGCGAATGGCTCTCTGCCTGCACCGGTTGCCCCTGAGTGGAGGCACTCCCACTTTGCCGGCGAGATGTTGATCTGATACTTTGCTCTCCACTGGTGGTTCGTGAGCTTTGCAAGTCCGGTCTTGTAATCTGACTATCTGGCTTCGCAAACTGCTCCTTGCGGTCCGCGTTGCCGCCGCCTGGGTCCTGAGGAGGTCCTTGTATCGACCCAGAGAAGCTCTGATGCAAAGGAGAATGTATAATGGGGGACTGGAACTGTTGCTGAGAAAACATATTCAAGGGAGGCGTGACTTGATTGGGAATCATCGAATTAGGTAGCGCCGAACCCGTCAGGTCCATGGACATTGATAGGCTGGTAGGTATGTACGGATTGGTCATGTCGAGATCGAAAGCTGCATTGGTATGCATGGGGGATGCATATGCAGATCCAGGAGGGGGGATATTAGCATATGGCGACCCCTGATTCGGGAACTGCGTGTCGAGTATCAGGTTTCCCCCAGAACGGCGTCTCTCTCCACTTCGCCGGGGATGCGACCCTTCGACGCCCACAAAGCCCTGCGTGTCATCCATACCGTCTCTAGGTGACGGGCTGAACTGGAAAGCGTCCAACGCTCCGCCAGAAGATGCGCCGCTAAATTCCATCATCGACACTCGCCGTAGGTTGGCGTCGAGGGGGTTCGATGCGTTGCCATAGTGCAACGGCATGCTCCGTCTTCGCATCGCATCTGAGTTCGAGCTGACAATGTCGTCCAGCGACTGGGCTGTAGCCACGCCGGGCGACTGTAAGCCGTTCGGGCCCAGCATGTCCATCATACCGCCGTTGTTGCCGGCCTGTAGCCGCTGAAGATCCTCGCTGGTATACTGGCGAGGATAGTAGCTCATGCCGTTCATCTTGTATTGTTTCTGGGGGGTTTGCTTCCGCAGTCAGCTCGAATCAATATCTCGGTCAAGGCTTCAGCTGGTTCGTGTGCCGATTGAGATCTGGTGGTGATTGATGCAGATGTCAGCGGCCGTCCGCGGCAGGTATGGGTAGCTTGCTTCGCAACGTCGCATCGAAGGGCATAGACGGAGGTAAGAATGAGTGTAGTCCAGGCGGGCAGGTTTTGGCTGTGGTCGCAACACTGGTCGCAATACTGGCCGCAATGCTGATGGGGGTCTGATATCGACGTCCTGGAGACGGGCTGCTCGCCGCAGGCCGAGGCCGCCAAGCAGGCTAGAGACGCCGGCTACTTTTCCATCCACCGAGATCACGAGCGCCGCGTTTCTGAGCCTGCCTGCAGGTGCAGCATTCAAAGAGCCCCGGAGATGATAATACGGCATCTAGCACTGCGGCAAGGTATGGCAACTCATGGCACTCTCCGCCCACCCCCACTGTGCCGCCTTCTGACATCCGTGCAAATCTACAGGCCGCAGAGCCCTGACATCGCAGCCAATCCGCCGGTGGACACGCTTCTTCGCGTCCCAGGTCGACACCGTCGAGGCTTCATTGCAGACGACGCTGGGGGAGATCAGGAAGGTAGAAGCCTTTGTCAACAGCCGCAGCGACCACCCAGTGTCTCCCGTTGATGCGGATCCCTCCTCGACACCCGACAACGACGCCGTGGCAGAGGACTACCAGGCCTACCTGCACCAGAGCACGTCTTCCACAGCATCCACCTTACAGTTCAAGTCGCTAACTCAATGAGTCTCCAGAAGAAAATCTCTCCAACCTCGGCTCCGAAATCACACCTCACTACCAGCCTCATACCCTCCTCACCAACCCTCCTTCTCCCTCGGATATAACACTCGAGCTCCTCCTCGCCTCCGGCGCCCATCTTGGCCACAACACCTCTCTCTGGAACCCTGGAAACGCCAAGTACATACACGGCATCCGCGATGGTGTCCACATCTTGTCCCTTGAAACTACCGCAGCGCACCTCCGACGTGCCTGCAAGATCGTCACCGAAGTAGCCCGGCGCGGTGGTCTAATTCTATTCGTTGGCACCAGGGCAGGACAGGACAGATGCGTGGTGAAAGCTGCAGAGCTCGCAGGAGGCTGCCATCTCTTTGACAGATGGACCCCGGGCAGCATCACCAACGGGCAGCAGATCCTGGGAAACTGCCGCATGAAGGTTGTAGACGAGCTTGACCGGGAAATTCCAGACTTTGAGGAGCAATTGCTGGATAGGAGCGTGCTGAAGCCTGACCTGGTAGTCTGTCTGAATCCGCTGGAGAACTATGTTCTGCTGCATGAGTGCGGGTTAAACAACATCCCGACCATCGGCATCATCGACACCAATGCGGACCCGACGTGGGTCACGTATCCAATTCCAGCAAACGATGATAGTTTGAGATGTGTACAGGTTATAGCCGGTGTGCTAGGGCGAGCCGGAGAGGCAGGCAACAAGATGAGATTGGAGGCGGCGAGTCAGGGCGAGGTCACTTATCAACCCGCGCAAGGGCTGAAGATGCCGGCTGAAAAGAAGGATGGAGAGGGGCAGGCATCGAGTGGGAGTGCGCCAGTTTCCGAACTTGGGTTTTTGCAGACGCTCATGTAATCTATTGGGATGAGGTTTGGGAGCCTGAGATACCGGGGGCGAAATACCGCGAATGCTTGTACAAATATGTAGCATCTGGACAGGCAGACTCTAGGAAGTCGGAAAGGATTAACGTAGCTTGGCTCATGAGCCACTCATCGCACTGTGTGCATGCCTAAGTTTATTTCGGGTGTCAACCTCAGGCTCCGGATGAAATCTTGAAGGTCTTGGCGCGGAGCACGTCAACACCAAAGATTTCAAACCGAGGACCAGACCTTGACTCTCGCGCCGAACGACTTGATCGCCCAACTACCGTCGCTCACTTTGCTCCTGTCTGTTTCCCTCCTAGCTGCAACTGAGTTATATCCATCGAGTTTTTTGGGAAAGTGATTGCCGGTGCGGGTAAAGTAGTTGGGCGGAGGAATGGCCCAGGCGGAGCATGAACTTGAGGCGGAAGGCCAGGGCCTGAAGCGGACCCTTAAGGATTTGTTTGCAGGTGCTGCTGGAGGTGTTGCGCAGGTCTTGTTAGGTACGTATTCTCTGGTCAAAACTTGACAGTCCGCGACAGCACTTCGTAATATCTGGATTTCGCGCGTGGACGCAATGCTCACAACGATTCTGAAATTTGCTTCAAAGAACAGTCTCTTTTCAATGATTTTTTCTTGCCAACTCCGCGATGGCTTTCATTATCTCATTCATTCTTATTTTGTTGTCCCATCAATCGCGTTGTCTACCAAAACCGTGTACTCCTGCAGCAAGAGCCCAGTCTTTATGTCGACCGCCATAGCAAACTCTTTGGTTCTAAACTAATTTCAACTAGGCCAACCCTTTGGTATGCACTCATACCCTATACTCACTAAATCAGCGTACTCATGCTCGCGGTAAGACATCGTAAAGGTCCGATTACAGACCACCACAAACTACAAAAACGCCCTCGACGCCGCCACCAAAATCTACCGCAATGAAGGCGCAACCGCCTTCTACAAAGGCACCCTAACCCCTCTCCTCGGCATCGGCGCCTGTGTCTCCATCCAATTCGGCGCCTTCCACTACGCTCGCCGGGCCTTCGAAGCCCGCAACTCCTCCCAGTCCCCTCTGGCCTCCCCGACGCTGTCTTACGGCCAGTACTACCTCTCCGGCGCCTTCGCCGGCATCGCCAACTCCGTCATCTCTGGTCCGATCGAGCACGTCAGGATTCGGTTGCAGACGCAGCCGCATGGCGCGAAGAGGCTGTATAATGGCCCGATCGACTGCATCCGGAAACTGTCGGCCCATGAGGGCGTGCTTAAGGGGTTGTATCGCGGCGAGCTTGTCACGGTCCTTCGTGAGGCCCAGGCGTACGGCGTGTGGTTCCTCACGTTCGAGTATCTGATGAATGCGGACGCAGCGCGCAATGGTATTAGGCGTGATGAGGTGAGTACGCCGAAAGTGGCGTTTTATGGGGGTTTGGCAGGCGAGGCGCTGTGGATCGCTAGCTATCCGTTCGATGTGATCAAGAGCAAGATGCAGAGTGATGGATTTGGTAAGGAGATGAAGTATCGCAGCATGAGCGATTGCTTCCGGCAAACGTGGGCGAGGGAGGGGTTTAGGGGGTTTTGGAAGGGGTTGGCGCCGACGCTGTTGAGGGCTATGCCGGTCAGCGCGGGCACTTTTGCTGTGTGAGTTGTGCCCATCCCCTTTTCACTTCAATGATGACGATCTATGGATTGTGACGGGCGAGTAGGCTAACGCTGCTGCAATCTAGGGTCGAGATGACGATGAGGCTATTAAACTAGAGTTCGATGGATAGATCATTAGCCGCAAAGCTGTCTGCAAGCTTCTTCCGCGACTTCTGAAGGTGTGTTCGGCTCCAGCGAGTTCTGTCGAGTCGGGGAATACCTCCAATCAACAGAGCGTGAAAAGCCCGTCTCAAATATTGGATGATGAGCACGCGCCTGTCTGATTTGTCTCGATGTGCTGAGGCCATAGTTTCACGACATGTTCCTATAGTCTATTCACTCCACAGATATCGCGGACTTCGTTCTCCCATAGCCCTCTAGGGAGAGGTTCCGTGCCGCAACCCTCCATGGGAGTTCAAACAGACCACTAAGCCCATTCAGGATTCAACTTCGATCACTGCGAGACCGAGTATCCAGGAGTTCCGGGTCGCCTAGCTCCGCTGAGCTCGATGAACGCCTCCACGTCCTCGTGCTGAGTGTTTGATCGGAGTGGTGTGTTGCAACTAGTCTCTCCACAACCGAGAAGGCTGAATGTCCCCAGACGCCACTCACTCATCGTCAGGCTGATGCTCGAAGGCATCGCGTGCTGCTGAGACTGCGAAATCTGTCCCTTTTCTGAAGCGCAGCTCCAGCATCATTCCTCACTCTGATGAATTCAGCTCAAAAATCTCGCCTGTAGACCCTTGAATAGTGAGCAGACGTAGAGGGTTCGCTGTCGTCCTGCTCACCCGTTCTGACGTTGCTACGGCGCAAATTCGGCGATGCTCAGACCCCTCGGTCTCGGATTTTCCCAAACGCCTACTTCATCGCCAAGCCGAACTATTCCATCGTGCATCTTCAAATGCAGGTGCGCTTGATCATCCTACAACTTTCCAAATGGCGGATGCACTGAAGCGAAAGGCGCCTGTATATGATGGAGAGGCGCCGGCCAAGAAAGCAAAGGTATTGTTCATCTTACATACATCTCGTTCTACACGCTCGGCTCTTGGCGATGCGCTACTTCCGAAGTGCATCTTCGGATAGTCAACCCGCTGAACCAGAGTGCAGGCCAGGAAGCAATGGCGTACGCCACATCAGCGCGACTCCGGGACAGCCATCGAGCCTGGTGACGCCGGCATCTGGGCGTCATGCAACATGGGTAGAGAAGGAAAGTGTGTTGCGGAATTGAAGGACTGCTTTGAGGAAGTATGACAATTTCTTTACCGTGTTCCAGATGCGCCTGGACTGATGTGAATATGGTTTAGTATGCAAGAGCTCTTTATGGGGATCAGGAAGGCGACAGCGCAGCTGAGAAGCGAGAAGGAGCGGAAGTCGATGATATCGAGGCTGAAATCAGGAGAGAAGTAGAGGACATCCGGAAACCTACCACTGCACCATTGTTCTCAAATATCAGACTCGATGGGGACTGCAGTGAGCTGGAATCCCTGAGCAACACTTCCGGACCTTGGCTGATTACCTGCAGTCATGTTCTTCAAGACCCGGCCCCCTTTGGAACCGGTGTCATTTGTTCGCAAGATCTGTGAAGACGCCGCTTCAAGCTCGGGGCGGAAGCAAAGCCGCTTCGTGAAGAGACTGACGCCGATGACTCTCATGGGAAAAGCCACATGGGAGAGCATGGACGAAGTAGCACAGCAGGTCTTAGCTCCCCATTTCCATCAGCCAAACGGTTTGCCGAAGAAGGTGAGCTGGTTGTGGCATTCTTTGAAATCCTTTATCCGTGGCCGTCTGAGACTTGTATTCCTATACTTAGCCTCCGATGTGGTTGCTCGCTAACGGTCGCTTCCGTTAGTTTGCTATTCGTCCAAATATACGTAATCACAAGATCCTCACGCGAGAAGGCATCATCAAACGAGTAGCTGCTGCAGTCGGCCCTGGTCATAAGGTGGATTTAAAGGAGTTTGATCTACTGATTCTAGTCGACGTATACAAGGTGCGTAGATCTGAACCCGGGCTAGTGGTCACAATGTTTCGCATGCTATTCGTGGCGGCTAAGGACATTGGCACAGAACGTTTGCGGAATGAGTGTAGTCGGTAACGATTACGAGAAGCTCAAGCGCTACAACCTCTCAGAAATCTACGAGCCGACACCGAAAGCTGCTACTAACTAGACCAACAAGCGTTGCGCAGATGTTGGACGTGGACTTGTCCGGTGTTACAGCCTGCTGCGCAAGAATACCCCCACGTAAGGTAGCGCGCGGAAGTTGACAGTCCTCCGGATTCAGTCCCCTGCGAGAGACCCGGAGGAGCGGCCTGACAAGGACGCTGCGTAACAATCGCTTCGTCTCCAATCGTGTGGAACACGCATGCTTTCCGCCTCGCTCTCTCGAACAAATCGAAGCCGACTTGAAAGCGAGAAGGCCGCTCGAGGTTCACAGATCTACAACACCAGAGACGCTCAACGCAAGGCTGCAACTTTAGCGCTGTTGAGAAAGGTGGCTACAACAAATTAGCACGCTGGGGAGCGTGATGAATAGCTGTCAAAGGGTCCGCGCGTCGACTGAGGCTGCAACGTACATTTGTGAAACCCTGAGTGTTCCCGCTCGCTCTGAGAATTTGATATGGAGCCAGTTCCAAAGAACTGTTCCTCCTCCATAGCGTTCTCCGTCTCAGAATAAGCATTTGAATCACACCTCACGATGGAACCTCTCGCCAAAGCAACGCCCGGCGCTCGAGTTCAAGGATCTGGGCCGGGGATTTGTCTTCACGGCGGTCAAGCTGTGTGGTCAAAGCGGGTGCGGGAAAGTCAAAGACCTTGCGCAGCGCCAGCCTTCGGCCACTAAGCCGGACCACCAATGATGAAATGCCCTGCAAGCCCGCCTTCGCGTGCTCTTTACCGCTTCTGGCTCGCATAGACGAGTGCTGACGACGGTCCGCTCGCCAAACTCGACGCCCACTGCTTCCACCTCATCTCCAGCCACCACTCAACAACCCACTCAGAGCCCATTCATCCGTACCGTCCGTCTGCGCGGCCTGTGGCAATGTGTATCAGTAGGCGATGTCCTCGCTGCAGCGCCGTCTCGCCGAGCGGTGGCTTATATTCTCACCGACGCTGCGCTTGTCTCATGCGGTTTAACATCGAGTAATCTTCGCGTCCTTCGCCCAGCGGGATCTGGTCGCCGCCCTAATCATACTTGACCGTAGGCTTCTGTTAGGTACATAAAGTAACATGAGACGTGTCTTTGGATGACGTCTCGCTAAAACTCCATTGGCCTTAAACTTAAACTCAGCCAGCTGTCTTATCTTGCTCTCCTTCCTATCATTGATTCCTTCAGTGTTTGATATATCCCTTTTGGGCAGTATCACCTTCGTCATTATAAATAATCGCATCCTTCTTCCCACTATACCTGCTCCTTGTTTTCATCATGTCAGGCTCAATCATAATGCACCTCCCTCCGATAAACCTCCATATCTACCCTCAGATTGCCATGAGTTACGGAAGCATATCTGTCGACGGTCGCTCACGCCCGGCCTCGCCTTCTGCGTCCCTCGATTCTCCAGATTTCAGCAGCGTGCAGAGGCACGTGAACCAAGCTCTCCGTTCGTCGCGGGCCTCTGTCCAGCAAATAGAGAGACTTCAGGGCCGTCTTCACCGCATTTACCTCCTGTCCATCGCCGACGGCAGCCGGCTCGTACTCAAATGCCGGCCATCATGCAATACACGATTATTACGCCACGAGCAGCAAAGCCTGGAAGCCGAAGCCCGAGTCCTCGACATGGTCAAGGTCAACGCGGTGTATCTGCCCCTCCCTAGCCGCCTAAAGTACGACCCCGAGGGCAGCGGCATCGGCGCGCCTTTTCTCCTCCGCAGTTATCTCCTCGGAACGCCGCTCTCACACCCAGCGCTCCGCCTCTCTACCGCCGAACGCGCCCGCATAGACGCAACACTAGGCGCCCACCTCCGCTCGCTCTCCGCGCTCCGCGCACCCGCTTTCGGACCCTTCTGCCGCGTCCTGGCCGGCACAGGCAGCCCGACCTGGCGCGAAGCCTTCCTCTCGCTCCTCGAGTCCGTCCTTCGCGACGCCGAGGACATGATGCTCTCCGTCCCGTACGACGGCATCCGGTACTGCGTCGCGCAGCATGCGCACCTGCTCGACCAGGTCACCGAAGCGCGCCTCGTGGCGCTGGATGCGGGATTGCCGCGCAATGTGCTGGTGGACGAGCGCTCCCGCCAGGTATGCGGCTTGCTCGGGTTCGGAAACGTCGTGTGGGGCGATCCGGCCATGGCGGGCGTGTTCGCGGGCGCGAGTGAGGCTTTCTACGAGGGGTTTGGCCAGCTGCCTGCGAGGAGTGGGGCGGAGCGGGTTAGGATGTTGATGTAAGTGGGGATCGAAAACGCAGTACGCTACACTTTTCACTGGACGTCTGAGCTAATCGGTCTGCAGATACGCTGTCTATAGAGCAGTCGTCGCGGTTGTAACACATTACTACCGGCCGCAGTCGGACGACGAGGAGCTGGAAGCACGGCGGTCGCTAACCTGGGCGCTGAACCAGCTTGCAGTCGTGTGAGAGTGAGTTTGAGCATCTTTTCGGTGTTTTCGGTTAGAGTCACGAGATCACGATTCATGAGAGATATCCATCGTCCGTTTTAGCGGACCCATTAGAGTGGGAGAGTGCGGCATTGGAGGCAATCTGCTGTTTCTCCATAGAGGGCATGTCGTCAACCCCGTATGCGGCGGCGAAAGGGCGCCCAGGCCGGAGTTAGGCGGACTCGGGGCGGCGAGTCTGAACAATCAGCTTACCATCTTCCACGTGTATGACGGATTTCGGACGGCACTAGTCTGGGCCCTTTGTAGCAGTATATCAAGTCTCGCTTGTGGCTTCGGCACAACCAAATGGAGCGCACGTATCGTGGAACATTCCGGCCGTATAAACGGCTTGGGATTCTCGGGTAGCGAGCAGAGGCGACTCCTATCAGGCAAGGGTGAGCGAGAGGGATAACTGGAACAGGGTAGGGCGCCCGTTAACCCGGAAGCTTGATGGATTAGGGCATCTCGGTAACGAGCCTCTGGAACCGAAGTTGCTGCTGGATGCCCGAGGGCTCGAGCTTTCCGACAGCTGCCAGTGGGATCAAGCGATAGGGCTGATGCGCTGCCGTCTCAGACGTCCGGGTATGTCGCTGTTTGAGAAGATTACGCTGGCGGCGGATAGGGCTAACTAAGCTGTCAGTGCGGACGTGTACGCGTAGGGTACAGGGCTTGCTGAGGTGCTGAGGTAGATGCTGCACGATACGGACGCAGTGTAGAGTAGGCGCGATTCCGAGACCAAGAAGATTTGTCATGCTAAACTCTAACATCTGCAGTAGCACGGCAGGGATTATCAGTACAGCAGTTGAGCAAGTTCGTTAACTCCAGTCGGAGCACCAGCAGCACACTGTGAGGACACTGATGCTGCCCGGAGGTCTATCCAAAACAATGCCGAAGGCTTTCGAGCCCAAAAGACAGGCAGTGTTTCAGACCTTCGCTCAAATCCCCTTACTCCACATGCTATGTTCCAGCTCGTCGTCTGCCTGAATCCTACGGACACCATCTACCCCGGAAAGCCACCCCTGGCCATCTTTCGAGCCCTCTGATCCCTTCGGTTGTGGTTCGCTCTCGAGCCCTTACTCGCTTCCTTCCGCTGTCTCGCAACCTGAGTGCCTTTTTCGTCAACAGGTCCGGCGACGTTACCGCCTCTGCCTCCTCTGCCACCACGGCCTTGGCCCCTTCCTCTCGCTCCCCCCCGCCCACCGCGACCTCGCCCGCTTTCACCGTCCATATCGGACTCTTCGGCACCAGAGCCAGCAGGAGAGCTCCGGTATGCAGTCGGTGCAAGCATGTTTTGCTGCCCGCTGAACGCGGTGAACTTGGCCTCCAGCCTCCTCAGCTTGCGCGGATCTCTCCCAGTCATGATCGCCCAGCCCTCGATAGCCTCGTCCGTCATGCCTGTCTCGTTCTTCAGGGCGGCCCTAGCACTGCTGCGTCTGGTGGCGGCGTCGCGGTTGAAGAGGTCAGAGGATGTCGTGTACGCCTTGAACAACACCTCTTCGTTCTTCTCGCGAACATCGATGTCGACTTCGTCGTAGCCGGGTTCCACTGTCCCTCCGACATCTTCGGCGTCGTACGTGTCGTCGCGTTCGTCGTCGTCGAGGTCAAAAGCTGCGAGTGCGGACAGGATTGCTGCCTTCTGGGGCGCGGCAGAGCGATCGGACAGGATGGTGTCGGCTGTAAGTTTCTCATTCTTGCGGCCAATGTGCAGGCGAGAAGCGTCGACTGCGAGCCGATCGAGCTCATCGTTGTCGAAGACGTTGCGCCTCTGTGGGGGCGGAGTTGACCTAGGCGCCAGATGTGGTGCTAGCTCTGGTGGTGTTTCTGCCGGTTGTGGTAGTTGCTCCGTGCGATCAGCTTCTGCCAGATAAGCGGGTAAGGAGCCATCGAGGAGATGCGCGGTCACTTGCTCCACGTCATCTCCGTACGCGTCTAAGAGCTTGACTACGAATCCAGAGCCTAGGTCTGGAAACAGGTCCTGCACTTGGCTGATCAGGCTCATCCGGTGCACATGAACTCCTCCCTCGAATGCCCCATGGCCGTACTCATCACTCGCTCTCGCTTTGCCTTTGTCAACCTTCCGGCGGATAAGCCTCTTCGGTCTTGCTGCAGCTGGCAGACGGAGAGCGCTTAGAGAGGCTGCCAGGTTCTTGGCTCTCGCGCCTTCGGAGTTACTACTACTGTCTCTTATCTTCTGAAGGATAGGCGTGTTTGTGACCAAATCTGCAAGAAGAGACCCTGAGCTCGAATCTGCTCTCTGAATCGCTTCCGCATTACTCTTGAGGCCGTACAGGTGATCTGAGAGGAGAGAGTAGTTTGGTTTTGCGGCCCGGGCCAGTGACACAAGTCCCAGATATGCAATCGTGACCAGCCGCGCTCGCAGGGCGGCAGATGCTCTAATGTATCCAGCAGAGAGTGAATCCAGAAAATCGGAGCCGACTATGAAGAACACCGCAACATCAGGCGATGCGTGCATCAGGGGAGCCAGGCGCTTGATGTCCTGTTCGGCCACGTCCGGATGATCTGACTCTAAGCTCTGGGTAAGAGATACTTTGAGCTTCTGAAGTTCAGCTTCTACTTTCTCCCGTTTTCTTGCCCATAGACTTCGAAGAACATCCCGGAGGCTCTCACTCCTGGGGAAGGCACGGCAAAGGTCCGCCAAGAAAGTCCAGCTTGTCAGTGATGCTGATGGTATAGGATTCCCAGAAAGCAGCCTGTGGCTTAAGAGAAAGCATGACCGGCGTAAGTTGGAAGCTTTTGGACCTTGAAAATACACGTCCTTTGAAGCAGCAGCCGATGCCTCATGGAAATATGTAAGCAAGAACGTGACGAGCGGACTGTCTCCTGTTGCGGAGGCACGGAAAACTTGGTCTCCCGAACGTAAGTGGGCTTCTGCGAGCGCAATCCAGGCATCTAGACATGCTTCCCATTCTTCCGGTATGATTTCCCGGCGGAGGTTGGCTGGCGGAAACGGTGCAATTGGGGGAAGAGGCATGTTGGTATAGCGCTTGGGCGAGTATGTAACATGTGTGATTGCAGTTGCTTTCGGGGAGAGGTTTGAGGGAATGGAAGCCAGGGAGTATGGGACGGAGCAGTGATCTTGTAACTACCTAGCTGCTCGTGAATGCTTGCCTAAGGTTAATGAGTGGTGATGACTTGACCGATATCCAAACCCGCTTAACTAGAGTACTGCTTCCTCGTTAGGATTACTTAGCAGTGCCAAGACTTCGCCCGCACACTGGAAAATTGCCGCGCAGCAACGAAAAGCGCCTCTACACAGCTTTCTCGCAACCGCCGGTCGTCACTTTGCAGCGATCAGAGATCCGAGTCGCGACTGGATATTCGTCAAGTTCACAAGGTCCACCGATTGCATGACACGGCCACCAGCACACCTACTGACAGCTTCCAGAAACCCTCCACCTCCACCTCCACCTCCACCTCCACCAACCTCAACCCATCACTCAATCATGGCCAGCTACGGAAAGGTACGCCATCCATCAACACCACTCCACATCGTCCACCGCTCACAGACATACCAGGGCGACAAGGGCGACGTCGGCGAGGGCCCCAAGATCCACAAGATCCGCATCACCCTGACCTCGCGCAACGTCAAGTCGCTCGAGAAGGTGTGCCAGGAGCTGATCGAGCGCGCGAAGACCAAGGACCTCCGTGTCAAGGGTAAAGACTTCCTCATTCCGGCCTGAGAAACTAAGTCACTGACATGAGTGCTGCTAGGCCCCGTCCGCCTCCCGACCAAGAACCTTAAGGTCACCACCCGCAAAACTCCCTGCGGTGAGGGCTCGAAGACTTGGGATACGTACGAGATGAGGATCCACAAGCGGCTGATTGAGTAAGTCGAGGCAAAGAGGAGGCACAGCAAGGTTCGTCGCTAATCTGAGGGTAGTCTGAACGCTCCTACCGAAGTCGTCAAGCAGATCATTATCAACATCGAGGCGGGCGTCGAGGTCGAGGTCACCATTGCGGCTTAAGTCTGGACGATGAAGGTTAGAGGCGAATGTGGTTAGGAAGGTAGAAGAGTCACGTCAAACAAAATCACAATGAGCAAGAGGATTATTGCAATCTAAAGATGAACCGCGGTGTCGAGTGCTTCGTGCGAATGATTACCGTAACAGGTCAGCCAGGGGTCCGCACCCAGCCGTCAGCCACTCACTGCATGCAGAACACGCGGCGCCCCGACAAATGAACAAAGATATACATGAATAAAGTATGTGTGACATAAAAGTGTTGGGGCTAAAGCCTGAACCCAAGTGTGCCTCCTCCCCAAACGAATCCCTAGGGAGGCAGAAGGCCATAGATCGGCCGCTGCAAAGAACCGAACAGGAGTATGATGCAGAGACCCAAAAACCGGCGTTGAGCCACTCAAACTGTGTCATCTCACCTCATTAGACTTCCTTCGCACCTCATCATATAGCCTATCGAACTCCAACAGAGCCGTGCGTATGGCTGCTTATTCCGTCATCTCGGCCGCAGTTTCATCACGTGCGTTCCTTCCATAGTCCGTCCACTAAGTGAGTGTCAGCGTACGTCTATAGGAACGACGTTGTGAGATCCATTGACGTACCTTCGGATAGCGCCACCCACGATGTCTAGATCCAGATCCATACGTCGGTAACGGAGGATAATCATCATAACCGCTCGAAGTAGCAGCGTAACCGCTAGAAGTAGTGTCATATTCGCTAGAAGTAGCATCATATTCGGTAGAACTAGCATCGTACTCGCCAGAAGTAGGACCGTCTATGCCGCTGCTTGCCAAGGTCGAAAACGTTGTCGGTATCGGCAGTATCGTGATGATAGGACTTGACGACGGCGCCACAGGGCTGCCTTCGTCGGGAGGCAGAAGGCCATAGATCGGCCGCTGCAAAGAACCGAACAGGAGTATGATGCAGAGACCCAAAAACCGGCGTTGAGCCACTCAAACTGTGTCATCTCACCTCATTAGACTTCCTTCGCACCTCATCATATAGCCTATCGAACTCCAACAGAGCCGTGCGTATGGCTGCTTATTCCGTCATCTCGGCCGCAGTTTCATCACGTGCGTTCCTTCCATAGTCCGTCCACTAAGTGAGTGTCAGCGTACGTCTATAGGAACGACGTTGTGAGATCCATTGACGTACCTTCGGATAGCGCCACCCACGATGTCTAGATCCAGATCCATACGTCGGTAACGGAGGATAATCATCATAACCGCTCGAAGTAGCAGCGTAACCGCTAGAAGTAGTGTCATATTCGCTAGAAGTAGCATCATATTCGGTAGAACTAGCATCGTACTCGCCAGAAGTAGGACCGTCTATGCCGCTGCTTGCCAAGGTCGAAAACGTTGTCGGTATCGGCAGTATCGTGATGATAGGACTTGACGACGGCGCCACAGGGCTGCCTTCGGTGCTGCCAGGTACAGATTCTGACGATGCGGCAGAGTACGAGTACGTAGGCTTGTAGGCAGTCGATGAATCTGTTGGTGGTGTCGTTGTCGGAACGATGGGAGCGGCGCCCGAGGATGGCGCGATGGGACTTCCTTCAGTACTGCCGGGCGGTAACTCTGACTCCGACTCTGATGACGGGGCTGGGTAGGTGTATTTCGGATTGTAGGCGGTTGTTGAGTTCGCCGGTGGTGTTGTCGTTGGGATGACGGGAGCAGAGCTCGACGATGGTGTTACTGGACTCCCCTCGGTGCTGCTCTCGTGTGGCCATCCATTTTTCGCCGTAGTTGAAGAATCGGAGTCACTGCAGGACTTCGAGCTCGAAACGCTGCTGCTCCAAGGAGGAGTGACCGGCCCGCCGGTAATCGAGGAGCCGTATGTTGTGTTAGAGTAGTAGACCGATGTCAGCATGGATGATGGGAAGCCGCTGGAGGGTCCGGTGACGGGACTTCCCTCCGTGCTGCTAGATCTGCTCGGCCCGATTGACGTGAATGTTATCGTGGATGGCCCGATCACGGTGACCGGTCTCGTTGACGTGAGGGTGACGACAGGGCTCGTAGTCGGAGTGTTCGGGCTTCCCGTGGTCAGCGTTAATGTTGAGCGCAGGGTTAGCGGAACAGTAACGACGATCCTTGTAGTTGAGTTTGCTGCACGGGTTGAGCTCGAGCTGGGCGAAATTGGGCTGCCCTCGGTGCTGCTAAGCGAAGTGCTGTTAGTGGGCGGTATTGAGTGCGTGTATGATGGTGAGGACGTTCCAGACGAAGGAGTGACTGGACCGCCCGTAGATCCAAGGAAGGACGAAGAAGACGAGGCCGATCCTGTAGGAGACGCAGACGTCGTTGCATTTGGAAAGTATACTGACGAAGAAGCGGGTACAGACTCGATGTGGCTTGAGGACGGAACAACAGGACCGCCTGTGGTTGCATTGCCTGGCACCGAAACAGTCGATGAAGGGAGCGGTAATGACGTCGTCAGTATCGGAGGATAGGGAAGAGAGCTGACGATGGCACTTGAGGAGGGGAGCGACGGTCCACCGGTCGTGCTGCTACCTGCTGACAACGAAGTAGGAGGAGGTATAATAGTGGGATTCCATGACACCGAACTTCCTCTAGCAGACTTGGTGACTGAAATACTCAAGCCGGAGCTTGTACTCTCTGGGGGAAACACGTAGCATTCCGTCTTGCCAGGCCCTGCGCAAATAGTTGATTGGATGTACGGATTACCACGTGAAGAGGTAGAAGTCCCTCCAGTTGGCTCAATCTCGACCGAAGACGAGATCGAACTGGGATAAGGGGGGATAGTTAGGCTGCCTGACAACCCCGTCCCAGGTGAAGATGAAGGACCGCCAGTCGGGCCAACCACAGGCTCACTGCTGTTGTTAATTGGATAAGGCGGCGATATGGAGCTGCTAATTACTGGTAGAGTTACAGAGCCCGTACCAATCGGTCCATCATCCGAAGAGCTGGGTCCAGTTGGAAATCCCGTTACGGTCAGAGTTATCCTCACAGTCGTGCGCAGAGATGTGGCCGAATGGGAAGTGATTGGAGAAGAAAGAAACCCCGTCTGCGATGGAGGTGCCGAGGAGGTAGCTCCGGTGCCGAGGAAAGAAGACGAAGGCTGTACTGGGGATCCTTCGGTGCTATCCGATCCGGCCGATGTGGAGGATGAGGGCCCGTAAGTAGGTGGACCATAGTAGGGAGGATAGTGCGGGACCAGCGGCACGCTTGAGCTCTGTCCTACTGGGTCCGCCATAGTGCTTGGACCGTAGTCGGTATGATATGGAGGCGCAGTGTGATTATCGCACCGGACACGTTTATCTTCGGGACGGTGGGCTACAGGAGTAATTGTCAGCTTGTTTCCCTGCCCTTTAACAACGCCATATGCTACGATCAAACTTGAACTCAGAACCCCGGGCTACGAGGCGATACAGAGGCGAGAATGCTCGATAAGATGCCAGCTGCTAGCCAGCAGACTCAGCAAAGAAAAGTAGAGCAAGTCTAGAAACATGTGGCCATACAGCAGACCCTCCTTCGACAGGAGTGGAGAAATAACTGATACTTAGGAGACTTTGCAGACTCAAGACTCACCCGGCACAGGCTCTGCAACAGCGAGGGGAATGACGAATGCCACAGAGATAGCGACAAAGATTCTCATTTTGAAGGAGTGACAGAGCTTTCGTCGGTAGAGTAGAACAGAGAAGGGAGACGCTCCGGGTTAGTTGAGAAAAAAGAAGCTCACGAAGGCGAGCGTGAAGGATTGAAGCATTTCTGGGGGGTCCAGAGGACTTTACATAAAGCTCCACGTCGACGCCTCCAGCCAAGGCTCACCAATGCGGAAGCTAGGCAGTGTGGAGTGAGTGATACCCGGAAGCTCTGGAGATGGTACGACCTTTCTGAAGGCGATGGCGGCATCTGATGCGTACAGACGATTTGCTCTCCTCTTCCATAGTCTATTGGCGATCCTTCTGGCCATTGAAATTGCCGCAAGGAGGGACGTCTTCGGCATGATGGCGTTTGACCGCAATCATCTTAGGGTATAATCACACAGGTTGAGGGGTACTTGCATGGTCCTTCCGTAAAGGCTGACGTATATTGCTTTTTGGCCAAAGGCCAGCTCAAGTTCAGAGAGATTTGAAAGGCTTATTGGCGGAAGATTACAAAATCGTTTGGATGTAGCTAGACAGCGTGGGTGTAACGGTAGTGCACCGAATAAAGTTGGATGATCGAAATCTATACTGCATGCAGCTGTCCGTTGCCGAGGTATCACAACACGTCAAGCTGAGTATACCTTGTCAAAATTGCGATGTTTCTTTCATGCCACTGATTCTCCATCTTAGGGGTTGACCGGACGATACAGGAGGTTTATGGAGAGATAGTGATCAAGAACATGACTAGATGATTTTGAAATAAGAGAAACGCTTCGCTTCAAGAGAACCACCTTCGCGACAGTTGGGGAAACGGGCTGTAGCTCCAAGGAAAGCATTTGTACTCAGGTACCCGGGCTGTCGTGTAACTATGCATCCAGTCGATCCAGGCTTAACTCTGACAGTTGACATATGCTGCCTTGCGTGTTCTTCGTTTGACGTCTTACTTGCTTCAATGTTGTTTGCATGCTCAGTCTTTGTAGAGACACAACTCAGTCAAGCCAGCTTCGCCATCTCTGGCCTTTCACATGGTTGCGTACGCACAGGACAGTCGTGCCTCTCCGTAGGCAGGAAGACACCTTCAGTGCACCGAGTTCCTCTGGCCGCCTGGCGGGACATCTCAATCTTATCAGACGGTTCGGACGGACGGGTGCGTAACGTGGGATCCGAAGTAGCGCAACTTTTACTGCTACAACGTCCCCAATGTCGATGGTCTCTCATCATGAAACGATGGGTTTTTATTGCCGTGATCCGCCTAGGGCGCGGCGCTCGGTCTAGGCAGTGTTTGTGCAATCATATCGCAAACCTGTGTCAGGAATGAGAGGCGCGCTGCAGGTACACACCGAAAGGAGAAAGCCTCCTAATATGCATGCAGTCAAAAGACGTGCTGTGGGTACAGAGTGATCCCGTGCTAGCGTTGAGCCGGATGAGAAAGAACGGTATCGCGCAAACGGCTGTTGAGCGGGAGGGAGGCCGAGGACCGTTGCGCTAGCTGACATAATGGAGCGTGGGTTTATATGTGTTGCTGAGAAATGGCGCGATGTTCGGTGGTCGCCGTTGCGCTGTTCGAATCGTGAAACCTGGATGGTGTGGATGGGGAGATCCAGACCGCAGGCGGAGCTGACAAGGGGGGAGAAGACGGCGTGAACTGATCAGGGAGTTGGCTCCGAGTCGCCAGGAGATAGCTCCTACACACACACGAGTAGGGAGTTGTACGCTCTGATCAATTTGTGACCTCGGTGGTAGTTGCCTGTTGTTTGACATGGTTCCAACACGAGGAAGACCAAGTGCCAAGATTGCGGCGCTCGATCAGTATTCGCATAGTTTTGGTCTTTGCGCGGTCAAAGCCTATTCGGGCGTGTGATATTGCATGGCTGCTCTGGAAGACCTTGGTGGCGTCCATGCCTTAAGCAACATGGAAACCACTGTCCATAGGGGCCAGAAGCCCCGTACGGCTCAAGAAAGGTCCGACAGAATCGAAGTGTTTTTAGATAGCAGCACCGTGAATGGCGAAATAGTCATGCTGAACTTTATCATTATGTTGTTATAGATATCAATTATCTCAGTTGAACTCAGCCTGATGAGGCCAAGATCCTCGTACTAAATCCTCCCAAACGACCAACAGTATCGCTAAGCCCCCATCGACATATCGCAGAACGCCGCTTCCGACTTTTGAACTTTCATACCCTTCGTCGCATGGCAAAAGACAAAGGCGACCAGCAGCACCGGTCACCGCCTCCGCAAACTGCTGGAACAGAGACGCGAGGTATACAATGGTGGAGTGTAGGAACGCCCCAAAAAAAACTGAAGCTGTCAACGCAAGACAACTCAAAAAGGGAACGACATCGTCGCAGATGGTGCGGACGATGTGTGCAAATGACTTCATCTCCATCACGGAGGGGAGGTGAGTCGAACAAAAGATCAGAGGGAAGAAAATGAATACAGACAGATCTCGTATCATCGTTGCTCCATGGTGGCCACGCAATTCCACCCACAGCCTTGTCCACCGCACGTGATGGAACCTTTGAACGCCTTCTAATGCATCAGTCATTGAGGAAAGTTATAACAGTAATGCACAAGATTGTTCATGCCGGCACAGGGGCTGCAGTGCCTGACTGGTCATCCCAGGCGCTGACGTCGAGGAAGTTCGCCCACTCAGTAGTTGGAGTGATGGTGGCACTCCCAGCCGCGCTGTTGTTCCTTGTCAGGATAGGTGTCTTCAGCGAGTTGTCACCAAAACTGTTGTCCATGGTGAACCCATAGGGTGTGTAAGGGGAGGCGAGGGCCTCAGTAGAAGCCGACGGAGGGTTGGAGCACGAGTAATGATCGATGTCGACGTTAGTTTCGAGGGCACCCGGAGCGAGAGTCTGGCTCATGCCGTTCATGCCATTGCGAGCCAGCGGCGAAGGTCGAGTCTTGTTGGGGTTGGGATTATAGCTGTAGAAAGGCTGCTGCATGACCTCGCTACCAGCCATGAGCATGTTGGTATGCGGGTTGAGCGGGTCGAGCGCGGGGCCAAGCAGCTGCTGGGTCTCCATCGGCAGCGACGTGGAGAACGGGCTGAAGCTCGCCATGGATGGGTCGAAGCCATACTGCATGTATGGCGAGAAGCCATAACCGGGATACATGTGTTGCATTGGTTGAAAGACGGTGGGTGACTGGCCCATGTCAGGTGTTGGGAATGATGGCTGGGTGGTCTCCAGTTTGGATGCGCTTGCAGCGCTTCGTGAAAGAATCGGGCGGGATTCCGCGGATGACTGTGGGAGTGGAGTTGGCATTGCTGACGATGCTGGCGTCGCTGCCACCACGTTTTGTCTTCGCTCAGCCGGCTGCATAGGCTCTGTGTTCTTCGGACTAGTGGAGGGAGACTGGTAACCGGATGCATTCTGCGACGTAGACATCGGTGCCTGTCGTTGATGCATGTGCGCTTGGTAGTTGACTGGGTAGGGTGACTGGCGGTATGACTGGGGCGAACGATGGATCATCTGTGGTGCGAGCATCTGTGTCGGTAACATTGGCTGGGGTATCATGTGGTGGGCGAAATGAGGCGCATTTGGGTAATGCTGTGCGTAGTTGGTGTTGATGAGTTGATGGTCGTACGTCGCGGCGAGAGCCGATCTAGTAGCATGCTGACTCGCTAGATAAGCTTGGAGTCTCCTGTTGAAATCCACGGAACCAGTGTGAAGATGGGCGGTGAGGCGCCGGTACTGTGCCGGCAAGTCCTCGTCCTCCTCTTCATACATCTCCTCATTGACGACATCGGCTTCAGTGACTCGCAGGGCGCGACCGGTACGCTTCTTGTGGATTTCCGAAGCTCGTCGAGCGGATTCAATGCGAGCTTCGAGGCTCCGATCGCTGCGTCGAGATGCGGCAATGTATGCTCTGTAACACGGCGATTAGCGAGTGCCGTGCGTCGATTGGAGCGCTGGAGAACAAACCTTTCTTGGTTCTCTTCATGAGTCCTCTCTGTCTTGACAGGCTTCGCCCCTGCCAGCGATCCTGTGCGTACTGGAGGCATCTTGAATCTCTTTCTCTCGATAAGCTCCAAGTGCAATGGCTGATCTTGGCGGTTCTACGGCAATGGTCGAAACGAAGTAGAGATGATATTCTGAGCGAGCAGAAACAAGAGACAGGTCGAACAAACAAGCGACTCAGCCTGGCACCAGAGTCCTCGAAGGTAAGGAGCAGAGGCGACGAGGCGTGAGAGTGCGGGCAGAGAAGCGGAGCTGGAAGTGGAAGCGGTGGTGGGTGGTGCAGGTGGCTACAAGCGTGGAGCGTTGCGGGCTAGCCAAACGGTGGGATTTTGGTCCGATTAAGAGCAAGGGCTACCAGTGGATGGCGAGGCACCCTGCTGAGTAAACAAGTACCTGCGTAGAACGGCAGTAACAGTGGTCGGAATCGGCGCTGAGGAGACGAGCGAGATGCGTAGTGCGTGATGCGGAGAGGCCTGAGGCTTGGGGATCGATCTTATGGCCGTGGGTGGGCAGACTGGAGCACGATGGCGCTACTCCCAAAGAAACCGTGCGTGCGAGCCAGCACCTACCCGATTCGAGCGGAGCTAAGGGGGGGGGGGGGGGCGTCTAAGGAATAAGCTGCGTGAGGGGAGCAGGCCCGACCTCGAGTTTGTCTAATAACAAGAAGAGGCTGGGACTGATGTGCGGGGACCTGGACAGAGGTTTCTGAAGATTTGGCAAAACAACAGCAGACTCGGGGGCTTCGAGGGAGGGCTGGGTTGATATGGAAAAGGAGGCCAAGCGCATCTCACAGAAGCACACGGCATTCGCATTGGCCCACAACTGGTGTCACTGGTGGCATGGGAAAAGCGGCGCCAGATCGATAGCTCGGGAGGCGGACGGTGGGGACGTGGCCAGCGGCAGGGGCTAGCAGCAGCGACGAACTGCAGAGCTTGGAGCAAGGCTGGGAGCAACGGCTTGGAGCGACATCGGTTTTCTCGAGGGCATGGCAAAATTGGGAGGCGCGCAGCAAGAGATGAGGGATCGCCAGAATTCGATTTGACCGGCGTAACGCGCTCCGGCAGGCAATCATTGGTCCCGTCAAAATTTGCGATCGAGGCTAGCGATCTTGTGGCACGATTTCCGACGATTGACTTCCGCCCACTGCTCGCGTCCGTGTGGGTGCGCCATGCCATCACGGCACGCGATCTGCATAAACAGGGCACCTGGGCATTCCGGAGCGAGCGGTGCAGATGGCGGCAGCAGCAGCAGCAGATGCGGAAGCAGAGCAGCAGCGATCTGGCATGCGGCATGATGCTGCATGCCGCAGAAAAGCTGCTGTTGTGGAGTGAGCGCGGCAGCTATCTTCAGCTTTGCCAGCATCAGGAAGAGGCCCGTTCGAGGCCACTCCTGCACGTTTGCAAGCGGGGCCCAAAGCCAGTCAGCGCTCTGGCGAGGGACTGTCTCCGGCCGCTGCGATTAAAGTTGGCGAGGGGAAGCAGTCTGTAGCGCAAGATAACGCGCTGCGGCATCTCGGTGCAACTGCGCTCCCTGCATCTTGCGACTTTCTGGATACGCGCCTGCATGGTCACGAAGGTCTCGCTAGCGATCTACTCCCAAGGGCCATCTACCAGCTAACAAGAGCTCTCGAATAGACAATCTGCGCAGCGCCATTGACAACTGCTGCAACGCCAGTCGCTGCTACGTCAATGGCTGCGCAATCGGTGGGAAAGTCCCACGGACGGACGAGAGCTGTCAGAGCTTGATCCAGGCCGGCTGACGTGCGGGCGCTGTCCGCCCAGATGCCGTGAGGCCGTACCACTTTCAAGTCACCATGACCGCAGCGCCGGCGCCTTCGTGGCATCCCTTGTGCCTTCGCAGATTAGCGAGAGAGATCCAAACGTCGAGATCATTTGCCCTTTTGTGTCACAGCTGCTGATTGGTGGTGTTCGGTGCAGTTCTGCAGAGATCAACAGGTCGGTTCGCTGCGCAGGTGAAGCGCATGCCGCATGCCGCATTCCGCATAGGAGTTGGGTCGGGTGTGTTGCACCTTGGGCAAGCGCGATCGAAACACGCCTCTTGGCAAGATGGGCCCGCTAAGATCCCCGTTGCTGCCAGGGTGGTTCCGGCGCCGAAGCGCGACCAGGACCACACGGACCAGCAGCTAGCTCCCCAAGCTCCCCAAGCTCCCCAAGGTTGACAAATCTTTCAGGTTTCCAGCCTTGGCGGCGCCTTAGCCTGCACCCGCAAACCCACAAACGACGTCACACGGCTGTTTCCCTCCGCTGCCCCAGCTTCCTGAACGCTTCGCTTGACCGCTTGGGAAAATTCGAGAGACCGTTCCCAAGTTCCACCTCCCAGCCGGTGCTCTGTCCGATTCTGTCCGATTCTGTCCGCGGATGCGTCACTGCTGCGCCTCTTGCTGGCTAACTGGCGGCCGAGAGTTTGACGCCGATGTCAATCAATTAGCATCTGCGGCGGCGCTGTTGCGGCCAGCAGAGAGGTCGCCAACTTAGCTGTGCCCAAAGGGGCAAGCGCTCTGGGGCGACCGGCAATCCTGTCAGGAATGCCAGCAGACAAGCGCTCAAGGTCTGGCCTGGACAGGGCCTTCCAACCCAACCATTCGATAGCACCTCGTCTAAAATTTCTTCTTGAAAGCCGCACGCTTTTTGGCGCCTTTTCAGCGATCCGCGAGTTCGACGACTGCAAAGCAAAGTACTGCTTGCTACGACAACGTGGAGGAAACGCTTCCAGATGAGAAACCACCTCTGCGGGTTTTGCCGCATCGCAAACTGTGCTGCTGCTCATGGCTTTCGGAGGGTTCCCTCTCCGCGAAGGCGACGGTGATGCTAAGCACCAGAGACTTGAATTATGGAGGAGATCGGGATGCTTCACGCAAGCTCCACCAGGAGACCAATCATCGAAACGTGGAAGCTGCAGATCATCATCTCGCGAATCTCAACCTAATCTCAAACTCGCGGGAAGCTGCAGAACGGTGGACATGGATGGAGCAGGATCTTGCGAGATGCCTCCGGACGGACAAAAGCCCCTCGAAGAATGCCATTGCCCAACGGCCCTTGAATCACAGGACAGCCTCCGTTGCATGATCGGTTGCCACCTTGCTAATGTAGGGCACAGGTACTGACGAGTCACGCCCTCTAGATTCAGGGCCGTTAACGGGCTTCATCGGGTGGCCATTCTCTCCCGGACGATTGATGACCGACGTCAGATCCGTTCCCAAGCATGTCAAGCATCTCACGCATGTCAGGCATCGCAGCCGAGAACATATCTCTTGGTATCTTTGTCCTACGAATTCACATTCTGATGCACGGCAACATTATGCGAGAAATTCGAAGGCTTCCTTGCAAGCACGTACGGATTACACTACTGCACGTATCTAGGTCATAGGTCGTTCAAATCGACACACCCTCCTTCGCGAATTATTTGCCACAGAGACTTTGTAGCCTATGTTGCTTCTACGGGAACGCTTCGTCCCAGAAGGCTGATCTTAACACTCTACGCGCACCAGAGCTCGGGGTCCCCGCCGGATAGTTTGCGAATTTCTCACAATATTCGTCCAACCTATGCTCTCCACAAGCGCCGTATCGCTGGAAGGTTCTTGGACGTTTCATATTGGCAAACACTCTCGTTTGTTGTGAAGAAGCTGCAGATGCTTGACACACCGCAGAGAAAAGCCTCCCTCAGTCCTCCGATAGGACTATAATCAATGCAGAGCTGATTTAAGACTCTAAGTTATTTGTCCAACTATTTTGCTCGGCCGCACTCAGAACACGCGTCTTATCTCCAACGCACTCAGGGTGCGCCCACAAGGAGCGGCGTGTAGCGGCATCCTCTAGGTCAATTTCGAAGGTGGATAGTTTGAGCGGCGACTACTGTGTTGCGGCTTACGTGGGCATCTTCTTCGGTGTCTGTTCGAATCCTCTATCCTGGTCAGGACTCCTAGGTTCCGGCCGCAATTTCATGAGGCATATGGCGGCACGCACGTACCCTTCAGGGTCCAAAGTCTTGCGCTGTCGGACCACGATGCTGTACCGCATTCACTGAACTTTTCGCTGGCAGTTTCATATGCCGTCCCTTGAGCATATGCTGCCACTGAGGGTCCCGGCTACTCGAAGACCGCAGACTGCAGCAGGGTAACGGATACGCGTAAGTCCCCTTGTCATTCTCGTTAAGAACACGGACCGGATGACAAGCAAGCAAGGTAAAAAAGAGGATTTCCGTATCCTATCGAAGCGGTACGACATAGCCGTCCCACATGCTGCTATCTTTCTTGTCCCCCTTTTTTTCTGCCTGTCCTCGCTCTCTGCACACAGCTGCGGCTCCTAGAGCACGCGTCTAATGCCCGTTTATTTTGTACACAGTAGTTCTGTCCTCCTCGAGGACGTATCGAGGGAGCACTCTGCTGCAGAAGCATGATACACAGAGCTACGAGAGGAAGCTTCCATCGCAATCCGAGTCTGAGATGCCTACACCCACTGGCATATGCGTGGCCGAGCTTCACCGAAACCATGTGCATCAAGACAAAACTTGGTGAGCGTGCGCATCACATGCGAGGGATGGAGAGTCCCGTAAGATTCTCGTGAAATCCACGCTTCAGCTTCCCTTGCTGTCACGTAGCTGCGTTCATGTCATAGCCTCTCTCAGCATACCTTCTCCTCCCACAGCACGGAATGACCAGTTTATTCCCCAGAAGCCAAAAACAGCTCTGGTCCTAGATTCCTCAAGATTTCTTCACAAGACATTGAGGATTCACTCGTCCAGGCGAGAGTTTACGCCACGCGATCACCTCCGCATGCACCGCATCCAGTTGCGTGAGGCTTCCTGTGTAACAGACGCTGTACGACAACCCCAGGCGAAGCATGTCCACTCGACGCCTCATTACCGGCACCTGCTTTGCGCCTCCTTCTCCCCTGGCAAATACCGTCCATGGTCGTCTGCCGCACGAGAACACACTCATTCTCTGTCCCAGGCCCTGCATCCACCACTCAACTTTCGCCTTTCACTTCTCGCCAAGACTGCCGCCGCCATGCGCGCGTCGCACAGCTCGACCCAGCGCAGCGGGAGTTTCCAATTCTCGGAGCGCTCGGATGCCCGCAGAGGCTCACCACATGCGCCGCGACGCACGTGGCGGCGGCGCGTGGCATCGTCTCGTCTGCTGTGCTAAGTCAGATCCGAGGGGCAGGGCGGCATCGCTATGGCGGTGTCGTGTTACTGTGGTCTGTAGAAGCGGCAAATGGGGGCCCGGATCTCTGTCCGAGGACCAGCGAGCCGGGAGTTTTGTTCTCGTGGCGGTGAGCTTTGCTGGGCCGATGTGGGCGCTGCAGGAGCAGGTGGTCGTTGTGGCGAAGCTGGGGCAAGCGAATGGGTAACCTTCCATCGCGTCCTGCTGCTGCTGATATGCATGTTGACGAGGTCGCGTTTGTCGCTTTTCCGATCCTGCACGATTCCGGGCTGGGGCGGGGCTTCTGTCGCACGGAAAGCCTCCTGCGTCTTGGCTGGAGATTGTGTTTACGGTAGGCTCCTATGAGTACTCATTCACTGAGGCCATGCTCGACAACGGAGCCCAGGCCGTGCTTCTGGATAATCTCCGTTGCTCGACCGCGCATTGAGCGTCGCATCTCTGGCGCTCGAGGAGCATTCGTGGACCTGTGGACTGCTCTCCACCAGGACAGTGTTCCCAGACCGCGTTTCGTCGCACCGTGTAGTCTCGTTCTGCTCTTCCCGCAACGCTTCTATCCTTTGCTTTGGCGGACTTCAGTCACAGTGAATTTCCACCGTAGAAGTGCTCTTGGAACTGCTGTTCAATGGCTTTTGACTTGGGCGGGTTACTCCGTTAATTCGCCGACGTCTTGGGTGCTCTTATTTAGGTGCCACTCCTTCGACTGTTCATTTCGGAACGGCTCACTCTGATTGATTTCACTGTGTTGCCAATCCTTTGAACGGCTTCAGTAGCCTTGATATGCGTCAGTTCACCGATGCCCGAGTGCTTCCCCTAACACGGAACGGTATGTCATTCCTATTTACTCTTTGAACTTGATGCTAAACACCTTGACTGTTCATGAAGGACAGAAAAGCCAAAAGTAAAGACACTCCGCAGCACTCCACGCTCAAAAACCACCATCAGGGTATCACTCCCAAAAAGGTACATCCCATCCGTAGACGCTGATAAACGCGCTTTCGCTCAAGTGGCCACGAGAAGTTCTTCGTTGCTCAAGAAAATACGTTTCCTTTGCCCCAGCTGCCCGTCCAAGTTCCTACAACCTTATCGTTGTTGCTGCTGCTGCCCCTGTCCTTGCCCTTGCTGTCCCTGCCCTAGATCCCATGGCTGGCGATCCAACGGCCTGATCTTGGCGTAGAGTTCCGTGTCGCAGAAGTTGTAATGGGGGTCTGTGAAGCAGAATGGGCTTCTCAGGAGCGTTTCCGCTGTTGGACGATCGGCTGGGTCACTGCTCTCCGCATTAGCTACGGTCTTTGCTCTCCCATTCCGCAGTGCCGGGAATAAGAGACGAAAAAAAATAGAGAACACTCACATCGTAAAACAATCATACATGAAACTAATCGCCGCGGGACTAATGCTTTGACAAACATCATCCGGGATCGGCGGAGCCTGGTTCAGACTCCCGAGTTTATAAATAGCGCCGATAGCCTCCTCCTTGCTCCACGGCCTCGACCCGGCAAACATCTCCAGCACGACGCACCCGAGGCTCCAGATATCGACTTTTGCGGAGTAGCCCTGGCCCTGACTCCGTATGACTTCCGGGGCCATCCAGAAGACGGAGCCCTGCATGCTGTTTGTGGCGTCGTTGCCGTAGATATTATCAGTCTTCTTGCTGATGCCGAAGTCTGAGATCTTGCAAGTGCCGTCGAGGTCGAGGAGGATGTTGTCGGCCTTGAGGTCGCGGTGGAGGATACCCTCTCTGTGCAGATAGGCGAGACCGTTCAGGCTCTGCCGCGTCAGGGAGCTGACGACGGGCTCCTCGAACTTGCCGTGCTTGCGCAGACAGGAGCCGATGCTGCCGCCGGGAATGTACTCGAGGAAGATGGAGATGGAATACTCCTTGCGCTCGCAGCCGAGGTACTGCACGATGTTGACGTGGTCCAGGTGCTGCATCGTGTCGATTTCCTGGTCTAGCGCCTTCACCATCTCGCGCATCTTGTCTTTGTCTTGCCCGGCCGCTTTCGGGTTCACCTCCACCTGCTTGACGGCAATCAGCTCGCCCGTCGTGACGTTCATGCCCAGGTACACGCGCCCGAAGGTGCCCTTGCCGATCAGCTGGCCTTTAACCCAGCGGAATGTCGGCTGTCGCTGCGGGACCGGGCTGTGCGCCTGCGGGATGGTGTCGAGCTGGAAGAGGCGGGAGCCGCGCGGCGGCTTGACCTGCTCGATGCGCGCGCCGAACATCTTGGTCGATTTGCGCCGCACGATGTCGCCGCCCCGCAGCGTGTTGACGCGGGATGGGCCGGGCAGGGCGCGTGTGCCTGGCTGCTGGTAGGCGCCCTTGACGACCTCGCGGATAGACTTGGCGCGGCCGAGCCCGCCGCTCTTGCGGATGTTGCGCTGCGCGACTGTCTTGATGGTGTCGCCTCGCTTGAGCGTCGATTCGTCTGAGCCGAGCGTGTCGGCTTCGTCCGCGGAGGTGCCGGGAGTGGTTGTTCGGCTGGGCGCGGAGCTTGAACCGGTCAAGTTGCCGGACGTTATGGGCGAGGGAAGCTGCTCCATCTCTTCCTCGATGACGGGCTGGGGTTGGTCGAGGTTGACGTTCGGGAAGAACTCGTCAAGATGCTCCACGAGTGCTTCGGCGGGAGGTCTATTCGCCCACACGTCGCTTGCGAACGATTTTCTATTCCGAGCGTACCTGAGGGACTCGTCTGGAGAATCGGCAGGCCAGGGCGAGCTGGCAGATGGGGGCGCAGAGCGGTCGCCGCCCGGTTGTGAGTCCCTGTGGTCGCTTTCGGTGTGGCTGGTCGTGGCGCTGTGCTCGGCTGATCTCCTGGGTGACTCGACTCGCACTCTCGATCGGGAGGTCTTGACGGAAAGTGAAGGCCGTTGCTTAGGCGAGTCTCCGTTCACGGAAGGCTGTGGAGTCGGCACAGGAGTAGGCTGCTTCTTCGAAAGTGGCATCGCGAATAACCCGTCATCAGAGTCATCATCAGAATCCTGCTGAGCAGCAACCGGCGGCTTCCTCTCAAAAGCAACGTCGGGTTCCTGGAAATCCAAGCTTGGACCGTAGCTTTTCCTGCTCGCGACCCTTGAGAGGTTCGGCTGCGGTGCCTGCGTCGTACTTGGGCTGACCTCAGGGCTAGCCCCACCCCTCACCGCACCTTGCTCAGCTTGCAGCTTCGCGATCAACGGATTCTTGGCTGGCATTTGCAGTGTCAGGGCAGGCTTGCCAAGAACAACATCTTCGGGCACATCTTCCTCATAGTCAGGAATCTTAAACATCATGTTGCCCTTGCTGAGCGTGTAGCTCGGGCTGCGAGGTGACCCACCTGGACTTGCAGTTCCCGGCTCCTTGAAGTCTACAGACGCCATGGCGCGTCGTGGTTTCGTGTCCTTCTCAGATGGAGGCGCAGGTGGAGAGGTGGTTGGCGGAGGGGGTGGAGCAGAAGTGGGCGCTGTGGGTGCGCCGACAAGGCCGCTGAGCTTGCCTGCTCCTATCAGAGCGGCGCCTATGCCAGAAGTAATGGAAGGACCGTCAGGTATAGCCTTCCGTCGGGCGCGATGAGCTGCATCCATACCCGCTGCTTCGGCAGCGCGCTCTCCGGACCGACGCTTTCGCTGAGCCTCGTCCTGTTCCGACCACGAAGTCCTGACCTTGCCGCCGGTTTTCTTGCTGAGCGAATTCGCCTTGATTAGGGTATCAGTCTCTACTGGAGGCTTTGGCGGAGCTTCTCGCATCGGAACCAGCGGCTTAGCCTTCGCCTCAAACTGCTTCGTCGTCTCTTCATAAGGTGAGTCTCGCCGGGTGTCGAAGTTGACGCCACGTCCTCTTATCCCAACCCCATTGGATCCTTCAACAGGCGATTCCTGCCCAAGTCGCCGCCTCCGCTCATCAAGGTAGGCTTTCTGCTTTTGCTCGTTCATCTTCCGATGTTCTTCGGCCTTCTGTTCTAGCTGCCGCCTCTCAGTCTCAGGCACATCACCTTCAACTTCCCAAGTTCGGTCACCCCTAGGCATCCGTTGCCCGACAACCTCGGTCGACGTTTCTCTACCTTTGGCCATGATTCGTACGGCCTCGGCCTTGGCTGGTACCAGTGTTGATTCCTCTGACCCGACAACAGGCGAGTCTGGCTGGAAAGGCAGAGTTCCGTATAAACGTGCACAGGTAACATCATCGATCGGTCTGCCAGAGAAAGACATTCTGCCGTAAGGAGAGTTCAGGTTGCTTGCAAATCCCAGTCCAAGACCAGCAGACCCCGGCGCCGGTGCAGGAGAATTGACAAATATCTTCAGACTTCCCTGTGGATCGGCGAATTTGGCACGAGCTAGCATCAGCAAGCCGTCATTGAGTGCCTCGTCGTATTCCTTCTGGCCAGGCGCGGTAAGATGAAGGGTTACGTCTGATGTGCTAACTATCCCAAGGCCCTTGCATATCTCATTGCGCAACGCCGCTGCTGAAGCGACGTCGGTGATTTCGATGAGGCGGAAATTCCAGCCGTCTGGAGTTGCGAAGACGAACTTTCTCGTTTCTGGATCTCTTACAGGGGCTCTTTCAGGCGGAGGTGCGCCACTTGGCTTTTCAGGCTCCACTTGCCTTCTAGACGGGGGCCGCTCGTTCAAAGAAGTCTGACTGGAGTTCATCGTGGACCGGGCAAAGAGTGCTTTAGGCCGCTCGTAGTGGAGTCCGCCCGGGGAGGTTGGGGAGTCTAGGCTTGACTCTTCGGGCGAAGGGTGAGTGTCGTCCTTCTTCCTTCTCCTGAATCTTTCTAGGAATCCTTTGTGTTCCTTTGCGCTTGTTGGTTCGTCGCTGTTAGACCGTGGGGCGGAGTCTATCGGAGGTGGACGCGCCCCTTCAGTTGCATTGCGACGGGTGTCAATGATTTGGCTAGGCGGTTGAGTAGCATTATACGCGGCGGTATTTGACATATTCGACTCAGCGCTATTGGTTTTGTTGTGATAGTAACGGCCAGATGACGGCGCCGGTACATTACTGCTGGGTGGCTGCGCCAGTCGAGCGCTTTGTAGCCTAGGGCTTGCGTGGGGACTGGAACGCTTCAACGCTTCACGGTGGTTGCCAAATTCGCCTGAGGCGTTCGGACTATGCTTGTTCGACGTGCGGTTTTCTTCAATGCCGCCGAGGATGCTCTGCGTAAACTGACTGCGAGTTCCGTTCTCTGACGTCTGATCTCCCAGTTGGCCCAAAGGAGGCATCGTGAAAATGCGCGTGTTGGAAGATCGCCTTGCAGGAACCGTTGCTGGCGAATTCAGAGTCATAGGAAAATGCCGTCCCGGGCTATCTTCTCCGCCGCCTGCGGTAACTGGCGTGGACAGTACGCCACCCGACTGATTAAGGTTTGGGGAATTTTCAAGGCCACCATCGGTACCGGCACTGCCAAGGTATTGAGTCGAGCTGCGCCGGTTGGGGGCAGGCCTCAGACTGCTGGAGCTGCCGGTGTCGATTATCCTGCGAACTAGGCGGCGCAGTCTTTTACCTTCGTCTCGGTCCTTGGTCTGATCACTGCCGTTGCCGCTTTTTGCGTACTCTTTGGCCAGCTGAGGGAAGATGAGTTGATGCATCATTGCAAGATTGCCTTTGCTGCCATGACCCCGTCCAATGTCTAGAAACTGAGATCCATGCAAGTCCAATGTCTTGAAGGTTTCCTGCCATTCGTTTGAGAAGGAGTTCGCAGCGAGCCAGATGAGAACCCGGTCTATAGGCCAATCGTTGCCGGGATCAGGGGGCGAGATTGGCGTGCTGGCTGAGGTACCATCGGAATGTTGCTGATAGGTGTCCGTTCGCTTCAAGGTGTTGACCGACGGACCATTTGGATGGCCAGAGGGGTGATGTTCCTGCGCGATGGCTTGATTGGGCTGTTGTCGATGACCCGGCGTTGGCGGCGCGTTCTGATACGCCCGACTGTCAGCATAGAACCCTTCCTCTCCCGGCGTGGTGATTGTTGTATCATTGCCGCGTCTTGTGCTCGCGGGATCTCGAGGATTATCTGTTCCTGCGGTGTAGTCTACGCTACCGCCGCGGTAGTAGGACGGATGGTCGGCATACGGACGGGAGGGCGCGTGCAGCGGTGGAATGCCTACGCCAGGCCCGAAAGATTCACCGCCCGGGATGTAAGTGGCTGACGTGAGAGGCTGGCTTTCATTCTGCGGTGGCGGCTGCGTACCCATCCCATAGGCCTGTTGATAGCCTTGGTAGGCATTGGGGTTGTACTGTATATGCTGAACTGGTGTAGGCGGCGGAGGATAGTGCCTGTTCCAGTAGCCTTGTGCGCTCCCAGGGGGAGCGCCAGGAGGGGGAGGGATCATCAACCCATGCTGATGTTGTGGCATTGGGCGAGGTGGAGGCGGCGGAAGTGACATGCCATGCTGGACAGGTGTGCTGGCCGCAGGGGGCGGTGGTGGGGGCAAATATGGTCGCTGCACATCCGAAGTGCCTTGTGGAGTTACGTGCCGCCCACCAGCCTGATACATGGCTGCCGGGGGAGCACCACGGCGGAGATTGTTCGAATGTTGTGCGGCGCCTGGATCGGCAAAGGTATGGGCACGAGGACGAGGGCTTGGCGGCTGAGGCGGAGTAGGTGTGGATAGCGAGGGATATGGGGAACCAGTGCCTTGAGAGGGCACGAAGAGCGCGGAGGCTGAGTTGTTGATGTTGGGCACGTCCTTCAGAACCAGGTCTGAGGCGAGAGGGGTCTGGCGGTAGGGAGAAGCAGTGCGCCGGCTTGGCGGGATATCCGGGGCGTTTGATCTTGCGGACGAGGAGCGTTCTCGATTTCTCCCACTCATGGTCTGTGGATGGTGTCCAAGACAGGATTTACTCCTCCGACTGACGGGAGCGCCGCTCCTTGCTCATGACTGCATGGCCCGGTTTCTAGCAAGCTACAATACTGCGAACCTGCGACGTGCCCAGCCCCGGAGTATATGTTTCTAGGAAGGGACAGATGCCAAGTAGTTGGTGTGGTGGTGGTGGCCCCAAGGTAGAGCGCTGATGATGTAGTGTTGTCCAGCAACAAGAAGTTCGAGGATGATCAGCGAGCGGACTTTGCGCACGAGTGGATATAGCGAGCTGAGTACACGTATCGAGGCCGATGCTTCGAGGGGAAGCAGCGTACAGACTAGCCGTGCAGCTGTAGTCTGAAGGATGTCGGGGTGGTATGGAGTCTTTGGTAGAGTGATGCAGTCGAGCTTGGTGTCTGAGAATCGGTCGACAGCGGTTGCGAAACGGTGGAGATGGCTCTGCGTTGGGGGCGGGGAGGATGGAGAAGTGGGAGGTGGATAGCCAGGTAGTGACGAATTTCCTACTGGCCGTTGCTGGCGGTCGACGTTGAGGAGCAATGGTTCAGTTGCCCAGGTGCGCTCTCGTCCGTCCCATCTCACGGGCGCGCTGGAGGTTCGAGGGCCGGGGGTTCCCACAGGCCTTGGGCACTCTGGCGGGCGCATCGCCCAGACCGAGGGACGTGCAGCGGGCCTGGCGGGCGCGGCGGGAGGCAGCACAGACGGCACCTGGGCAGATGCACCAGGCAGTGGGGGCGCCTTAACGTTAAGTACAGTACATAAGAGAAGCTGAAATGCTCCGACATGCCCGACAGTCCCCTCAGCATGCCCGACAGTTCCCTCGGCATGCCCCGTCCAAATGTCCAAATGTCCAAATGTCCAAGAAGGTCTTGTCTTCCACTTCGACATCTGCGTCTACTAGGCAAAGGTGACGCGAGTGAGGTAAAAGCCAGGCCGCGTTTCTCTCTTCATGAGCAGACGCGGATGAATCCCCGGTAGTTATGCCTTGTGACAAGGAACACACATACGGTATCACCCCACCGGCACACGCTGCCCCAGGTGGGATGATGCTCCCACCGTACCGTCATCATTTGCGCAGCAACCGCAGTTTATCGGTCGCCATATCAATCTGAGCCGCTCCCGCAAACTGGCTGTCCTCACCGAACACACTCCTTGATCGTTCACGTTCATACCTGCTGCCCAAGCGGTTCCACCGACATGTCTGACATCAGAACCTCCGAGCTCAAAGACCCCGTTGACGTCGCCGAGTACCTCTTCCGCCGCCTCAAGGAAGTAGGCGTTCAATCGGTCCACGGCTTGCCTGGCGACTACAACCTCGTCGCGCTCGACTACATACCCAAGGTCGGCCTCAACTGGGTGGGCAACGTGAATGAGCTCAACGCAGGTGAGCTTCCCTCTCGTGCTGCGAAGGAGTGCCCAACATGAGGAGCTCCGCACTCCACGAACAGCGATTGCGCTCGCCTTGATACAAATGTTCGAGAAGTTCTCAAGCTCATTTGGGCGCTTTCCGTTCTTCTCTCGCAGCTGGCGTGGAGATGCGTGGAGATGCGTGCATCTGCTGCAGATCAAGAGCTCTGTGCCTGCTCCGGCAGCTCCGCGACCACGTGATTGAGCGTTGCGCCGCACCAAAGATCGTGAAGCTGAAGCTGAAGCTGGATCGGGCTGTCGAGCCCTTGTGTTGGACCACGGACAGAACGCTTTTGACGGCCATTGAGAATGAGAAGTTGGTCGGTGTGGGCTGCGGAGCGTCTCAGGCGGCATGGCACATGGCTACTTCGGCCAGGCGCGTGCTCGGAACAGACAGTGCTGAATGTTTGAGCAGGATACGCAGCAGACGGCTATGCCAGAGTCAAAGGCATCTCCGCCATTGTCACCACCTTCGGCGTGGGCGAACTCTCCGCCGTGAACGCCCTCGCCGGCGCATACTCCGAGTACGTCCCCGTCGTGCACATCGTGGGATGTCCATCCACCATCTCGCAGCGCAGCGGCATGCTCCTGCACCACACGTTGGGCAATGGCGACTTCCACGTCTTCAGCAACATGAGCCGGCAAATCTCGTGTGCCACATCGCTTCTGAACGATCCGCATGAAGCCGCTACGCTGATCGACCACGCCATCCAGGAATGCTACATCCAGAGCCGACCGGTCTACATCTCGCTGCCGTCGGACATGGTGCAGAAGAAGGTCGAGGGCGAGCGGCTAAAGACGCCGCTAGATCTGGAATTCCCGCCCAACGAGCCAGAGAAAGAGGACTACGTAGTCGACGTCGTCCTCCGCGCCCTCCACGCCGCCAAGAACCCCATCATCCTCGTCGACGCCTGCGCCATCCGCCATCGAGCTCTCGAGGAGACCCACGAACTGATATCCAAGTCCGGCATCCCCACCTTCGTCGCGCCGATGGGCAAAGGCGCCGTCAACGAAACCCTCCCCAACTACGGCGGCGTCTACGCAGGCGACGGCTCCAACGCCGGCGTGCGTGAGCGCGTCGAGTCCTCGGACCTCGTCCTCAGCATCGGCGCCATAAAGTCCGACTTCAACACCGCCGGCTTCACCTACCGCGTCTCCCAGCTCCGCACCATTGACTTCCACAGCAACTACATCCGGGTGCGGTACTCCGAGTACCCTGGCGTGCGCATGAACGGGGTTCTGCGCAAGGTAACCCAGAAGATGGGCAAGCTGAACATCGAAGCCGGACCCGTCCCTAGCAACACGATCCCGCAAGCCGAGCGCAACTCCAAGGACCCGACGATCACGCAGGCCTGGTTCTGGCCGCGCCTGGGGCAATGGCTGCAGGCTTCCGACGTCGTCATCACGGAGACGGGCACAGCAAACTTCGGCATATGGGAGACGCGCTTCCCCAAGGACGTCACGGCCATCAGCCAGGTGCTATGGGGCAGCATCGGCTACGCGACCGGCGCATGCCAGGGCGCCGCGCTCGCGGCCAAAGAACTCGGGCTGCGGCGCACGATCCTGTTTACCGGCGACGGCAGTTTCCAGCTCACGGCGCAGGAAGTCAGCACGATGCTGCGCAACAAGCTGAACCCGATTATCTTCGTAATCTGCAACGAGGGGTATACGATCGAGCGCTACATCCACGGCTGGGACGCGCCGTACAATGATGTGCAGACGTGGCGGTATAAGGATCTGCCGGCTGCGTTTGGGGCCAAGGAGGGTGAGGCGAAAACGTACCAGGTCAAGACGAAGGAGGAGGTCGAGAGGTTGTTCGAGGATAAGGAGTTTGCGGACAGTGATGCCTTGAGGTTTGTCGAGATTTATATGCCCAAGGAGGACGCGCCGGTTGCGCTGAAGATGACAGCGGAGGCGAGTGCGAAGAATAATGCAAGATTGGAGTAGGAGATGCGTTGGGGAGCGGACGCTATGGATTCAGGCAGTGGGCTGAGAGAATTGCGGGACATGCCCAACGACGGAATTTCTCAGAACATGGGGCACTGGTATTGGACAGGGCAGGAAAATCAGCTGAGCACGGCTACGGGAAGTCTCGGTAACTTCATGCGTTAGTTGAACCAAAATGAAAATATTTTATCATACACCAGAGCCCCGAATGCGGCAAGGCCACAACAACCGCTGTGCTTTGTACAAGAAAACGTGACGTGATACTGGACGCGCAATGCTGTTGGCGATGTACAACAATGATCCATTTTAACCGAGCAGCATGCGGCGCGGGTCCTCAATGTACTCCTTGACCTTCACTAAGAACGTGACTGCTTCCCTGCCATCCAGAAGGCGGTGGTCATACGTGAGAGCGAGGTACATCATCTATGGATCGTTAGTTCCCAAAGCCCCCCGCCTCTACTGTAGCAGGATAGCACTTACAGGTCGGATCTCGACTTTGCCGTTAATAGCAATAGGTTTTTCTTTGATCGCGTGCAGGCCGAGCACAGCGGTTTGCGGTAGGTTAATGATAGGCGTGCCCATCAATGAGCCAAACACACCTCCCTGTAAAGCCGTCAGATGATTTGCGTAGTTGCTAGAAGCTGAATGAGCTTACATTGGAGATTGTGAAGGTGCCACCGGCCATATCCTCAATGGTCAGCTTGTTATCGCGTGCCTGTACCGGTCAGTATACTTCACGCAACGGCTGTGGTGTTCACGAACCTTCTTTCCGAGATCGGCAATCGCCTTCTCGATGCCAACCATATCGAGCGATTCAGCGTTCCGTACGACAGGCGTCACAAGGCCCTTCTCAGTCGCCACAGCCACGCTGATATCGACATAGTCCCGGTACACGATAGTATCCCCACCGCCAGGTCCCTCAATGGACGCGTTGACCGCTGGGAGGTCCTTCATCGCCAAGACGCACGCGCGCGAGAAAGCGCTCATGAAGCCAAGCTTGACTCCGGTCTTCTTGAGAATCTCATCCTTGTACAGCTTCCTCAACTCCATGAGGGAGGACATATCGACCTCGTTGAAGGTGGTGAGCGATGCGGCGGTGTTCTGGGACTGCTTTAGGCGCTCGGCGATCCGCAGACGCATGCGGTTCATTTTGACGCGGCGCTCCTCCCGGGTTCCGAACGGCTGCTCCATCTTCTTCGGCTCGTCCTTTTCCTTCTTTGGCGGGTCCGGCTTCTTGTCCTGCTTGGTTGGCTGCGGTGGCGGGGATGGCTTCTTCTCCTGCTGTGGCGGTTGCGGCTTGGATTCCTGCTTGGGAGGCTCTGGCTTGGCCTCCTGCTGCTGGGGCTTGGATTCCTGTTCCTGGCCGCCCTTTGGCTGCGAGGAGGTTTCTTGGTCACTTGATGCGGGCGCCTTGGGCTCCTGCTTGGCCGTCTCGGATTGTCCACCTGAAGGCTCGCCGCCGAGTTCCATCTTTACTAGATCTTGCCCTACTGTGACGGTGTCTTCCTCCTTGACAAGTAGCTCTTTGATTGTGCCGGCCTCGGGCGCATTGACTGATACATCGATCTGAGAAGTCTTAGCTCTCATCGCTCTACTGTGCTGTTCACTACTCCTTGTGTACCTTGTCTGTCTCGATGGTGGCAATTTCCTCGTCCTGCTCCACGTAGTCGCCAACCTCTGCATTGGCATAGGTATTAGAGACGTATCCGTAGAGCCTGCCATATATCTGGTTGACCATGTCGTTGATCACTTACGCTTCGAGAACTGCTTCAGCGTGCCCTCGGTGATGGATTCGGCCATCTCCGGCACTTTGACGATCTTCTCCGCTGTGGTACTCGTCAGGTACGCCTGCTCTTGCGCTCGAGTGGACGGAGGCTCAAACCATTGCATCTGTGGGTGAGACTGAAGGAAGCGGTGTGTGGTATCAACGGTGTTTTCCTGCTTGTACGTCAGCGGAGGCCGCTCAGGGCCGAGGCAATGGGGGATGTGGACTCACGATAGAGGAGACGCGAAGAGGGAAGGTCTCGATGCTGGCGAGCGTGCAGAGTAAGACCTCACAGCCGCCACAGCATGCGCAGGCTTGAGGTACGAAGCGCGGAGGAGAGGGGATGACCGCATCTGAGGCTTCGCTGCCGCGACTCTGCGCAAACATTGAGAGCTGGCCATTGTGCAGAAGCAGCAGGACCGCGAGCTCTACAACAGCATACGAGATGAGGATCCTAGGGGTTGGAGGTTGTTGGTTTGACACGGCGGGACAACGAGTGAGGAGAGCTCTGCAGCTTGCTTGCAGCTTGCGCCTTGGGCCTTGGGCCTGCGGTGGAGCTGGCGCGGGTGCCAACACGGCATCAGCCGGAGAGCGGCTCCGTCGTTGCGCACCCGTACGGAGTACTCTCGTCACTCGCGACACTGCCAACCCTTCGAGCTTGACTCAGCTCGGCCGTCTATACCTCGCCGTGGACAAAGTGCGACAGGCGCCAATTGACGCTGTGCCGCCAGCGCAGTAGCAAGCATGGCCAGCAAGAACGCCGTCCTGTGAGAGCACCACAGCATCGATGTCAGACCTCCATCTAGTTGCACAGAACACTAACAGCTACCCACAGCCACCTCTACCGCCGCTCCCTTAAGCTCTCCCTCGACTGGGCTGTCCATAGATACCTCTGGCGCGGACAGGCGCTCTACATCCGCTCGCTCTTCGAGGCGAACAGACATGTCACAGAGCCCAGACAACGGAGGGTACGCGCCCAAATCCTCGACTAGTGCAATAGTGACAGGACGCTGACAACGCTACAAGATCCTCATACAGGAGACCGAAGACCTGTTGAAGAAGTGGCAGCACCCGGATTCGTATCGGCCACCGACTGCGCCAGGAGGTATGGAGACGCAGAGTCCTTGTGTTTGAGCTCGGTGCTGATGTGCTAGACAGGCTCGAAGTTCGAACGAAACATACCTGCGCCCATCCTCGACCGTAAGATCATGCTCGCTGACCGAGTAGCTTGAAACGCCGCTGATGATGTCTTTAGCACCCCCGCACATGATATTGTAAGGAAGGTGAACGTTCAGGCGTCGAGAAACGAACCCATTGTAAACACACGTATCATTCGAACAGCCAGTAAAGGTTTTATGATTTCGTCAATACCCATTGCTCATTACTAGTGGTAGCCGTGCCTGGGCACAGCTCTTACGCACTGATGCTTGCCACTGGCCGAACTGCAATGCTGTGGTGCGATGTACGGTAGATCGGCCGGTCTCTAATCCACGTAAACTCGTGCATCATGACTTCATTTTTCAATACTATCAAGCCGATTGCCCAGTGAGCTGAAAGCAGACGCAGGCCGTCTTCCAATGGCCAGACTGTGTCACCTCGGTTTGCTCAGCCTCCAGCATGTCAACGCCCACAAAGATCTGTAAAGCATGGAGATATACCACGAATACAAAGGGGTACTTCTTCGTTACAGATGGCGTTCATGCAGCAGTTGCAAGGGAAGCTGGGAGTTCTGGTCGAACAAACCATGGTAGGAAATTTCTGACCTTGGAAGTAGAAATGGATCAAATGTTAATGTTTCGAAAGCACGAGCTGGTAGCATAATTCTAAAACGTTTTCAAAATGACAATCAGAGCGCAGATTAGAAGCAGAATCAAGTGTCAGTCATCAGATTCCGTCCATCTCCATGGACATAATGTACAGCAGTCCCGATGTAGTGCAGAAAAGCCGTAGCCCTTGAACCCAGTTGCCCCGACCCTAAACCCCATGAAAGTCATTGTGAAAAGCACCACCAAACCCACGCCGGAAAAGCAAAGACCCAGAGAAAACCTATAGCTCTTGGCTGGGACCCTTGCCGCCCTTGGCAGTCTTCTTGGGCAGAAGGTCTGGGATGAAAGTCAGTATATCTGATACGCTTTGGATGGAGCTGGATGACGTACTCTGGTGGATGTTGGGAAGCACACCACCCTGGGCGATGGTGACGTGACCCAGTAGCTTGTTCAACTCCTCATCGTTCCTGATGGCGAGCTGGAGATGACGCGGGATGATGCGGGTCTTCTTGTTGTCGCGGGCGGCGTTGCCAGCCAACTCGAGGATTTCGGCAGCGAGGTACTCAAGGACGGCAGCGAGGTAGACGGGAGCGCCTGAGAAAGTCAGATGACTATTCGAGTTGGATTGAGAGGGTATGACTCGCCAGCACCGACACGCTGGGCGTAGTTGCCCTTCCTCAAGAGACGGTGGACACGACCGACCGGGAATGCGAGACCGGCCTTAGATGAACGACTGGATTGGAGTTAGTATCCGTTGGACGCGTGATGCGGAAGGCGCGCCTTGAAAGCATCCAAAAGGAACGGCGCGCAAAGCCTGCGAAAATGGAAGACTTACGATTGCGCATTGCTCTTGCTGCCGCTGGCCTTGCCTCCAGACTTGCCTCCAGTCATTTTGAGAGATTTGGTTGAAGTTGGCGGTTTTGGTTTGAGTGGTTAATATGGGAGTGGTGGATGCGACGGGAGGGATGCGATGCGATAGATAGGTGCGTGTGGATGAGAATCTGTGGATGAAGGAGGGAGGGAGCTTCAGTCGGGGGGCGGCGTTGCAGTTATAAGCTGGTCGCGTCGGGCTGTTGTGGTCGCTCCATCATTCGGTGCGCGGAGGCTCTAGCGCCTGCCGCAAGAGGCTTAGCGTACTTTCCCGCATCACCAAGCACCACCCTGCCGCGAGCGGACGTGAGTTGATGCCGATTACGCGACCGACTCTCGCGACTGCCCATAAGTATCCTCCACCACCCGCGCTCCTCTTCATTTCCTGCTCCCATCCACCATCCACCATCCACCATCCACGTCCATCCTGCCGCGCAGCTTCATCCATCACTCACACACATCCGTCCATCAACAGCTTCACTCGAAACATCAAACTTGCGCTTTTTCGACTCACAACCCGCACATAACACTCAAAATGCCACCAAAGGCTCAGAAGACTCCCACCACTGGCGGCAAGGCCCCGGCTGGCAAGGCGCCCGCCGAGAAGAAGGAAGCTGGCAAGAAGACCGCCGCTCCCTCTGGTGACAAGAAGAAGCGCACCAAGACCAGGAAGGAGACCTACTCCAGCTACATCTACAAGGGTACGTCTTCATCGCCTGATCGCGTCCGCATCACGGTCGCATTCCGTGCCTGGACCTGTTCCAGCCTTGTTCATCATCCAGGATCATCGAAGCTGACGCGTCTTGTTTCCAGTGCTCAAGCAGGTCCACCCTGACACTGGTATCTCCAACCGCGCCATGTCCATCTTGAACTCCTTCGTCAACGGTATGTGACCTCCAGCACAATGCGATCCTAATCCGGTACTGATTTGTGACTCAGACATCTTTGAGCGCGTCGCAACCGAGGCATCTAAGCTTGCCGCATACAACAAGAAGTCCACCATCTCTTCGCGGGAGATCCAGACCTCGTACGTTACCACTCCATCCACTTGTCATCTTGAAGCGCCCTTTCTGACTGTTTCGCAGTGTGCGACTGATCCTGCCCGGTGAGCTTGCCAAGCACGCCGTCTCGGAAGGCACCAAGGCCGTCACCAAGTACTCGTCATCCACCAAGTAAACGGCTTCTCCCTTTCGCGGGCTCTCAGATCTATGCTCTTTTGGTGAAGGGGTTTTTACGCCGCTCGATGGTATACCGGCGGGTTTTGCGGCAGGTGTTTACGGTTCATCAGTGCGTCATGGGATGGGTTGCTTTTGCTCTGGCCTGAGCCACATGTCTTCACGGTTCAGGGATCTGGGATATCATGGAGCGTTGTATGATACACCCTCTCTGAGGAGGAATCAAAGATCCTTTCTCTACTTTTGAGTCCCGCTTGCTTCAGTGACTTTGGGATGTCTTGTGACATCGAACCTGACAGGTGATGCACTGACAATCTAGCTACCGTGTTTTGGAGCTTTCGATCATCTAATGTCAGGATGCAAGACGTGCTACTGCAGTCCGCGGAAACAGCTGGCATCTGGAGCATCATCACGCTTCGTGGATATCGACCGCTTTGTCATCTTAGGCACGCAACGCGCAGCGCTAATTCTGCCATGGAAGAACTGCTTCGCAGCCGCGCAGGCCGGCGTTGTTTACATTCTGGCGCGAAAATCTCGCGCATCAAGAGTGGTCAAAAACCGGGGATGATAGGGTTGCGTATTGATAGGATGGCTCTCCAGGGTATCGGCGCTCGTATACGCCGCTACACCAACCCATGAGCATTCTGAAACGGCCGAACAATGCAACACCGTCGCGCCCCGAAGTCCACTCAACCAACAGAACAACGCCTCTGCAAATCGCGCGAAACCATTGGAACCAGCCCAATTCACTCACTGCAACCCATCCTCATCGTCGTCAAGCGCTTCAACCTCGTCCACTGCTCCCTCTCTCTCGACACTACCGTGCAGCGCCGGCTCATGGTCAGCTACATTGACGATGGCTTTGCCTTGCACTTCTTGTATCCCCTGTCTCCAGTCTTTCCAATCTTCCTCATCCCGGATCAGGAAAGCGATCAGCATGCTCGGGTCCATTTCTCTGACATGAATGCGGCGTAGGCGGCGCGTATGGCAGGAGTCGATATCCTCGGCTGTGTAGTCATCGAGGTTGGCGTGGAGAGGGAGGAATGGGCGAGGGGTGTGCGGGTCCAGGTAGAAGAAGTGGTCGGCTTGAGTGCCGATGAAGTAGTGGGAAGAGGATGGCTGGCCGCTGCCCAAAGAATCAGTCCACTTGACACATACTCGCGCGGTTTTTTGGGAGGCACTTACCCAGCAATCCCGATGGACTGAGGCATTTGCAGAGCCGCCTTCAGAGCTTCCCAGTACACGGGTGTGACTCTATCGATGCCTAATCGTATGCCGACGCAAACGAGTGTAGGTTGAAAAGAGCCATCGGTCGATCTGGCTATCTTCATGAAGGCGTCCTCGTAGACGTCGGAGCCGTCGCCGGTGATGTAGACCTTCAATCCAGCGTCTTGATAGCCGTTCGATAGTGCCCTAAGAAAGTCAGGTAGCCACACAATATATCTCGATGCCTAGAGCTTACTGTATGCACGTCGCCGTAGCAGAAGGTCCAAACCACTCTCCAGGATGCTTTCCACACGCCTTCGCCCCGTGCTCAACAAACCTGTGTATCGAGAACGGCGCTGTCGGATCGTCAGCAAACAACGACAATATCCTGCGCTCTTCTTCCCGCTTCTGCCCTCTCCGCCAATCCCTCCCAAGCTGCAGCATCACCAGCGAGTTCGCAAGCAAGCTCTGCCCCGACCGAATCATGCACCCCCAGCCCGAATCCGACGTAAAGCCTCCCTGGTTCCCCAGCTGCTTCAGCCGCACAGAGAAGCTCAAACTCGCCACCGCCTTGGGCGACTCCGACTTCTGTATCGACGCGAAGTTCGAGCGGTACGTGAGCCAGATCCTGCTCTCGAAGTCGTCCAGGAACGCTCTCGGCCACCCTGCATCCGCATCTCCGGCGGCCGTGTCTTCAGCACCACTGCTACTCCGACTCCTGCTGCTGTCGGTCGTCGAAGAAGCATGCGAGGTCGAAAGCGGAGCGCCGTTCGGTGCGCTCGGCGACGACGTGTACGGCTCGCTGCCTGCCATCTGGCTGCGTGCCTCGTAGCATTCGCCCAGGCACCAGACGGGCAGGTTCGGCTCGTCGTTGCGCGGCATCGGGTCCCAGAAGTACTGGACGACGCGCTTGCTGTAGCGCCCGAGGTTGTCGAGGTTGCTCATGTTGCGTGCGGAAGTGGGAAGAGAGGAGGTAAGGTGAGGGTTTTGGGGACGGTGTCCGGTGATGCGCTTGTCAAGCACGCCCGTGACGCTTGGGCTGGGTTTGGCATGGGTAGGTATATACGACGAGGCGGCCTGATGTTGAGGAGACTAAGAGACAAACCGAGCCGGAGGAAAGAAGCTGTGGAGATCTATCCGGTCATGGCAGATTCCAGAAGGGAGGTAGGTATTGTGGTCGTCAGATCGACTGGAACACGCACCGCTGGAGCTTGAGCTAACTACCTACCTAGCACTTGGCACCTGGCACCTGGTATGTACCTACCGACGTGGATGTCGCACGCACTGGAGAGGGGTTTCTTAACGATAAGAGATGGTATTTTATGTATTTTATGTATTTTTTGTAATTTATATTTCCGTCCATGTATCGCCCCACGTCAATGAAGTCTAGGTAAGTTACCGCCACCTTCTGCCTCTGCTTCTCACGACTCACGGCTCACGACTCACGACTCACAACTCTCCTCTCAGCGTTCCGAGTTCACAGACTGGTAAAGCCGTCAGACGTCGTTTGTCCTAGGGAAGAGGCGTCCGAATGCCAAGAACGAAGAAAGGCGGCCGCAACAGTGGCAAGCTGCCAGCCACTCCCACAAGGAGTGGACACAACAACGTCCGCAGTTCTGGCTCTTTCGTCCCACAGTCGTCGAGCTCTTTCACCGACAACCACAGTGGTGGGTAGATCTGAGCCTTTCCCGCACTTCTCCGCTCATTTGCACGCACAGCTTCTAAGCCTGCCCATTTCTCCCTGAGCGATGAAGCTCGGAATACCGCACGACACCACTCCTTCTGGTCTACGGACCAGAAGTTGCGTCACAACGTGATCAACTTCGTGAGCGCTGGCGATCTAAAAGGCACCAGGGAAGATGAGGTAGCAGGAGAAGAGTCGGGGGCGGAAGGGAACTCTCTGGAGCGTGGCGACGTTGCTTGCTCAGAGCATGCGTTGGCCCGTATGCAGATCCAAAGCGAGGAAGAGGCCACTTCATCTGCATCCGCATCGAGCAGTGACGTGGATATCAAGATCGAGAGCAGCCCACATGGTGTTACCGGGGGTTCCAGCGGTGCGCCTGCAGTTGGTTTCTTTGTCGACACCACGGGTTCAGGCTTCGCAGCGCCGCCCAAGCTCCCTCCGCCTGCCTTCCGCAGCGCTTCGCCGACGCCTTCTACATCCAGTGAAGAAGTGGTGGTTTTCAGAGGCAGAAACGCACCCGTAAGATTTGTTGACGAAACTCCCAAATCTCCGCCAAGACTTCGAAAGCCCTCGCCTCGCAAACCCTCGCCCCGCAAACCTGCTGTCGGTCAAGATGCTCAACCTTTGGGGGAGCGCTCTGCCCCGCTGAAGAGAGCTACTAAGCGATCCAAGAAGCAACACCAAGAGGATGAGATCATCGCTGATTACTTGGAGAACATTCGCGCGCAGGAACAGCTCGGCGCTGACGCTCCTTCCGACAGCCAGTCTGCTTTCTTGCTTAGGGATCTTGCCCTAGATGACAACAACGGGACGGATGTTGATATCCTAGCACCACTCGAAGAAGCTCTGCGTCAGTCAACTGTCAAGATTGATGACGGTTGGGACCCCTCTATGCTGGACGACTTCGAAGGTGTAAGCACATCAGAAGAGATGCTTGGAGAGATCGAGCGCATCTTGCACAAGAGGGAACGGGAGGCTGGAGTTCAGTACTTGGTTGTGTACGAGGGCTACACAGTCGACGATGCAAGATGGATACCTAGTGCATTGTTGACTGCGGAGCGCCAGTTGGAACTCATAACATTATTTGAGAGCTCCATCCCATCTCAAGAGACTGGCAACAGCGATTCTACCAATTCCGAAGAAGATGACTTCGACGTCGGAAATGATGGGTTCGATGACGAATCGGATGATGATGAAGATGATGAAGACGGGATCAACTCGGATGAGGATTTCGAAGACGAAAAAGATCTCATCGAGCGCAGGATAGCCAGAATGACTGACGAAAAAATTGCACGGCTTCTCGCAAAACAGGAAGAGCTTGGGATGGGCTCGGACGAGCTATTACTCTTCGATGACGACGAGGGCAGGGAAGAGGGTGACGAAGAAGAACTCCAGGCCACCCTCGATGCCCTATTCCGGCCGGCTGGTCGAAGTGGTGGTCGCCAGCGATCCCGCAGAGCGAGAGGTGACTATCCTTCTGCCAGCCTCATGGCTGACGTGCTCGAGCAAGACCCATACAACGGGTTCGACATTATGGACTTCGAGCGACCTAGCATTAAGAAGCCAAAGGGCCGCCAAGCGGAAATGCCGTTTGAGCTGTCCGATGATGAGCTCCAGACTACCCTCCGCAACACCTGGGAAGCAGATCGCAAGAAGAAGCGCCGCCAGAAAGCCGAACGCGAAGAACTTCGTGCCCAAGGCCTCCTCGGCAAGAAGAACAAGTTCAAGTCTGACCTCAACGCCCGTTACAGCGAAGGCATGAACATTGCCCAGCTGAGACTAGAAATCGAAGAATTCGTCCGCTCGTCTCACACGAGTCGCGCCCTGCCGCCCATGGACAAGCGCGGCCGTGCTCTGGTGCATCAGTTCGCCTCGCCCCTCGGGCTGAAGTCCAAGTCTGTCGGCTCAGGCAAAAGCCGTTTCACCACCCTCATCAAGACTAGCCACACACGCGAGTTCGACGATCGCCTCTTCTCTAAGGTGGAGGCGCGCATGACGCGTAGCTTCCTCCCCCGCATGGACAAGAAGGCCGGAAAGGGCCGAGTCGTGCCTAGGCGCTCTGGTGGCGGGGGCGTTACTGCTGGAGTCAGCTATACGGATGGCGAGGTTGTCGGGGCGAACGCTCCTGAGCTCGGTGTTGGGAACAAGGGCCGCGCGCTATTGGAAAAGATGGGGTGGACTCAGGGTACAGCCCTTGGTGCGCTTAATAATAAGGGCATTTTGCAGCCGATTGCGCATACTGTCAAGACTGGTAAAGCCGGCCTGGGGTAGGTGTTCACGGGAGGAAGGAGGCGGGTTGCGTTCTCACATCGGATCTGATCGCGTTCGATCTGCTGCGCCGCCTCCAAGCTTGCTGTGGACCTGTAGAACCGGTTGGGGCGTTCCGATTGGTGACCTTGTATGATGATCGGAACGCTGCCCTTGCCATCTTGCTGCTCATCTAGTTCACGGACTTGACAGCAAGTGGTGGTTCAGCCTCCTGTCCAGAAGCTTCGCTTTGTTGTTGCTGGTTATTGTGTATTATACTGGCGGGGATTGCATATGTTCCTTCTTCCTCGTGTTTCAGAAGGGGGACGGTCTGTGTACCATAAGATAGCCAGTAACTGTTGTCATAGAAAGGCGATGTCTTGGCTGATATGCTTGCCGGGATTGAGGAGAAGGGAACGTGTACTTTAGGGGATCAGCTCAAAGTGTATAGACAGCTTGTATACAGGATAGCGAAGAAGCTCTACTTCGCGTAATCACCGATCATCTCTGTCCGTCCAGTCTTATGAGACAACAGGCCATTTCAATGTGCCTAGGATTTGATCGGTCCAATTTTGTGATAGCCGAAAGCGTTATCACTTTTGTGCTCCGGAGATTATATTCTCACCTAGTATCGTTTGATAATCTCTTTGTAACAGAGCTCAACCTAGCAAAGCGGAGTATAGTAAGCCGCTGTAGTCGGCAGCAAGATTGAGCCGACTATACGTATTGAATAGAATCAACGCAAGGGTTGGGAGATGCAACTTCTTCCAAGCCCTTTGGGATACGCCGCAGTTTTTCGATGCAAAGTTCGTAGAACAACACTCGAAAAACAGATATGGGCTATGACGAAGAATGTGAAGCTAAGTAATTAAATCTCTACCGCTCCTGACAAGCCTCTGATTACGATGGGTTATCTCCAAGTCAAATCCTGTGGATACTTTGGGTAGGAAAGAGGTTAACAAGCCACATCAGATCAGAGATTTCTGCACAGATTTTCGAAGTTTCTAGCCTACGATCCATCGCGGATAGCTCCAACCCAAGCGATCGAGCAGGTTGATATGTACTAGTAGATTTAGTGTTCTGTAACAGTCCTCTTAGAAGACTTTGGTTAGGACCCAGAACTTGTCACTATCTATTGTATGAACCCTTCTCTGGCAAGACTGTGTTAGTGCTGTGCCCGAATACGAGGGCTATTGTTTACTAGTAATCAGCTCGTCCACTTTCGTGGGCCATTACTAGTAACTACAAATCCTGCTTAGGGACTTAGAAGAAAGTTCATAGCATGCAGGAATCGCAATCTCTCACTATGACTCAGATATCTGACACCTTTATAAGACTAAATAGTCGGCTCTTAGAAGACTTCCATGGTCTTCATAAGCATCTTAGAACTAGAAACTGGTTCCTGCGTGCAACTGCACTGGTTACGTGGTCGGCTACCCACTAATGTACCTGGCCGTTAGATCTGCCACCGTAAGCTCAATTTTAAGCATGAGATTACCGTCTTGCACTCATCCTCTTACAAGCCAGAAAGGTTCCAGCTCGGATGATGTTGCAGCACAATGGCAGCCAGGGTTCAACAGGCTGTCGCTCGGAGCTTTGATACACCCTCTGGATACTGTGCGTCTCATACAACGATAGTCAGCTCTCTTGGTCACTTTGAGTGTGGAAGGCGCGAACGGAAGGCCCCGCGTATCAACACTTCAATTCGACTCGCAAAAGGGTATGAACGCTGGTCACCGCTCACTGCAAATGAAGGGGTGTGGGAAGGAGAAGCTAGATACATGCGGATGGAGCCCTGATGAGAGCATGGACGGCTGGAGAATTGGTGCACGGTGTTCCCTGGGAGTCTTTGAAACTGAGTGATGTGAATTGACGCAGCCATGACTGAAAACAGAGGATTCAAGGTCCACAGGGGTAGTGCCAAACCATATACAAAGGACAACACAAGCGGAAGTCATAGTGCAAGACTTCCTGTCCAGCTTGCTTCCATGTGATATATCAATCCCGTGTTCTGGCCTGTGTCTCTTGTATTTCCTGATACTCCTCGTCTCCTGGCAGCAGAATCTCACGGCCGCTTCCATTTCGCATCCAAAAACTCGCAATGCAACCGATGCAGCTTATACCAGCGACGATCCACCATGCCATGCCGACTGCACCCATCTCCAAGCCAACACCATACCAGAATCCCGCCGCAATAGGTCCAACAGTCCTGAACATCGAGCTAGTGCTGGAGCCAAGACCATGGATGGTAGCCAGTACAGTAGGATGCGGACTGGAGTTATTGAGCAAGAGGATACTGGCTGGCAGCGCAAATGTGCGGGCCGTAACCTGTAAGGTTAGCACCATGCTGATGCCTATCCAGATCCATGGCCCTGATGCTGGTTGAGGCGCATCGGTCCAGGACGGGAGCAGCGATATAAAGGGTGCGAGGAAATAAGCTACAGGAAACAAAACCAGTGAGTAGCGGAAGCAGCGCATGAGCCCGAACCGTGAATTGGCCCAGGGATACAAGCTCAGCTGGAGAGCCAAGCCTACGAGGCCGATAACGGCTAGCGCATAGCTGATTGCCGTGGGCTGGAAGGAAAGTCCACCGTCAAAATAGAACGGATCAGACGGAGAGCGTGCGGCATGGTGCTTTTCAGCGCGTTCGGTGGACAGGAAGATGATCCATAGGCTGGAGAAGGCGCTAATGATCACGTCAGATGAGAGCAGCAGACCAGGAAGGAGCGCGTACCCCATATGGAAGTCAAATATTGCAATAGAGAGTAACGTGAGAACGACGTTTGAGGTCCATAGCCTAGAGAATGAAAGCTTCGGCTTTGCGAATGGCTTCTCCAGATACCCTTCCGGGCTGAGTTCTGTCATGTTGATCGCATCGCCTTCAATACCTGCAAGAAGGCCGACAGACTGTGATGGGTCCAAGGCCTTGTAGTCGCTCTTTCGCCGCGGTACTAGTCGGGCCAGAAGACCTCTGCTGGTGTCAAGCCAGCCGAATGGGCTGGGGCCACGTTTGGCATAGGATGCTAGTGTTTCCCGTAGGAAGAAGTAGACAAGCGCAGCCTCGGCGAAGAGAAGAGCTGCGCTGAGCATGTTAGTAGCAGCGTAAGGGTATTTGATCATCCATGCTACGCCTTCTGGGCCCCCGAATACGGAGCTGGGTCCCAGGAGAGTAGGGAACGATGTAACCGGATCGACGAGCATACCGCCGAAGACTGTGAGAAGGCACACTGTTAGTAGGTCATCAACTTGGGAAAGAGGGGGAGACTCACTCGGCCCAAGGATGTTCGCTACGTTGAAAGCAACCGGTAACAAGAGGAAAGCTCGTGAATGGAAACGCTTCTCAACGGTCTCCGCCACCATCGTCCGCGCTGCACCCACTGTTCCGTTAATGGCGCCTCCTAGAAGTCTCCATAAGGTGGCCTGCGTGAAGGAACGCGAAAATCCAAGTCCTATGCATGAGAAAGCCGTGCCAATCAACCCTACTAACAATACTTTCTTCCTCCCTATATTGGGCTCATCCGCTACCCGGCCCCATAACACGGCAGTGACTATCTGCGCTGCCGTAAAACTGCCTTGTAGCATGCCGGCTTGACGCGAGATGCAGGAATTCGGCAGAGAAGGATCGAAAGACTGGAGCTGGTGGACCATAAAAGTCGAGAGAGATGCCATTTGAAAGAAGTCGACCATACGAGAGAGTGCCAGTATGGCTAGTTGGTCTTTGTGTGGCATTGACGTCCATGATGCCTGCGGCGGCCTTACAGGCTGCATCGCTGTCTCAGCGCTGTGTTCTTGATCTTCCATTACCGAGCGCGTGACGCCGGTTGATCTTCCATGGCGGTGGTGACTTTCAATCTGGTCGAACTTCTCTGCAGATGTGGTCGACATTCTGTTGGACCCAGTACACCCAGTAGTGATCAATAGTCTTCTTTCTGGTTTAACTTCACACCGGAGAGACAGCCGCTCCCGTCAGAGACAGCATGAGCCATCGCTGGTGGAGTCAAGCTGCGAAGTAGCGGAGGTAGGTGGACGGCGATATTCCAGAAGTCACTGCCGGCGATACAGGTAAGTACGGCCAGATAAGATACCTGGTCACTCTGCCATGAACTCTTCCCTACTCGTCCGCGTGGCAGTGGCGGGCAAGGGAGGCCGTGGAGGCGCTTCGACTATATTAGGTTGCGTGCAGGGAAGTGCCATATGGGAACAACCACTGGCGATTCGGGAAGGCGTCTGTGCACGGTGAGCGTCGTAATGCTGTTTCAACTTCGGAGAACAGTCCCCAATTGTTTGCCGGTACGCGCACGATCAATCGGGATAGCGAGCTTGATTACGTTGCTTTAGGTGCTGAGAACGAACTAGTGAAACTACAAACAAGCCTTGCGCCCGGTCTGCCGAAGGCGATTGAAGCTAAATTAGCCGCAGATCGTGCAGCAAGCGGCCATCTACAGGAGAGATCGACTCATGCCGTGATTCGAGCGACGGTTTGCTGTTCTTGTTTCATCTTGCAAGCTGGATGAGACGCTGGAGTGTCCAGCAACGGACGTCAGGCATGGATTACGCGCTCCTCTTGGAGGACGTTCGACAGCCCTGCTTCGTGTCCGCAGCAGACGTCCGGGAGAGGAGGATCACTTGTGGCGGACCGCATGCGCTGCTGCCATTTGCGGACTGGAGCCAGGGTTTACTGTCGTTGAGCAGCTTGCAGAATGAGGGGCCCAAAGCCCGGCCCGGATCAAAGATAGATATGGGGTGTGCTTCGTCTGACTGTGATTAGCTCGAGCAGCTTGATTGTCCGATAGCCGAGCGTGTTCGATGCGCCGTGAGCAGCGTCTACAGTGCGCAACGGACTCTTAGAGCATGAAGGTCGGGTGTTTGGTGTTTGCCCTGCCAGCTGGGCTTGTGGACACTCGGATGGCGGTTCCCCTAGCGAGCCGAAAGCGCCACAGCCGCGACCTAATGAAGTCAACGACGCTGATTGATGACTGCCCAGGTGCGACAGGACACGACACAGCTTGGCCCAGAGTATCGTAACAGCCGGCTGCAATGGCACACATTACTGACCCGTTGGGAAGTCTCACAACATTGCTTCAGCGGGAGACGAAAGCCATTGAGCTCATGGTAGGCCCTACGCCCGGTTCTGGAAATCTGCCACCGCCAGCACCAGCAATCCCGGCTCAGAGATAAAGATATCTGCACGAGTTTGCAGCAGTAGTGTTCCCGAAAACACGGACCAACCAGAGTCGCTGGCCACCATAGAAATGCCAAGCAACGAGGGATCCAGGTCGAGACGTCGCCTCCTATCGAGAGGCGCACTGTTTTCCTATGCCCTGTGAGAAGGAAGGAAGCTCAGTCGATGATGCCTCCCACGCCCCCACAATGCATGCTTCCCATGATTCCCTGCCTTTCGAGGCAAGCGGGTGCCTTGAACATACGCGGCACAAACAAAGTTGTCAGTAGGTGCAACATGCAGTTTTCCCGGAAGGGTGGACGCCGCCTACCACTGATATGTGGGTCGCCTTGGTGAGAAATATTCGATCGTGCCTGTCAATAACACGCTGTTCATCGCGGGCCATGATAGCTCACGAAGTCTGAGAGCATCCGCGGTGCTTTCTTTTCCTCGATTCCTTTCCCTTTTTCTTTCCGTCCACATAACTTCATTTGCGCTTCCTTTCCTCGAATTCGCTCGACACGATCTGCAATGGCTTTCCGACCTGGCCAAGCATACACGCCGAGACCCGTCACCGACATCTTCACGCCTGACGATACGGAGATTGATCGAAGGAAATGCCGGAGGACTGTCCCGATGAGGGTCCTGGCGTTGGGGCTTGGAAGGACAGGGACAGCTTGTGAGACATCTCAATGAAGCCAGCTTTATCAACCACTGATGTCTGGCTGAAGCTCTGCGTGCTGCCCTCAAGGAGCTTGGATTTGACGATTGTTACCACATGATGTCTGCCAGCGTCGAGAACCCCCCGGACTGTTTGATGTGGCAGGATGCTTTGGCGGCAAAGTACGACGGAATCGGGACATTTGGTCGCACGGAATGGGACAAGCTCTTCGGGCACTGCCAGGTACGGCTCATCTGCCACTTGGTCTCAACTTTCTGGAAGCAACCCCTGACGCGATGCAGGCAGTGTGCGATTGGCCTTGCGTCGCTTTTGCTCAAGAGCTGACTGAGGCCTATCCGGACGCCAAAGTTATCTTGACTACGAGAGATGTGGACTCCTGGCACGCGTAAGTTCTCTCGCTTTTGTATACCTCTGCCGCTGACCCCTTCCACGCAGTTCATGCTTGAAGACCGTCGACTGGCGAGCAAACGACCCGGAGCTGGTTCTAGTTGCCAAATTGGGTGACTGGGCCGCAGCGCTTTACCAGCCCATGCTCCACAAGTTCTGGGCGTGTTTCTTCAGAGGCGATTTCAGGAAGCACGGCAAGCAAGTCTTCACAGAATACTATGCGGAAGTGCGGTCACTTGTTCCGCCAGAGAAGCTGCTCAACTACAGTGTCAGCGAGGGCTGGGGCCCGCTCTGCGACTTCCTTGAAGTTCCTGTGCCGGAGAACAAGGAATTCCCACACTCGAACGACACCGAGAAGTTCGTCACCAGATGTCGCAAGAGAAACCACGACCAACTGAAGAATGTCTTGTTCCGCTATCTCGTCTACGGGTCTGGCGTGGCAGCTACAGTGCTCGCATCGTCGTTAGCTATGCGTCATTCTGGCGTTTTACTGGGCAGTGTTGCCAACAACCTTGGCGCCATTCGAGCGTGAAACGGACACGCAATAGTCAAGGCTGCCGTTCATCCTTTCTCAGAGAAGTCTCGTCTTGGATCAGGAGGGATTAGGAGTTGCAGGTACAAGGGCAATTGGCGTTTATCACAGGCTTTAGAGTCAGCAGTAATGACACGAACTCCATAGATATTGATGGGCAGTCTTCTGCGGTTGTGGTGGAGATTTTGATTACCCGTAGAGGGAACTCGGTTACAGAAACATCGATAGCGTTGCACGGTACTGATGTATGGCTTAATGTCAACTCTGTTACTTTCCAAATCCCAACCATCGTCACGAAAACTGAGCCCTCAAGACTTCTTCGGAGGACAATGTTGTTTCCACCTGGTCTAATCTTAGGCTACCGACAAGGCGGGCCTAGTTTCGGCTCCACAAGGAGGTATGTACTTGGACGCGTGTCTCAGCACAATCCATCATGCGGCGTCCGTCGAACACCCGCCACAAAGCTCCTTCCTGTCTGTAACGCAGCCTCCGGCGAGATGAGCAGGAAGCCGTCGCCGCATGTCGATAGGAAGGTTGCACGCACGCAATCGCTGCAGGCGCCCGACGGGGATCAACCCTTGCCCTAGCCATCGTCTCTGCAGGTAAGCCATCCATCAGTTCAGATCCGAGAGCTGTTCGGTGGGCTGTCTCTCAGCACCGCTCCATCAATGTCTCCCGCTACGTCTCTGCCATGGCAGCAGTTCTGCCATGCTTGTTACTTCCCTCTCGCCCTTCTCTTGTGCTGTGTCTCGACAGCGCTGGCCCAGCTAAATAATGAGACTTCTCCGACCTCCGTCTTCTTTTCAGTGAGTTAACGCCTGCCGTGACCCCAGACGGGACGCGTCTGATCATATGTGTACAGCGTCCCGATCTTCACCCTCCGGCCATCCACCTGGAGATCCTGAAGCCTGAAGCCGTCACACCTGGGTACATTTTCCTCGCCCCATACCGCAATATCGACTCCGGGCCTTACATATACGACAACTATGGAGTACGTGTTACGGTTTGTATACCGGAAGACTACGTGCCTACTGACCTGGATGCGTGCAGAACCTCGTCTGGTCTGGCGCCGGCACCTCTGGAGCCTCTACCGCCCACGCGCCTCGAGTCTGCCGGTACCATGGCGCCGACCATCTGTGTTGCTTCCAAGGCAATCAGCATCACGGCTTCGCAAGGGGACGAGGCATCATCATCGACCAAAATTACCGCGTGGTCAAGACAGTCGAAAGCAGTGGCTCAGCGCCTCCGAGCGACATGCACGAGTTCCGCCTCCTAGATGAGGGAAGGAGGGCATTGCTGACGGCCTACCAACCTCGGACGTACGATTTGAGCGCTTATGGTATAGGCGGAGGCATGGGTTGGATTACTGACGGCGTGTTTCAAGAGGTGGATGTCGAGACTGGCGAGCTGATGTTCGAATGGCGCAGCCTGGATCACATATCTCCAACCGCTAGTTACACCATGGCGGGGACTACCGATACAAGTGGAAACGGGCTAGCGGAGGACACGCCCTGGGACTACTTCCACATCAACTCCATCGACAAAAACGACGAGGGCGACTACCTGATCTCGGCCCGCCATATGCATTGCATATACAAGATATCCGGACAAGATGGTCGCGTGCTGTGGCAGTTGCATGGGGCAAATTCCGACTTCCGCTTGAATGATTTCAATTTCTCGAGCCAGCACCACGCGCGGTGGTTGAAGGAGAACGTTACACACACCATCCTGTCCTTGTTCGACAACGCCAGCAACACCTTCAACATCACCAACAAATGGTCACGAGCGATGGTTGTTAGTATCGATCACGTTCACAGGACAGCATATCTACTATACACCTGGGAAGCTCCAGATCAGGAAGGCGGTGTATCCGCCGGCTCGCAGGGAAACTTCCAGCTGCTCCCGAATGGCCATGCCTTTATAGGCTGGGGGGACCATGCATATTTCTCTGAGCACTCTGATATAGGGGAGCCTGTACTGTATGGAAAATTAGCCTACTGGGGCTCCAACGTCATGATGTATCGCTGCTACAAATCCAACTGGACAGCGACTCCAAGGACTTCGCCCACAATCTGGACCTACTCGCGTACGGGCAATAACGATTCTGGTTTGGTGTCCTACGTCTCATGGAACGGCGCGACCGAGGTTCATTCCTGGAAATTTTATGCCGGCGATACCGCCAAGGGCCCCTGGAAGATGATTAGCAGCGCCATCAAGACGGGTTTCGAGACGTCCACCAGAATCCTGGAAGTTTACAATTACACCTTCGCCGAAGCGATTGATCGGCACGGCAAGCAGATGCGCCGTTCCTCGGTTGTCAGGACGTTCATCCCCTCTGCTGCACTCTCACCCTCATGCGACAACTCCGGTTGCAACGGAATACACCCAGCGGAAGGACAAGACATGACAGGCAAGAATCCAGGAGTTGTGAATGTGACACTTGAGACCGATCTTGATTCTTCCTCGTATTATCCTCACTCACAGCATCGTCATGGAACTGGAGGGACCGTTGCAGCGACTCTGCTGGGTGCATCGTTTGCCGGGCTGCTTTTGACATGGTTGTACCGGCGCAAGGAGCATTTGGGGCTCGACAGGGGTTTCCAGTATCACGGATTGCGCGAGTGGTACCTTAGATCTCTTAACCGTTATGGATTGCGGAAGCGGTTCCTAGAGGGTTATTCGAAGGTGCGTGAGGCGGAGGCGTAGAGTACGTACAATACCTGTCACGATGCAGGAAGGCTAGATATTGGAACTTGATTAATTAGATAGTATATAAGATATTACACAAGGATTGAAAGGTCTATAAGCCTAATAGAAAGAAAACACTTTATATAGAAGTATACTAGGTGTGCCCGTTTTATACTAAAACGGTTTAGAGTATTAGTAAAGAGTATCTATTATTCATAGATTTTTAAGAGTATATCTTTTCTTAATATCTCTCTATCTTTCTTTTTCTTAGATATAAGGGGCGTTCCCCTCCTTAAACCCCCCCCCCCTAATTTTCTTTATTCTATATATAAAAAAACTGTTTCTCTTTCTTTAGTTCTTAGTTTCTTTTTAGTTTATCTCTTAGTTAATCTCTTAGTTTATCTCTTAATTAATTCTTAAATTTTAGCTTTAATTTACTATTTTGTCTATCTTTTAGTTTCTAATTTTATTCTATGTTTAAACTACTTTCTTATTAATATTTTAGCTTTATCTTTAATATAATCTATATCTAATTCACTTTTTAGCTTAGTTTTTAGCTTAGTTTAGTATCTAGTTTCTATTGTAGCTTCTAGTTTAGTTTATAGTCTATAATTTATTCTAGCTTTTTATCTTATTATATATATTAATTCTTTCTACTTTAGTAGAATTAGATATTCTACTTTCTAAGAGGACTTCTCCCCCTTATACCCTCTATTTTCTTTTTAAAGATAAGGGATATTCTCTCTCTTAAATCTCCTCTAGCTTTTTTATTCTATAGAAAAGAATTCTTGTTTTATCTATATTTTAGTATCTTTTTAGTTTTATTTTAATTCTTTTTTAGCTTATTTTCTACTCTGTTTTCTAGTATATTTTCTAGCTTAGTTCTTAGTTCATCTTTTACTAAATCTCTTAATCTATAATCTAGTTTACTTTTTAGTTTACTACTTATTTTTGTTTTTAGTTTATGTCTTAGTTTGTATCTTAGTTTGTATCTTAGTTTGTATCTTAGTTTATATTTTAGTTTATATCTTAGTTTATACCTTAGTTTACTTTTTAGCTTACAATTAAGTTTCTATCTTAATCTACTTTTTAGCTTACTACTAAGTTTAATTTCTAGTTTATTACTTAGTTTACTATATAGTTCTCTTTTTATACTCTAGTATAATCTAATTCTTAACTTTCCTTTCATGTAACTATTAAGTTTAGTTTTTAGTTTAGTTTTATTTTAATTTACTTTTTATTCTAGATTTTAGTTTAGTTTCTAGCTAAGCTTTTAGTATAGTCTTTAATATAGTTTCTAGTATAGTCTCTAGTCTAGTTTCTACTTTATTTAGTAGCCTACTTTTTACTTTACTATCTATTTACTTTTATAGTTTGCTCTTTACAATATACTTTACTCTAGTCTCTTTATAGAATTATAAAAAGTAGCTATTACTAACTTCTATCTAAATTATAGTCCTAGTTATAGTTTAAGATATAGTTTTACTTTTAGTATAGTCTCTAGTTTAGTATATAACTTAGCTATTTTAGCTATTAGTTTAGTTTATTATATAGCTTATATTCTATTTCTATTTAATTTTAATAAGTATATTAATATAAGCTATTTTAAATATCTAGGCTATAGAATACTTTTTACTTTAAATAGAGTATACATTTGTCTTATAGCTATATAAAAAGTTATAGTCTTACTATTTTATAGATAAAATTAGAGAATTTTTAAGTTTTCTATTAAGATTCTAAGCTTTATATATATTTTTAGAGCTATACAGTTACTTTTATACCTAAATAACCCTTTATAGGCTATATAGTACCCCTAAGAGTCTATATCTACCTTATAACTAAAAAGAAAAAGTATAATTCTACTAGAGATTAAACTAGTAACCTAAAGCACGCGCGCAGTTAGTATAATTAGTATAGTTAGTAGTTAGTATTTTAGTAGCTAAGCTATAGTACTAGCTACAGCCGTAGCATACTAGCTATAACTACTAGCTCTTATAGCTCTATAGTTGCAAATATAGTTGTAATTAAGTTTTAGCTAAAATTTTAAATTTCTAAGGCTTTTGCACTAGCGGTTATAGAGGGCTATAAAGTGTATATATTAATAGTATATAATAAAACTAAGAATTTATCTTAACACTTTTTATAGTTTTAATCTATAGTATTTATTTTCGCGTTATAGGCGTTTTTGCTATACGAATTTTAGAGGTAATTATAGTTTTTACTAAGGTAGTATACGGTGGAGAATCAGTTTTATTAAGTATATTAATAACCTCGGAATAACAGAAGATCTAGATACTAAAGAATATTGTATCTAAACTATGTTACGAAATCTTTTACTTACTTAATTAAGGCTATTTTTCTTTAAATAGCTTTAAGTGTTTCGAGCGCTTGTAAGTGCTTATAAATAGACTATCTTACCTAAAGTACTTAAAGCACTTAGAGCCGTTTTAAATTACTTAATAAGTATTAAAAATATATAAATCACAAGAAAATCTCTAAATTTCTTAGTCTATAGTCTATTAAGACTATAAGATATCTATTTTTTTTAGCTTTAAGTACTAAGTAGTAAGTAGTAAAACTAGTTAGTTAATAATTAAGCTTACTACTAAAGATTCTATTGGATTCTAGAATGTTCTATAGATTAGTAATATAGAATATACTAGAAAGTAGAAAGATCTAGAGAATTTAGATATATATACTAAGTAGTAGTTTTCTACCTTTAATAGTATTTTTAATGAGGTGTACTCGTTTTATACTAAAATAGTTTCAAGAATCTATAGAAAAGTACTTTCTAAGGTAAGCTCGAACTGTAGATCTTTTATAATAGAAAGAAGAAAGTAAGGAACAGAATATAGGCCACTATAAGCGTATATAATATATTCTTAAAAAGTAAGATCTAAAGTGGATTTAAACTATAGACCTTATATATAATACTATAATTACTATATATAATGTAATTCTCTTATAAGTTATATTTATACTATACGTGCTTAAAGTCTCTACGCTATATATAGGCTACTTCTTTCTAATATATACTAGTATACGCTAGTATATATAGAATAGCGCTAGTAATCTCCGCTATATATAGATTAAAGATACTATAAACTCTATAATCTCTATCTAACTAATAACTCTTAATTATATCCTCCTATATTTACCTGTTAAGTTCTCTATATTAATTAAGTTAGTATAAGCGTTATTATTTTAAAATAGCCTAGTATTAGTAGCACTACTACTACCGCAACTAGTAGTAGCGGTAGTAGTAGTAATAATCTAAACTATCTAAATTATAAGCCTATATATAGATATAAAGTAGAGACTATAAGCTCTTCTTCTTTAGCTAAAAGTAGTAGTAGGTATCTGCACTATAAGATCTATAGAATAGTAGCTAATATTTATAATAGAGGTTAAACTACTTATATATACTAAAGCGTCTCTTATAGAGAATACTAGGTCTAATATAGATAAGTAACTACTTAATAATTTTTTCTATATTTATAGTACTAATCTTTCCTTTTATAGTAATTATAGTAATATTAATAATATTAACTAGGCTCTTTTCCGCCTTCTTACTAAAGCGTAGCTTTATACGCCCCTTATATAAAGTAGACTATATAACTACTACTAATATAGTCTTAGCCCTTTTACTAAGTACTATACTCTTATGTATATATTTAGTAGCGCTTACTATAACTATAGCTACTATACTTACTACTAGACTTCTAGTAGTAAGTATAGTAGCTATAGTATTAGTAAGCGCTACTAAATATATACATAAGAGTATAGTACTAACTTAATATAGCTATAGATTCTATAGGTAGATATAAGTTCTATACTATAGCTATAGCTACTATTCTATCTTATTAAGCTTAGATTACTATCTTTATACTAGTTACTCGTGCCTATCTATAGGCTATAGAGTTTATGTATCTATTCTTAAAGTCTTATATTATCTTTAATGCTACTATTAATACTAGTAATAATATAGCTCTTAAATATTATTACTATACTTACTAGAATAAGAGCTATAAATACTAAATGCGGCTAGTATATTTATAACATTTAAAAAGACTATTATACTACCCTTTCCCTAAGCTAGAGCCTTAACTAGTAGAACGTCTTATAGCTTCGCTATATTACTACTATAATCTAGTAGTAGTAGACTATTATAAAGAGTAATAACAAGGAGAATAAAAAGAATAATAATATGAATATAGGTAGCTAGTTATATATACTACTACTTCGAATAGTAATATAGTCTTTTATAATAGTATAAAGTAGATAAAATTACTTTTTTATAGTCTCTAACTCTTATAGTAATAGGTATAATACTATATTATATCTAGTATATAATATAGGTATAGCGTTTATAGGTAGATAGATAGTATACTATCTTATAGCTTTTAATAGTATTAATTAAGACTATTTTTACATTCACTCTTAACTTCTATACTAGTAAGATTTATAATACTATATAGTACTTATATTTCTACCTTCTATCTATACTAAGCTTTTGTAAATCTATTACTAGTAATACTTAACTAATAGGCCTACGCGTAATATATAATAAAGTAATATATACACTTAATATACTACTAACCCTTTCTTACTAGCCTCTATATTCTATTATATCTAGGGTATTTTACTATATATTATATTTTTTAGGCGGCCGCTATAGGCGATATCTATATTAGATAGTACTATATAAACACTATTAGAATAGGTAATATAGCTAAGTGTAATATATAACTAGCTATAGCTAGATACCTCTAGACTAAAAAGTAGGCTAATACTAGATAGATTCTAGCCCTATATCTTATTAATAGTTATTATAAAGGCGAGTCTAATAGGAAACTAGTACTATATAAACTTAAGCCTATAATTAGAGCTAGGTATATCTAGAGGTATATATAGTAGTTATATAACTATACTATACCTCTATGTTTCTAAGATTAAGTAGTATAGTAAGATGCAGGATATAAAGAGAACTACTAACTATATACTATTATAGAGGCCGT